TAGATAGTCGATTCATTGCTGCTCTACGGGCCAAATTATTCCTTTTTCGTCTCTGTTTTCAAAGATAATAGAACAGAAGAGCTTTTTTCCTTCGATCGCCTTCAGCCGCCATGCCTTCTTCACCACGAGATTAACTGATGAGCATGCGCACTTAATATTTCTCAGGTAGCTTCCGCATGGCGAACGGAGCCGAGATTTAATTACTGTACCCCGCAGGGACGACGTGTGGGGAGGCGGAGAGACTATTAAAAGATTAGGCGGTTTTTCTTTCATGTACGTCTGCCATTTTTAGGTCACCGGCTTTGTAAAGCCTGGCTTAATTCGTTGAGAATGCGCTCTAAGTATTTAGTGTGAAAAAGAAAAAAGTTACGTTTCAAAAAATTCATATTATTTAAATTAAACCTGAATTTTTAAAAAGTATTTCAGATAAATACAATGTATAATTGAAATGTTTATGCAGAACAAAGTTTCAATAATTTATAATTACACTCTTCAGAAAAATATAATAGCATTTGTAATATACATTTTAGCTACAGTTTATTCATACTCTCCAGGGGTGGATTCAGGATTATTTGAAGGGGGGGGGGGGGGGCGAACGGTGCAGTTTGGTATGGTTTTGAACTATGATTCAACTATTCAAATTTCAGAAGGGGACCAGAAATCAAAGGGGGGTCCTGACCCCCCCCCCCCCCTCTAAATCCGCCACTGCTCTCAGTGCATGCCTCACAAACCTTTCTGACCTCCGCTCTCATATGTTTGAATAGCATAAAGCATTGAATGTCATGAAGGAAATTGCCAGAATTTATATTTGAAAAGTAGAAACACATCAAAATCGCCACTGATAAGAACATAAAAATCCATGAAAATTAAAGACTAAGTTTGTGTGTGTGTGGGGGGGGGGGGCATACTGCCTAAACTTTTAATCCCTTTGAACACAGCAATAAGTATTTTGTTAAATTACCCAATATTATTACATCAGAGTAAATAGAGGCTTTTAAGCAGCCAAGCTCAAAAACTAATCTGACAATTCTGACAAATAACGCTGCTGATGTTCCCTCTGCCAGGGTCACAGATTGATATATCACCAGATATTCACAGATGTGTCTGGTAAAATGATGTGACTTTTTTGCAGTGTGAAAGAGAAAAGTGCACATATTAAAATATGTCACCCTGCTAGAGGGTACTGCTGATCCATGCAACGGGGTGGACACAGAGCAGCAACAGAGGGGCCCATAAACGAAAAATCACGTGACCCGTTTGACCAATCAATAGCCAAAGTACCACAGCATGCGGCAGCCTTTGAAGTTTGATCTTCATCTCTGCACATAATCCGTGATGTGCCAAATTGACATGTGCGTTCTGTCAAACCATTTCGTTCTGGAGAGGTAAAATTATGTAGCAGTTACAGTAGTAAGTCTATGATCTGGACATTGGTCATCGGGAAAGGTAAGGAAAATATTTAACGATCAACCTCGAGAAAGCATATAGGCCTACCATGCGCGACAATACGTCCACTTTTTACGCCAGCCCGTTAGTTGCTTTGAGATAATGGTTGATAAAACCAAGGAGTTATATCTGTTATAACTCCTTGATAAAACATTGTGGCAGAGGGTACAAATGAAATCATTTTATAGCAATCCAAGTTAGTCTGCGAAGTAGAAAGTTGGTGTGAATTGCAAAGTCATGTAGTCATCTATGGATTAGCTTAACTTTGAACTGGCGTTGAGTGAATTAATTTGCTTTGACTTGCTTACACGAGTAGAAATGGCGCTTCTAGGCCATTGTTCTGATGCAGTTTCTCAGAAAATGTCTGACTTGGGCTGCTTTGCACTGCCTTGCTTTGAGTGCTAAAAGATTCCGTTTTCAAGCACAGTGGGAAAGTATGATGTGATAATGTTAACAGGCTCCCGTCAAATAGCTCTCTTCTTATAGTGTAGCCTGATTGGCGGTATTAATTTCTCTATCTCATCCAGTGACTTGTATGTGGACCTAGCTGTTTGTTTTTGGAATCCGTAATAAAAGTGCCCCACAAGAATTTAAAAAAATCGAGTTGGGCAACTTTTGACACACTTTTGAGAAAGTCTAAAAGAGTTGACAAGCATGATATTTCACTAAAACGCGCATATCTAAGTATTATAACGGTTTTTTTCATATTCAGATATGTGGCTATCTGTATACCAAAATTTCAGATTTAATGGGAAAATATCATGTGCGGTCCCTAAACTCGGTGTCAGTCCTGGAGAATTAGCGTTCGTTTTCAAAAGCATTGTCACAAGATCATATTATTCGACAGCAGAAGAACATGGATACTTTAAAATGTAATATCGAAAATATTTTATCAGTTTGTGCCTTAAGTGCTCTTTTTACAGAAAAAATAAGTTTGACAAATGAATAAATTACAAACAGCCAATAATGAACTTTTATGTATACTCCATTAGAAAAAGTGACACCCCTACCGCAATCATGTACATTGCAACAAGGGTACCCATAGTTTAAAATTTACTTTTACATAACAACTACGCAACCGACGCATAGGGAAGGGAGTAGTAAAATTGTGACCTACTTAGCTTAATCATACATGAAAGGAAGACCGCTTAATCCAGTAATGGTCTCTTCGCCTATTTCAGGAGCACAGTAATTATAAATTTCTTCTCAATTTGACCGGTCGAGGGACGACTCGTGGGTAGGCGTGAAAGAGGCGAAAAGACCATTATAGGATAAGCGGTTGTCCTTTCATATAGGTCCGCCATATTTAGGCCGTGGACCAGCTAGCACTCGGCTTTTCTCATTCTGATTGGTCCCATTTTAATACAATAGTTTAAATATGCGGCTTCCTAAGTGAGAGGGATACATTTTGCTAAACAGTTGACATAAGGTGCAGGGGGGAGTTCTGACCCGCCGAACGGCCAGAAGGTACGTTGGACTATTCATTCAGGGGGTTAGACGACATCATGGCCAAACAGACACATGGGGAAAATTGCCAGGGTTAGCCTACCGAAGAAAACCACACTCAGAGAAGAAATTTAAGAATGTTAATACATCTTCCTCGTAGAAAACGTTTCCTGACATTTAGGATCTCACTTGACTGCAACGTTAAACAATAACAGGACACATTATGTTTCAGAATCGATGTTATTTTGGTAGATTTCTGTTAGGAGACCAGGCAGTGATCACTGCCAGGAACTGTCTACGTTGAATCAGGTGGTATAAGTCTGTGGAGGATATATATCTTTGAAGAGTATGAGCACATTATGTTTCTACTCCACATAAAGCCAATGCAGCAGTAGGTTGGTTATTTGCGAACCAGTTCCAGACCCCCCAATGGACAGCTTAATCCCTAAATCAGAACCTTATTAAGAATGTGTAGGGTATCCCCGGAAATGGATTACAGAGGGATGATTCTGCAAAGAAAAACGATCTCATACTATCTTTACACCGTATGTGGAACGCTATCACTGAAAAATACCCCTTTCTTAGGTTCCTCCTCGACGCGACGCCAATCCAAGAATTGAGGGAAAGAGCACTTAGACCCCATTCCCAGAGATTAGATCGATCCAAACTAGATCGACCTAACTCCCTGGGGGTTCACGCTAAATAGCTGTCAGCTGAGCGGGCGCGAAAGTTAATTACCCCCTTACAGCTTCTAGTAGGCGGGACGGACATTTAAGCCGGATTTACTGACAGTAATCTAGTGAGACTCCCCACGGGGATAGATCGATCTAAAATATATGGGAATACGCCCTAAGGGTGCTTTCCCAGAGATTTAGATCGATCTAAAGATTAAGATTTAGATCGACCTAACTCCCTGGGGGTTCACGCTAAATTGCAGTCAGCCGAGTGGGCACCATAGTTAATTACCCCCTTACAGCTTTTAGTAGGCGGGATAGACGCTTAAGTCGGCCAAGCTGACAGTAATCTAGTGAAACTCCCCACAGGGATAGATCGATCTAAAAATCTATGGAAATGGGGTGTTAGAGTGCTTTGCTCAAACTCCCTTTTAACTGGAAGGCGACGATGAAACTGACCACGTCGTTGGAGGCCCAAAGGAGGCATAGTGATTGCTAAGATCTTTCACAGAATGTTCATGCGTCGGCGTCTAGGCCCCATGCGAACTTTTGAACGTGTTCAAAACAAGCATACAAAGGACGATGTGGAGGTTGGTCACTGAAAGATCGCTAGAGGAAAGCAAAAAGATCTGTGGTGTAGCTGGTAAAGGATAGAGATCAATGACTATTCCCGCTCCGTCCCATTTCAAGGAATTTTACGCAGTGACTGCTACTGGCCCACCGTCCCTACGTATGTGATTACTATTTTAGTAATCAAATGCAATTTTAAGAAATTATTTCTAGTAAAAATATTATTTTTGAACGTTACAGAATTCGAACCCGTTTAGAAGTGCTGTGTTCAAGCCAGCAGAGTTACCTGGAGCTGCAAAAGCTTCGTTGGTAGGCTGTAGATCAAACGGACACTTTCTACATGTACCTTGTCAATGAGAAGATCAGTTTGGATGTACATGTTTACGACTGCAGTTACAATCGATAGCTTGGGTGCTGTACAGATGTATTTCATCACGCGCAACGCCAGTCCCCGTACATGGTCTTATCATCATGGTGTACAGGAGGCCTTGTTTTAGAAGCCGACATGGAGCGTTCCAAGATAGATTTCTTCCTTTTTTTTACTATGACTTTGTTAGGTTGGATTCGCACATGACGTTAAAAAGCACAATAGGATCACAGGCGATCCACACCGGGACTGTTTTAGTTCAAATCCCTAAGAAGAGGGAATCATTAAAAAATTTCTTGAAAATGTGTAAAGGCTGGTGTGGTTCCTATTCAAGCAATCGCAACGAAGCGAATTTTGACAAGAACATATTTGGCTAATAATCTGGCCGAAAATATACCATAGGCCTACAATTTTTAAAAATTATTTACGCAAAAATATTAGGCCTACACTGAACATTTTATAATTCGAACTTTCGTACTTGTAAGTGTCTAATTTTATCTAAGCCAGGAGAGTTACCACGGAGCCGCAGAAGCTTCGACGGTAGGCCTCAGATCAATTGAAAACTTTCTACCTTGTCATGGAGAATGACAGTTTGGATGTAACTTTATATATCTGCAATTACGAATTTGTGAAACCTGGTGATCAAGCAATTGCGACGAAACGAACTTTTAGATATGCACATTTGTTTGCTGAACGCGTTTTGCAGCTGCACGGTATGACGGGCCAATCCAGGATTATTTGAAGGGAGGAAGGTTCTTATTTTTGTGTGTGCGTGTGTGATAAGCCTCGGATACTAAGCCGACGTTCGGCCCCCTTGGCCTGGTGTTCGGACCCTGCACAATGGCCTAGGAAATTTTTAGGTGCTTTGGAGGCCAAGCGGAAACATTTGATGCGGTTAAGAACTAAGATTCAGCTAGTCAAAATTCCAATTTCAGGAGGGGAATATTAGTGTGATTTTTTTTCTTTTTTCAGAAACCGAAGATCAGGACACCCCCCCCCCCCCCTGCGTCTTAATAATCCAAAGGCTTATCGATTTATTGGTTCAATAATAATAAAATTTGCATATGCTACTCTAAACGTTCTGTATGGCTATCTATAGTCAGAAAGTTCACTGAAATTTGGAGGTCCATAGCTATAGGTCAACATCATCCAATACGAAACTTTGTAACATGTCTAAGGTATAATATCACGAGCACTCAAATCGATACATCCCTCACTGTTATATCATAGGTGGCATATATAGGCCTAATGTTTAATCTCTTCAAGTTTTCGTAGTAGGCCTATGTCACGGGTTTGAGATATAGGGACGTAGAAATAGTCAGAAGGTTCAATAGTCCGAATGTTCACAATAGAACCTTCGGGCCATCGAACAACGAACCTTTGATCTAAAAACTGATAAAAATGTTACGATTTTTCGGGCCAATGAACCTTCAGACTATCGAGACGCCCCCATTGAGATTATAACAGACTAAGATATAGGCCTAGTCTGCATGTTATATATAGGCCTACCGGTAGTTATTATAGTTAAATTGTAACTTTTGCTACAATAATGATTTATTGTTAACACGCTTAAGTGTGCTGAAATGGATAGGTATTGATAAATCCAATACATACATATGGTTTATGAAGACAAAGTTAAATGTAAGATAGGTAGAAGGCTTTTTGTAACGCCTAGTAGTCGTAAGCTACTGTCAGCTGTACTTAGGCCTAATGTGATCTACTGGTGGTATTACAGTCATGCCTCGACCATTTTCACACAAGAAGTTTGGACTTCTTGTGTACGTTCATCTTTATTTAATTGTTTAAAGCTGAAAAAAGTAGATCTCAGTATTACAAGAAACTTCTCGCCCCTTTACGTGATGTATATTGAGGAAGAATCTGAAAACAATCCAAGTACAACGGGCACGGTAGGTTCGAGATTGGATTTGGCTCCGGTAGTAGCCAATAGGTGGCAGCACTAGAGAAGTTGTTACATTGATATCTCGAATGATAGACTTGCTTTTAAGCGTTGAAAGGACTGCTTTTAAAAGATGCAATTATTTGAATATTTGAAGACACAAACAACCTTGACGAAAAGAATCTCTTTAATTTGGATATTGCTTGATGATGGATTAGATGTAATTTAAACTCTGGTTGCATCGTAACAGCCTCGATAGCGCAGTAGGCAGCGCGTCAGTCTCATAATCAATATGTCGGGCAATCTGAAGGTCGTGAGTTCGATCCTCACTCGGGGCAGTGTTCTTTTGTGTTTTTGGAAAATATTTGAACGGATTATTGTTGTCTACCAAATGCACGAATTACCCAAAACTTGGGCATAAGAACTTATATCGTTATTATGTCCAAGCCCAAAACAATCACACCAATCAGAACCCATGTCCTTCCCGGATGCAGTTTGAATTTTAAATGTCTATATAATTTTAAATGTCTGTGGACAAACAATCATTCAAAAGAAAGAAGAATTTGATAAGTTCGCAGTCTGCAAAAGATCTCACCAAAGAGCTGAAGCAACCGCCTTCTAACAATGTAAATTTTAATTTTTGAGAAATGGCTAAGAAACTGAGAAATCCATATAGGTGTCAGCATGAAAAAAATACAAATTCAGAAAAATAAGGAAAGAGAATCCTCAAGATCAACTTCCCGAAACCACCAAAGGACAAGTGATAAATGAAGCAAACCTAAGGACGATAGATGCCATGTTAGTGCATGCGCCAAGACTATGCCAAGACTTGCTACTAGTCTATCATGGCTATCCAGCCGATTATCTACCTACCAGAAGCCCTTGAACGGCTTCAGACAGTCCTAGCAGTTACAAAATCGGTTGAAGTAAAGGTAAAGTGGGTATTTTGAAGGTCCTTCAACCGATTTGGTCACCGTAGAACAGGGGGTGAAACACCTGGCAGGTGCTCTGGTCGAGGTTGTAGGTTACCACTGTTCTGGAGAGCCTTACTTCCCCATTTCAATGATTAATTGCTTTTAACTGTGGCGGGGAGATGCAGGAAACAGGCGAGTAGTAGTGGTGGTGATTGCTCTGTCAAAGATTAAATCATATCTGTCACCAGCTGAAGAGATCCTGGTGGAAAGGGAGCCCCAATACCCGAAGAAATAGGTGATTTGTGGAAATCTCGTGTCAAAGAAAATGAAGATATAAATTGATGCTAGTTATTTGTGGAGCTGAATCTTCCCTTTGACGCCGACTTAATGTCATTCAATTGAAAATCGTAGTATGTTTTATCCTGATATTTTGGTTATTTATTCTTTCCAGCTATTTGCTGTATTTTTACATCAACCTTATGATATGCAAAGGGATGCAAAGTTTCCGATACGGGAAACAGACAGAGAAGGCATCAGACACCGTGGTAATAAAGTCTATATAAAGAAAAAAGATTTTATTTTATTTATTTTATCGTATGAACAGGTCAAGACTTTAAAGACTATTGCCAGAAACAATTCCTTAAATCATCTACATCCCGAGTTAAGGCCTCTTTACATACAAAAAATCATTTCGCTTGTTGAAGGTTAACATTTGAAGTATCCTTTGGTTCATTAAAAGCAGTAGTACTACTTCCGCTACTGCAGTCTGATCCATAGTCAGACTCTCTGCCGTCGTCTTGATCCCTTTTCTCTTCCACCCGTTCTTGCAGAATGACTTTGGTTGTGTTTTTAAGCTCCGCAGTATTTGAAGAAATAGTTTGCTTTTCTCTTTCAGGCTTACTTTTAAAGATAATATGTGGTTTTTGTATTTTGACACAGAGCACACTTTTTGAAGCGTTTCGGATAAGTTTGTTGTGTGTGAAATAGATAACAGGTTTTATGACGGTGCTGAGATGGGTTAACCACACTGACGCGACCCAGGCGCTGTCAGGCACAATAAAGGACACCTCTAGTAAATCGAGATAGTTGAGCACAATGAATGGAAACCACAATATCATATACATAAATACCGTTATCAGTACCGTTGCAGATAGGTTAGTGTCTGTCATATAACTTGATATTGACGTAGCCCTTTGTCTCTTGTTTACTTGTATTTTTTCATCTACGACTGAAGGTGTAAACCTTTTGTTGTTTTTGCTACAGTCCGTTATTTGACAGTTCTCCCCATTTAAAATGTATTTATTTACTGGGAAGTTTTGAAAACGAATTTGTTGCCTGCGAAATCTTTTCCCGTAGCTCTCACTGATTAATGTATTTTCCTGGCCCTTTTCTTTATTTTCTCTATTTTTCGATCTCTGTTTTTCATTCTCTGACATTTGTGTAGGTGAAACTGAACCGTGCTGCTGACGCAGTTTGCAGAAGTGTGAAATAAAGCACATAAAAATACCAACCACGGGAACAACGTAGCCTATTACAAGAACGAAGTACAACTGTGCAATACTTTTTTCAAAGTTCAGGCCACATTGAAATTGTTTAGAAAAGTATACGTATCCTCCCCAGCCAATAAGGGGCAAAATTGCAGTAACTAGATCAAATACCCAAAGGGTAAAAATAATTATCAAGGACGACGTTTGGTTGAATATTTCCTTGTGTTTGTCCGTGAGACCTGTTTTCATAGCCCTTTCTGCAACAATGATTACGAAGTTGTGAACCGATGTCAGAAAAACAAACACACCCAAGACGCCTTGCAGACGACACAGCCCATCTCCCAGAATCCACCGCGAGAGGACAACTGAGATCAATGTAAAAAGCGACCACAGCAAGCCCCCAGCGATGTCGACACAAGCCAGGTTAACCATGAAATAATGAGGAGCACGTTGAAGTTCCTTAGATCTTACACCCACAAATACAAATAAACTGTTTAATACAATGTTTGATGTCAAAATAAATGCCAGTGACACTCCTAGTATAGCTGTTACGGAGACCTCCGTAGAAGCATTGGATCCTTCAAAGATGGTACTATTTGCGACTGTCGTTGTTACGTTCCAAGTTGCATTTGTCGTGGACGCACTTACGAATATGGTGGCATTATAGGTGGCCATAGCTATTAAATCAGTGTAAATTATTGTAACGAATTCAGATGCCTCGTAGTCTTGTCATCAGTCTATGATCTTAGGTCTACCATGCAGGTTTTCCGTCATGTTGGCGAGCATTTTATCTTTGGGTATTTCACAGCAGCCCTTAAAAGATGACATATGATGAAAGAAATTTCAGTAACGTTGATACTTTGACTCGCGATTGAAGTGAGTTTAGTTCCAACACGATATGTTTTCTCCGAGGTTGAAGCGTTTATGTGAATTCCAAAATGCTCGACATGTGCCAAAATGTCTCATCGGCTGAGCTAGGCCGCTTCCCAGTGTCCGGGTGGGAAAAAAACTTGCTAAAATCTGTAAAATTCTCCGTCTTTGAGGTCTAACAAATTACACTCATGTCCACAATTATTGTGTTCTCCATCTTGCTAAACTGATATCGATCTGCCATCTGTATTTTTGTCAATACGACATCCTTAGCGACGCTCACTGTTCTTCAAACTGACAAAAGTATTGTACTAGTATGTCTTATACTTGATGGTCCTGTAACCATTATACAGGACGCCACTTAAGCACAGTGCTACAATGTGTACTGAAAGTTACAGTTAAAGTACAAAAGTGATTTAACATTTTGGTTTACTTATTAAGTTTTGATTAACACGGCAGGCGAAAGGGTTGCTAGCTGAAGAGGATACCTTGCAACAGTCCTTTTTTCACCTCGGTAGATTGTTTTTGTAATTTTTTTAATGAACAATAAATATTAAGTAAACCGTGGAATCATACAAAAATTTAAGAAACGTAGCAAAGAAATCATTACCACAGCATTAACATAAAACAAGCACAGAGCTAGTAACAAGCAATGCGTATTCGCTACATGGGACCTCATCAAAGACTATTGATTTTAGAACTACTGAATCATGATGAATTGGCAGTCCAAGTTACTTCATTATAAGGGCATTGAACTGTAAAGCCAATGGCAAAATGCGCGTGGGCAGACGTACATTGTGTAAGAGGGTGATATAGTACAAATTTCGCAATAAATGAGTCAGTTTTAATTTTTATATAAAAATTAATTTGGGGAGTTTGATCGCTTATGCATATAAATTGTTCTTAATACATCCGTATGCTTGTTGATAAAAATTGTTTGTTAATCTTTTGATAACACGGGTTATTGTTTGTGTCCAGATGTTTTTGTAATTCGTTTCATGTGACCCATAAAACAAAACCCTCAAGCTCACGTGCGTGTCACTTGAGGAAAAAAATGGTGATATCCAAGTTGATCCCGTGATTTTAGTCAAAGCGACATGCGCGTCACTTCAGGGAACAAAACTGGTGATAGCCAAGTTAATCCCGTGATTTTAGTCAAAGCGACAGATACACTTTTTCAGCTGTTTCAACATTTCTACCCGCTTTTGCATCCCGATCACTTTTAATTATTTATTTAATCGTGCTCAATTCCTTATTTAAAGAAGAGGTAACAGCACTTCAAGAACGCTGCACACATTATATAGCCCATTTTCACCACACACGCACGCACGCACGCACATGCACAGCTTTACTCAGAACAATATGAACAATTAATATGTCCGGGTCTCCGAGAAGTGGATCATTTTTCTTTGTCTCGTTACGCAGTCCTATTCCTGTTTGTCGGGTTTGTGTCCTACGATATTGCCCAAGGTGATATTTATCTAGGACCCGTAGTACTAGTTCGGCAAGCCCTAATTTTAATCAGCAGTGGGTGGCCGGAGTCGTTTACTGTCGTCAACTACCCTATACCGTGGGTTTTCGTCTGGATTTTCACAGCTTTCTCTAGCAGTTACGAAATTGGACGAAGGACGAAAATCTTTCATTCCAATTTTGTAACAGCTAAAGAAACTATAGCCATCAACTACCTATTCTTGAACAACGAATGACCCGAGTTGTTATCCTCGATCATCTCTGTATCTGATCCGAAATGACATTGTGTCGCTGAAATCGTGTCATGTCCTAGGACGTTTTTGTGAGATTCTTACTAACGGAGCTATATTAAGACCGTGATCCGATTCACGATCGAAATGTATCACCCATGTATTGTTCAATGCGTGTGGTAAACACAATACAATATTTACATCATGTGCACTTCTAACATTACTTTGGGTATTTCAAAACCATGGTCACGCATGAAATCAAAGGAATTGAAAGATGCTATTGTATTTATAGTCACGTGTATTTGGTAATGTTTGTCCCCAATTCTAGACTTTTTTTAAATATTGCGAAATGACCACATATCGATCAGTTTATTTTCATGTACAAATTGATATTATTATGCTGTGATTCATTTATTACTTCACTGTTACTTGAATGAGGTGGGGGGGGGGGGGGTATTGCGCGCCCATGGTAAGTCGAAACTTGACTGAGTGAACTGCAGTTCACCCCGACGGATCAAAATAGGCGACTTCCAAAGAAACCCAGCGACCACATACCTTTATGTATGTCATTAAATTTCATCTTTATTCTTACTTAGAAAGAACAGAAAGTCAACATTGGACTGATTGGAGGCATAGGGGCATGCCAGTATAATATAGACCTACTATATTCATTTTATTTTTACATCTTAAACTGAAGAATTTGATTTTATCATTAGGGCTTTTAATCACTTTTAAGAGTTCCGTCAGTATTCAAATTTTGATATAGATATTGTACATGTTTTAACTAAATACTACTACTAATAATAACTATTATTATTGTTTGTACAAGATTCTTTTTCAGTCCGTATGTCAGTCTGTGTCAGTCGAGCTGATCGAGGTGCAGGATACATGAGAGCGAGAGAGAGCTGTCGGCTGAGTTGAGCTTAACTTAATTTCTATACAAACTCCTTAGGTCGGTTTATTTTAGCTCTATATATAATGAATTCAAGCTGGTCAATTCAGTTGAACCTATGATTTTCACATGGGTTGTAAAACCAGTTGAACTCGGCTACCTTTTCCGTCGTTCAATTTCGGTGGTCACTTTACTGACTTCAAACTATTGGATTATTTCCATTTTCTTTAACCCGTTTAACTCTTGATCTAAGAAAAAAAAAGCATACATAGACTGTGACATATGTGAATGAAAAAACTTATAAAATCCAATAAAAGATCCCAGGGAAAATCAGTTTATCCACATTTTTATTCGCGGTGCACACTTTTTTTTTTATAAAATGCCACGTGAGCCTTTCATTTCGCAATGCTTGAAAATGCCCTCGCCGATATGCATTTTATCTCTTTATCTATGGCTATATCAACGTTGTAGGTAGATAGCTTCATATGTGTGCTCTGCTGAGTGGTAAATATAGCCCAGGTAACATTTATATAGGACTGTAAGCTGAAGGTAAGTGCACGATATATATTTAGCATTTTCTGTTCAGTGGTTTGTCGCGGGGGGGGGGGGGACATTGAATTAAATAAAGACAACAATGTATATATTCAGTAAGTACAATGTTATGATACTACTGAAAGCCAATCTGACAAGTAAAGATTGGATCTTTTTTTATTTTTTCTTGAACTGTTCAAGTACTTTGATACTGTCTTAAAGTGTCAAGTGGACTGTAGCAATATTCCCGCCTGCCAACCCCTGAAAATTTTTGTGGCAGCTTTGGTGATTCTCACGACCCTCTGTCTCTAACCTGTTTGCGATATGCTGTGTGCAAACTGTTGCGTGCCTGGTGTATTTTTACCCCAAAAGAGATATCCCGTGACCTCTATAATCATGTCTGTATTCGCCCTTGCGTGCAAAAATGAAAATTGTGTGCAAAACAAGATAGCAAAAATCTAGGGACTTGGCTAGCTAATGAATGAATATAGGTAGTGTAGCGATAAATTAATGTAACAAATTATTTTGATCAGACAACCTAGATGCAACTTACATTTGCTTAATTTAAAGATAACAAATCGACCCATTATTTATACTATTCTTTAAAAAACTGCTTTTCTTTTCAAATCGTACACCGAAAAAATTATTGCGTAATTAAATATATGTAATAGACAAACATTACTTACTATACAAGTAGCTCTTGAACCTTTTTGGCGTTGTGTTGAGAAACTTCTCCGACCTACTTAGTATTATTAAGTATATATACATGTCGAGCATAATACTCTTGTGAACAATACGGGAAGAGAACGGAAGAAAATGCGTGGAGGAAGTATTATTGTTGTTTACGATAAGGAAATTAGCTAACGTACAGGAAAAGCGCAATTAAGCCGATGGGAAAAAAAAAGAGATTTCTAAATATCACCTTATTATGCAGTCTTCATGAAATTATGTATAATACAGAACCGATGCTTCCTTATTTTCAAATTTCTGAACGTGCCCGTGCATATACCAGTTTATTAAAAATGAAAAATTATAGCACTGAATCAGCAGTTCATTGAAAGCGTTGCGACGAAAACATTGGGTTATATTATGTCATATTATTTTAAACGTCGCACAAAAAAAAAAAAAGATAAGAAAAATCAGTGTAATCTATTACTTGTTGTTTACGATTAAAAATTAGCTAGGATGAAGTAATAACACAAAAAAGTCGGAAAAATGTAAAGATTTCCTTTTGTTATTTTGTGTAAGCTATATGTATTTTTGTATATTCTAGAACACTCGATACGAAATAAACACGATCAACCCGTGCCGTCCTCGTTTTCCTTATATGGCATAATTGATTCCACCTCAATACATAATAAGCTTATTTACATGTCAATTTGCTACCCTATTGGTCCAGGTCAGAAAGTGGGCTAGCTCGAGCGTCATAACTTGTTTATGTGCCAAGGGCAACTGCATAACATGTAGTGTGACGCCAGCAGAGTTCAGTTTGATACCGAGGCTAGTGTACTTTGCACCCAGATTTTCAGCACAGCACCAACCAAGGATTTGAATATAGCTATGAGTAATGTTACTAAAAATAGCAACATGACCAATAGTGAGTGAGTAATATATAAACGAATAGAAGGATTCCCTAGCAGAAACAGTAGAGCAAGTGAGTCATAAGGATCACAAATTCACAATCAGAACGGGGATTCTCGCCAGTCGGAACTAATTTAAATATCAAGGGCACCCCAGTAGTGGAATTTGGAATACAGAACATTGGACATAGGAAACATTTACGGATATAACAAAGAATTAAGCGAGGTTTTTACAAGAAATGTATAATATGCCTACTAGCTCAGACAGCGATTCAAAGTACACCGTAGCAGATATACTGTCTTCCATGGCTAAGGGGGAACCCGTTACTCCAACAGTAAGTATCAAATGTTTTTACATTTAGATATTTTGTATTCAGTTAATTCCATATAGCACGACTGAGAGGTTCATCAAAATTTACGGCGACCAAGCTGTAGTAGCTCGATCATGGCGTGGCTGTGTATCGTACGCCAAAGCCTATCCTTACATATGCGTCCCAGATCGCGGTCAGTCGCATTCTCTGTGTAAATATTAAATTGATTACATCATTTTGCACCTGAAAGAACACTGGGCACCTTAATAATGGTCGTTAAAACAAGGGGTGGCGGTTGTGTGGGGGCATGGAAGGCGGTTCAACCAACCGGGATCTTTGACTGCCTTGCAAAGTGGTGCGATGACCTACTTAAACACCAGGCCCAGAAATACTTGTGGTTTTGGTGACTTTTATCGGGTAGTCCACTTCCTACTTTTGAAAACTACGGTTCACTTCTACCAATCTTTAGGAAAATATTTATTTCGTGATATATGTAAATCAAACAGCTTCTATCAAAGGATCAAATTCGAAATTTTAGTATTCATTATTTGATCAAGAATTTATGGATCGCCGTCCCGACCAATTTAGTAATTTACCATCCTGTTCATTGCAGTTTTCTGGAGTACACATCCCCTCGTTCAGCACTGTGATTTCTACCCCGACTTCCATATTGACTCCAACTACTATAGCCAGCCTGGAGCAGACATTTTTGGATTTATCTATGCCGGCAGTCAGCACCGGAATGACACAGAGTGGATTTGTACCACCGGTTGTGGACCCAAGCTGTTCCAATTCTAGATACAGCTATGAACCTGATGAAGACAGTATGAGCTCAACGAGCACAGACCCAGACTGGATGCCCACACACGGACCTAAAAGAAGCCGTAACAGTGAAGGAAAAACTGGAGTGAATTACTCTGAGCTTGCCAAGAAATACCCAAGCACCAGAAGGCGGAATCTCAAGAACGAACAGGTGAGTTTTATGTCTGACCCTGAATATTTTCAATATTATATCAGCACAGTTCCAGGATTGATTAATTAATTATTCCAGCGAATTTTTGATTAAATATTTGCTATAGCAAAGTACTTAATTAAGTTATCATATTACATAAGAAACGGTAATATATAAAATTGGCTTAGATCCAAATCCAATTTTAATGTTAGCTTATCAAGAAAATAAATATAATTACACTCAGGGAAAACACTAGCTAGTACTGACATCAATTCATCGAATATTTCTTCGTGGTCTGAGTTACGAGTCAGCTGTTTTGTTCTTCCGACCGGCTCATAAACTTCCGGTTCATGAATACCTGACGTATAGCATAGTAATGTTGGGAAGGTCAGAAAGAGGCGGTAAACAACCCAGTTAGAGTGAAGTCAGGACAAAGACTTAACTGTAGAGATTTTCCAGTCGGTCAACCCCTGAGTTGAATTTACAGTTTGACTTCTCGTGACAGGTGTTATAAACATGTCTTATTTTCGTCATCAGGTACCTCCCGAGGAGGAAGAGAGGAGGCGATTGAGGAGAGAAAGAAACAAAATTGCTGCTGCTAAATGCCGTCAAAGACGGGTGGACGTTACGAACACTTTGTTAACGGTAAGTTTATTTAAATACATATATTTACATTTTTTTAATTTTAAATGGAAGAATCTTCAGCATATTTGGCCTTTTTCTTGGAGGTGTTAAAATTTAAAAGCCATACAAAAGAAAAACGATAAATGTCCAAGATTCAAAAGAAAATGCCCCCTCCATTTGATGTGTTATAAAAACTAACATTCTTGACATACCTTTATGAGATGGTTATCTTACCTGTGTAATGGCCACATAAATTAAGATGCCATTTGTCAGTCCTGAAGGATATGGAACGAGACAAGTACTCATGAATAAATGTCACTTAGAACCACTAAGTAATTACCATCAATGAAGCAAGTGCTTTGTATTTATCTTACTATTTCATGCAGGAATATAGAAGTTATGATTTATTTTACATTTCTTCAGGAAACTGACGGTTTGGAGGATCAAAAAGCATCCCTTGAACAAGAGATCCAAAGTCTACAGCAACAGAAGGAACAGCTTGAGTTCCTCCTCCAAGCACACAAACCCGTATGCAAGCACGACATTAAAGCGCCCAAACAGCAGGAGAGAAAGAGCATCATTGTGAAAGCAGAGCCAAGCAGCACAGTGTCTTCCTGTCAGGGGAGCAAAGGTGCTACCTCTCGCCCAAACTCCCTTCCTCTCGCCGAGTCTAGAACTGCAGTGACGGCAGCCACTGGGGTGTCGATATCAACCCCTTCCAATGGAATCTTCACATTCGGCTTTGACACCATGGTTGACGGCCATACAGGTCTGACTCCAGTCACGGGACCAAGCTGTGCAAGCCAAGTCCAGAGAGGATCCAGTGACAGCAGTCCCGACACGCTGAACTCGCCAACTTTAATATCTTTGTGAGGGACAACTCATGACTTGGTGACTTCTTGTGTATTCAAATACTATGCTGAATATTGACTTTTGATATGCCATAGTAAGACTCAATGTTGTATTTATAAATGTTTAAAAAGTGGATTTCATTTTTATATGCAAAGACAAGGACACCGGGATTATCGGATATGTGAACATTTTATATGGAATGGGTTCACCGTAATGCGAATGCACAAAATTATTGGTGTTCATGCCTTCTTTTTTTATACTTTTTTAAACATATATTCATGCTAGTGCTCTAGATGTTCACGTGCACTGACTTACAAAAAACTATTTCACACGAACAAAGCTGGTCTTGAGATTTTTAACGCGATTCTTGCAAGCTGGTCTTGCGCTTGATAAGCACTTTACACAAATCCGTAAGAAGCACGTAACTGCTTCTACTGCTGCGTTGCCACTATGATCGTTATCTACACAAGTTAAAAAAAAATTGAAAAAGGTTTTAGATGTCACCCGTTCAATGACTGCTTTCCTTTATTTTGGTATTTTTGTTCTAGTCTGCATGTTCCTCAGACATGTAAAAATGTAAATGGATGGTATTGTTTGAAGGTGCTGATGTGTTCCATCATGGTGTATCGACATTTGTAGTTGTTATTCCTCAGTCTTATGGGCATTAAAATTTTATTCATTCAAACACGGAATACGTTTTTGTGTTCTGCAACGAACATAGTGTCAAAAAATGTCACTGTGTTTTAAGACTTGATAGAGCGGAGAAAGAAGTCTATTTTCCCACAGTTTAAATCATATTAACAAACTCTTGAAAATGATCACGTCCTTCGCCTCAACTCTATTAGTCTCATGACCAAAGGACAATTCTAGTGTAATTTTAATTGTGTATTGTATATGTGTAATATATAAGCATTATTTATATATTTTTATACATTTTTATAGTTTATAAAATTATTTGACACGTGTTCATGAATCAATAAATGTTGAAAACTATTTGTCTTTGTCAGAAGTGAATACAGTTGTAGAGAGTTGGGCGTAGCCGCAGAGATAGGTAATGCGGTACAAATGACCTTTGAAGAGGTCTTATCATTAGACAATATGTCTCCTGAAAAATACATGTTCTACGTGTATTTGCCACCTTAGTGGAAAATACATGAGTTTACAATAAGACTATCAATTTTAGATCAAGTCGTATAACAAGCTGATATGACATTTTATGAAAACAATAGACCCTTTGTCAAAACGAGAAAAAGGGGAAGGACAACGAATCAGTAGCCACTCAAAATTCTTAAATCGTAAGCCCCTTTTTTCTAGTGCGACTGAACTTTTTAGTTTAATTTACATAAATGGCTAAGAGGTAATGTTCTTTTAAATTAATCAGGGAGTCATAATTCAAAATAAACTTTAAAAATTCATGGAAACGAAAATGAATGATATTTCACCTGAGACTTGAATAAGCAGATATCTTACTGTTTGTACCTTTGTGCGCATGACGCACCAGAGGGAACCAGTCCATTGTTGTATTTGTACAACCAAACCAAAGCTCAACAATCACAATTGAATGTAAATAATCACGGCAGTTTGTTTAGAAAATCACTTCCGCCGGACTTATATTAACTCCTGGAGCCTAGGGAAAAAGAACAGCCAGAATTTATCTGCTGTTGGAGCTCAAGCTATATGACGAATAGATTAAATGACATTGTCGCTTAGGTATGATACCATAATAGGCCTGCCCCTGTAAAACAACAATTAATTTTAACTTTGTAAAATTTTTATCTTGGTGATGTCAGAGACATTTGTATATTAACGTTTTTGAGACGAATTTTTCCGTTGTGTATTAGGCCAGATTTAACCTCTTTGATGATTATGTCATAACCACGTATCAAGTTTACCAGAAAGTTTTTGGCGAGCATATTCGATGTAAAGGGTGCTATTGATTTTCATCCCATCTAAAAATAATTTAATTTACATGTATATGTAAATGGTCAAAAATATATTCGTCTTTTACTCATATCCATTAACGCGTTTTCATCATTTAACAATAATTCGCCACTGTGACCTTCCGTAGGCCTACGTGTTATATTCATTAAAACCATTATCTATTTATCTATCTTCTTTTTAATGAAATTGGAATATTGGAATTGGAATAAACAAATAAAATATTTTCTCTCATAATGAAATGATATTTCTATTTTTTTTAATATTTTGGGAGCATTTACTCTCAAAATAATTCAAAGACTTGCAGAAGTCTACAGTGCCAGCACGAAATGCAATTTCGACTATTGACTCCCAGAAAGAGAAAGAGCGAGAGACTCAGAGAGAGTATCAAGACGGTTGGGAGATGAGCGCCAGGTGGGTGTACCTTACCGTTTTAACCTATCTGCTCAACAACCAATCGCTGAAGGTGTCACTAGTAACTTTCCTTCGTCAATTAGGAGTGTTTTTTAACCAATTCATGGCGGTTTTTGGACTTAATAACCTTTATTTAACTTCTGTACATCACGCGTAGATATTTGAGATTTTCCGAGCTAAAATATAGTTCAATTTGAATGTATTGTGTGTGTGTGGGGGGGGGGGGGTCACCTTTACATTCATCATCTTTATCTGTTAATGATAGCTCAACGTCAACCAGAGGCTTGTGTTATTGAAAAGCGTGACATCCATTTTGTGAAATGTTATAAATCTTATGAATGTCAATTAGTTGCACCTAGCGTAGCTCTAGTTATGCAAAGGTCGTATTTTTTTTTACATTCCATTCATTATTCATGTACATGTATAATGCCCAGTAGGCCCAGGATTTATATCATTATTTTGCAAGCGGCATTTGTTTTGAGTGTTTCTGGGCCTGGTATTAAATGGATGTTAATCACCTTAACATGTCTACAAATCTGATGCAAAATATGCTTTGTGCTGTCAAGGAGTTATAACTCCTTGGTGCTGTCAAAGTCAAATATTTATCACAGTTATATTCGCTCTCCAGTGCCAATGTATTCAGTTGTGTTAGGAGGCATGGAGGGTGCAGGCAGGCAGCACCGATACCGCACTTGGCACTGGCTTGGCAGCACAGTGTGTTGGCAGTAGTTCCCATTGTTCTTCGTTTGCGATGACAAGATAAAAATCACCAGTGCCCACAAATAGGCTGGCATATTAGGATATTGTTTGCTGTTCCGTTCCTTATTATGGCAAATGCTGATGAAAATTAAATAAATATAGATAAATAAATAAAAACAAATTATTCCGTATTTCAGGCAAAATAAATCAATCACGAAACTTGTAAAACTATTCACTTCGCTTTATTTTACGAGAAATTCGCCTCCTCGGTTTTTCAAATTCATAGCCCTTATCATTTTGAATCTAATCCCTAAAACCATATCCTTTCATGCAGTACCGTTATTTACACTTGCTGTGAGGTGCACAGTAACAATTTATGGCAGGTAACGCTAACACATTTGGCATCTGTGTTTGTGCTTTTCTCATTGTATCGTTGGCCTTTTTTCTTGAAGAAAAAAATTGCTCTCCTCACTGAGAAAGAGAAATTTAAAAAGCGCAAAACAGGTATGTTTTTAGTTTGTTGCAAGCAGACTTCATTTAGAGATATGCTGTATCACAAGTCGCTGGCGTCTCTTCTTATGAGAAAGAAGTTAATAAAACCAAATAAAAAAATGACCCGTTTCTGTCTGTAATTTAATCATCAGCCTGCCAGCTATGGATAAATTCGAGAGGCTATAGGGCCTATATAGAGACTATATTTTTTTCCAATTGCAGGCCTGTCCTCAAAAATTGAACTAAAGATATAAACACATTTACTACATCATAACCTTATTTATTTAAATGACATGCGAACATTCTCTTCCAAAGATTAACCTTAAAAGAGTATTGTCAATACACACTGACTAAAGCGGCCCGACTAAAAGACGCTGTAGGCCTAAATTAATCTTTCTGTCGTCTCTGGCTGTGTAAGCATTCTGAGAATGGTAGGCTTTTACCCTTCACCAGGGCCACAGGTTGATTTATCACTAGATATTCACATATAATTTTCGGTTTATTCATGGCACATTTCGGCTGACATTTATCCACTGTGAACGTTGGATAAAAGTGCACATAATTAATCCTGGTAGACGGTATAGCAGGCTCCACATCTTAGCCAGCCTGGGCTTGTTCCAGTTATTCTGTGTCAACAGAGGCTATCTTGATTGACTTGATTGCCTCCCCCCCCCCCCACTCCCCCCAGCGTAACCATACAAATACTGCATATAATCTTCTTGATAAATTTCTAAGTGTTCAACGGTGCAGATGAGGCAACAGCTTCATATCTGACATCACTACCTGCATTACACATTCTCTCATTCAGGTTATCACTATCTCAAAATCTCTGAATTATACGAGTTAGTCCACCTCACTGAACAAACTGCTGACCTAATACGTGTACGGTGTTTGCTGACCTCATCATCATTGTCAATATAGACTTAGCTATATTTTATAGTGTCAAACCGCAAAAGATTTCGCAATGCTGTTATTGTTGATACTGAAGAGGATACCCCCTGCCGGAGTTACAGGTGTGCAGAAAGTTCTGTAACCAGAATTTAGTTTTCAAATATTTGAAATATGTAGCCCTACAGTACGGATTCATTAAGAATAAAAGATGCTTGGATCATTGTAATTAGTTGTTATTTCCATATATAATGCCGATGCAAGTAAAAAAGTTAGAGAATCTTTATTTAGCCATGTACAACTATTTGGGTCACTGGGCAAACATGTAGCAGCTTGACATTATAAATGTATTCACTGTCTGAGTCACTACTTCGGTAGACAAGGTGTTTGCATGTTTGAAATATATATTTTTGGTGTTTTTATCCTATTAAATTAAACCTTATGTTTTAAAGTAAGCAGTTGAATATCATACAAATAATTTGCACATTTTAAATTGCCATTTTTAATGTGATTTTTAGCGCAATGAAGGGAAATCCGTCCAAGGTTCCACGTGGCCTTGGTGACGTGTGACCTACTTTTTGAAAATGACGTCGCATGGTTATAAATAGCCTCACAACAAGAAATGTGCATACCGCAGCAATCCCCATTCAGTATTGCACCACCACCCTGAAAAGTGAGACGTGTAGCAAACTAAAGTGTCCGAAACCAGACAGACAGGTAAGTCGTCATTACCACGAGTGTGTTGCTAATATTTTTATGAAAAAAACGCTACTGTTAGCATTACACGTTTNCTGTAATTTAATCATCAGCCTGCCAGCTATGGATAAATTCGAGAGGCTATAGGGCCTATATAGAGACTATATTTTTTTCCAATTGCAGGCCTGTCCTCAAAAATTGAACTTAAAGATATAAACACATTTACTACATCATAACCTTATTTATTTAAATGACATGCGAACATTCTCTTCCAAAGATTAACCTTAAAAGAGTATTGTCAATACACACTGACTAAAGCGGCCCGACTAAAAGACGCTGTAGGCCTAAATTAATCTTTCTGTCGTCTCTGGCTGTGTAAGCATTCTGAGAATGGTAGGCTTTTACCCTTCACCAGGGCCACAGGTTGATTTATCACTAGATATTCACATATAATTTTCGGTTTATTCATGGCACATTTCGGCTGACATTTATCCACTGTGAACGTTGGATAAAAGTGCACATAATTAATCCTGGTAGACGGTATAGCAGGCTCCACATCTTAGCCAGCCTGGGCTTGTTCCAGTTATTCTGTGTCAACAGAGGCTATCTTGATTGACTTGATTGCCTCCCCCCCCCCCACTCCCCCCAGCGTAACCATACAAATACTGCATATAATCTTCTTGATAAATTTCTAAGTGTTCAACGGTGCAGATGAGGCAACAGCTTCATATCTGACATCACTACCTGCATTACACATTCTCTCATTCAGGTTATCACTATCTCAAAATCTCTGAATTATAGGCCCTACGAGTTAGTCCACCTCACTGAACAAACTGCTGACCTAATACGTGTACGGTGTTTGCTGACCTCATCATCATTGTCAATATAGACTTAGCTATATTTTATAGTGTCAAACCGCAAAAGATTTCGCAATGCTGTTATTGTTGATACTGAAGAGGATACCCCCTGCCGGAGTTACAGGTGTGCAGAAAGTTCTGTAACCAGAATTTAGTTTTCAAATATTTGAAATATGTAGCCCTACAGTACGGATTCATTAAGAATAAAAGATGCTTGGATCATTGTAATTAGTTGTTATTTCCATATATAATGCCGATGCAAGTAAAAAAGTTAGAGAATCTTTATTTAGCCATGTACAACTATTTGGGTCACTGGGCAAACATGTAGCAGCTTGACATTATAAATGTATTCACTGTCTGAGTCACTACTTCGGTAGACAAGGTGTTTGCATGTTTGAAATATATATTTTTGGTGTTTTTATCCTATTAAATTAAACCTTATGTTTTAAAGTAAGCAGTTGAATATCATACAAATAATTTGCACATTTTAAATTGCCATTTTTAATGTGCTTTTTAGCGCAATGAAGGGAAATCCGTCCAAGGTTCCACGTGGCCTTGGTGACGTGTGACCTACTTTTTGAAAATGACGTCGCATGGTTATAAATAGCCTCACAACAAGAAATGTGCATACCGCAGCAATCCCCATTCAGTATTGCACCACCACCCTGAAAAGTGAGACGTGTAGCAAACTAAAGTGTCCGAAACCAGACAGACAGGTAAGTCGTCATTACCACGAGTGTGTTGCTAATATTTTTATGAAAAAAACGCTACTGTTAGCATTACACGTTTAAGTATTCTATCTGTTTTAGGACGAGTTTTTTAAACTTTCAGTATGATGCACGTGTTGCACGATGTTTACAAACACCCACTATTTGGGCGTTTTGCCAACCGGCATGCTATCCGTTTACTACTGTTATTATTGCACTGCTGTTCTGTTGCTGTCATATAACAGAATTTGAAAATGCGGTTTTAGGTTGGCTCTAACACCTATTTTGGTATTAATTTCGTGTATATGTAATATATGCTTTAAAGTGTGTAGCACCTATACGAAAAAATGAAGTGCAGAATGGTGAAAGAGAGAGGTTGTCTATTAAGTTTCTGCAATACTGTGTAGTGACAGTAGCAATAATCATTAGTACGTACAGTGACTCTGCTCACGGTGGTGGTAACGGTTATTTGTAATGGAAATGCAGTCTCGAAGGTGTGTATTGATTATCCAGCGTGTCACACGAGAAAAGCAATCTTGATTGTTTAATGTGTGCTGATGGGTGTTGTGATACTTCTAACAAGATATGTTTGTCTTCTTTTGCCTTATTTTTCGTGTAATATAATTGCATTTTTACCTTAAATGCGTATAATAATAATAATTATTATTATTATTATTTAACAAAATATTTATATTATTTGTTATTTGCATTCAGAACAATCTTCATAACAATGTTACGAGAAGACAAGCCTAACGAGGAGCACTTTCTAGCCGATTTAAATGACGTGGCTCAAGATTTTATCATCGGTTTTGACGGAGAGACGAACGTTGTGACCACCACCTCAGAGTGGCCCGTCTTCTCAACGGGAACGGACACATCAACAGCGATCTCTCTCACAGAGACATGGGCCCCTGTTCCCAGCCAGCAACTTACAAGCCCTGGCAGCCTTGGTAGCCTTGGCAGCGCCACTTCTTATAGTGTCCCAGAGGATACACCATTCTTTCTAGACATTGGTAATTCAATTAAGAAAAGCTTATCCTCGTCCGTGGATGGTGATGATGGAAGGAGTTCGGTCACCTTCTCCGACTCTTTAGACTATTCTAGAGATTCTTTATCAACCACCCCGGGCCCTTCCACTGCCTCAAATGCCACCCCTGGGGACATCGAAGATGCAGACATTTTTACATTTGACGATCTCGACCCAGCGTCCTTGGTAGCAGCTGTTGAAGGGGATATGACCCCCCTGTTAAAAGAGGAGCTCAAGTACACTATTCTCAGTAAAAGGCACTCAAAAGGACAGGCGGAGCCAAATGTGGAATACAAACTACCAGAACCTGAACAGGTATTAACACAACTGTGAAAGACAATGTTACATAAGCCCCATCCTATTCCCTTACTATTACTAACAAACAAGCAAACCATTTATTTATTTATTTATTTATTTATTTATTTATTTATTTATGTACATATTTGTGAATGAATGAAAATATCACTGTGACAAAGAGTCAGTAAAAAATCCTCATTTACCCCCCCCTCCCCCACTCCCCACCACCATAATCACCACCGCCTTCCCAAACCTACCCTCTGATACCTGTGTTATTGGATATTATTTGCTTTCATACACATCATGACATTGATACTGATATTGTATAGTCAATCATTTGTAAATTTTGTGGTACTATCACCGTGTTATCGCTGTTTTTACATTTTGAACCGTGATTTGATGGTGCTGATTAGCAATCGCGTATTACACATTGATTTTATAACTACGTCTAACAGCAACAATAATAAACGATAAACTTTGACTTTGGAGTGATGTTAAGTTTTTTTCTACCGTTTTAAACATTGCTTTATCTTTTGCAGCTTACAGAGGCTGACTTGGTTCGACGATCTAGGCGGAAAGAAAGCAACCGAAGAGCCGCCCAAAAATGTCGAAGAAAGAAGAAAGAAATGTCAGAACAGCTATTAGAGGTAAGTTTTTACTCTTAAATTAACTTATTCTCAGTGGATCGAGAAATGATCGAAGAGCTTGATGAAAATGTTGGATCATATCATATAGCGGTATTTGATGATAATTTCAAACTCTGAAGTAAGAGAAAATATAAAGAGTTCCATAAATTTTGATTTATTTGTTTATTTAATTTCAAGAGGTGTTAATGAGTTTGTATTCGATTTTGTATCCAATTTGCTAATTTGCGGTTTTTAATCATACGTCATTAATCGGGTAGATAAAAAAGCGCATCGAACTTAAACTTAGCAAATTTACTTTTCATTTGTCAAATATTGATATATAAGTTACTTTCTTGTTCTTTTTTTACCCACTTTATATTTTAAGTCACACTTTTGTTACAGTAAATAATACATTTACTTTAATCTTACAGCAAACAGAACAACTTGAATCCCAAAGAGATTCTTTGAAGAAGACGATCCAAGAACTAATAGACGAGAGAGATCTTTTATCGGATCTCTTCGACGCACACAAAATCGCCTGCAGAAAAAGTGGTAGCGAAAGTTGTTGAAGGTACTAGGCAAATATGGGAACTTTTCAGTCCTATTTTCTTTAGAAGGACCAAACTGTGGCGCTTTCTTACTGTTTATGCCCAAAAAAGGGTGGGCTAAAAACAAGCTTGCCTTTGCTTGTTGTTCGTAGTGATTCCGACTTGAAAGAAATGGCATTGGACTAATATGGGCATGGGCTAATGCATTTCCACTACTGGATCTGCAGCGATTTGGAACACTGTTATTTAATTGGTTGTTTGCCACGCTGCAGTATCAGAAATGGACGCTTATTCGAACCTTAAAAGGCATTGTAATGGTTACTGCACCGGTAACATTGTTGGGAAATTGAGGCAAGCCTGGACTTAACCTTAGGCCTATATAATATCAATCGATCAGCCTTACACCATAAAAGGCGACGAATATGTTTCCTATCCATATAAGGCCTCGAACCTTCTATCAATCTGGGTCGGTTTGAACTCTTTAATCAGATCTGTTTTGTGTATTATAAAATGTCATCAGGTACTGTTAAAATGTGTCAAAGGTGTAGGGACCAGTGATTGGTGACCCGTCTGCCCTAAGAACTGCCAGACAAAATTATCTTGATAAAATGCAGCGCTATCTTTTTAATTTTTCTCGATATCAAACAAGTGTGAAATTTGATTATATGTTAAACAGAAATATATATATATTTCTTTCAATTAATTTATGTAGTAGGTAACCCACTAAGGCTTAAAGTTAGGTCAGATGTGTTTGTTTCTTGTAAGTGGGTTTTCACAAGGTGCACGTGTACCTTGGAATGATTAAGCAATAATTTTGTTTACAAAATACGCGAGTGAGGGAATCTCCAGACGGGTTGGTCAACAGATATCACCTCATTTTCAAAGCCGGAACGAATAGAATGCTATTACTGAGCTACTTCAATTTCAGCCTCATATGGGTATGAATCATCACTGATCTAGTCTATAAGCTCGTATTTATAGAACTGGGTATCACCTACTGTCAAAGGCTGCAATATTCTAATGTAAATATTATGTCTCGGTTGATAGGGGAGACGTGACGTATTTGCCGTAACTGGGTCGGGATCCTTGCGCCTGACTCTGAATCACCAGTTATTGCGACACCTGTAGGGCATTGGGTTCACGTGTCGCAAGCACGGGCATTAAACTTTACAAATCGTTAACTTACCATTGACCTATATTGAGTGTCCTTCAGTCTGATTTCATACTTTTATATTTTTTATTTACTGTTCACAATTAAAGGCAGCATCATTGTGAGTGTAGAGAATTTCAAATGAAGTATGTTGGTATATCAGTGTAATATAGTTATGACTGCGCCTCATTGTAAATAGTGTACAGCAGCGCCAGATGAATGAGCGACGTGCATGAATGGTGAATCTTAACAGAATACACGACCGATAGAGGAGTCTGAGTATATGGTGTACAGCATAACAGAATCAAGGTGTTCAATTTTTCATATTGAAGACATTTTGTTGTAATAAATGATGTATTTGTAATTCCGTGTTCTTGTTTTACATGGCGACAATCTATTTATTCATTTGGCAGTGATGCATAAATAAAAGACGGTGTCACGTAGTATACTAAATTGCCTTAAAGTGTTAAAATTATCTTTTTTCCCTTTCAAATATCAAACAATTGAATTTGGCCAGATCAGGTAATTGTAGCATTAAAAAAAAAAAAAAAAAAAAAAAAAAAAAGCAGGATTTTCTCACTCCTCATCGACCAGCTGTCTCTACGGAAATGGGCACGGCTTGTGTTTACTTTGTGAAATAGGGGCTTACGTGGAAAACGTATCCATTTATGATGGGAAGGTGTCCTTGTAATTATCACATGAATTCTGAGTAACCATCTAGGTATTGCAGCAACAGGTAGGGCAGTCAATCTCATACCACTCAGTAGTCCCCTGCCACCCTAAGATAGTCTTCATAACAGAGAGTACCTTGTATATGGTCAATTCTTTTAAAGCACATTTCTGTTTTACCCCGAGTCAAGCATACATTATAAAGCATTCTGTCCCCAATTATATAACTGCCCAATGGCGGATCGAATTGGTGTACCGTGTACAGCGAGGTCAGTTATCTCCATGCTTCGGTACTCGGATTGCTTTCAGCATTCATAATTAAGACCTGTGATTAATATATCGATCTTTATCAACAATGACGCATGAAGCCTGCTAATCTACTAAAGTAACGAAGTGTAGGCCCTCTATCGTGCTTTTTGTTTATTATTATTATTATTATTATTATTATTATTATTATTTAAATAACAAGCGCGATTTCCATCGTGGTGGATGTAATAAGCATTGCACCCTACCGTAGGATGCTTGTAGATTCAAAACTGTCTATGTCTCAAATTTTTGCCTTATAGTGCTGTTAGAGAACGGTTGTTTTAGATATATTCTGCTCAGTATTCGACTAACTGAATATTAAATCATTACAGTTAATACGTTGACAGGTCTTTCTGAATCATAATCATGCAGTAATTATGTGACACTATAAGAGCTGGTTTGTCCGTTTCTGCTGTGCAATATTTTAGATGCCGCTGGTCTGACAGCAATTTATTATTTGCTTCTTGGCGACATTTGATAAGTCTTTTGTGTGTGCGTGTGTGTGTGCGTGTGTGTGTGTGTGTGTGCGTGTGTGTGTGTGTGTAGTGCATCGTTTCACACAAAGGACTGTACATATAAAACAAATGGTTTTTTGGAGTCGAATAAAAGTTGAATCTAAATCAGAATTGAAGGCTTTGTTTCATTGACTTGTAACATGTCGTTTAAAAAGCATATTAAGATGCCTTTTCAAGCCCTATATCAACTTCACTTGTTCCATTCATTTGAAACTATGTATGTATCCAAACGTGGTTTCCAAATAAATTTTACATAGGGCCTACTATTCGGGCTAAACGTAACGCAGTGGCGGATTTAGGGGGCGGTGTCAGGGGGATCCTGACCGTCCCCTTTCGATTTCTGAAAAAAAATTGCACCAATGGTCCCCTCTTGAAATTAGAATTTTGGTAAGCTGAATCATAGTTGTAAACCGTACCAAATGGCACAATTCGCTCTCTAAAATACCGAAATTTTCGTCCCCCCCCCCCCCCACGCTGAGAAGGGAGGGGGTCGGCTTCGCATCCGCGGCCTGTCATTCCTAAAAAACGGACCGCCCTTAAAATAATCATGGATCCGCCCCTGAAACGTATTGTGAAGTCTCGCCATTATTGGCCTACAGACCTGATATATTATCGTTTTGTGATTCAATATAAATACAATATGTGCATGCGTTGCGTTGTTTTCAGCTATGAGCCGATAAATCATACCTGCGAGGCAGCCAAGTAGTCTATAAGTTGTAGATTTTATATTATTTTCTTCATCTTGTTCTTCTTTGACTTTTTTGCAACTACCGACAGATATTCTACTTAGTCCAGACTTTGAGCTTGTTCTTTAGTGTAAAGCAGATAGTTGGTGGACTTTTGCGGCAAAGAAAAGCCGAGTCAGTCAGATATGAATCGCCCCGCAAGGAAGATGGAAGTGTAAATCATATAAGGTCCATCATGCAGTATTTGAGGAATTAATAGAAATAAAAAATGACAATTATACATGTAAAATATTTCTTTAAAGGTAACTCATTTAAACATACAAAACAAAATTAAATGGTATGATATAACAATTAAATGAAGTGATGTCGTTATTCTCTCAGATTTTGCTTTAAGCGGAGGACATATAAGCGTTATCATATTTTAATTAATCAAAGTTTATCACAAAACACGCTTAATTTAATGCAGATAAATTCTTTCCCTCCAAATTTTCAGATCATTGAAAGAACTGGCTTTAAAAATTTTCAGTGGCAAAAGTCCTAAACATCAAGAAATGTTAAAAACTTCAGATCAGCTTCGTTTATAAAAACCTTCGTGCGCATAAAAGCGGATATTTATGGGATTCGAATATGAAGAAGCTATATATATATATATATTCCATTTTTACCCTTCTAAATAATAATAGCAAGTGAAGAGCTATCACAGAGTTATCTAACACAATATTATTTGAGGCGCCCTCTTTTGGTCTATTCGTTTATGAAAATCCCCATACAGGCTATTTATAGCACGTTGACTCAGCCACAGCTGATCTTACACAACGTGTTCCTAAATGCGTGTTTGAGCCGATGTCATAGTTTTGTATCCTATAAAACATAAAACAGATAAAGTTGTGTGTTATAGGGATCCCTTCAGTTATTTATAAACTCCCCGTACATAAGACAGAAGTGTAACGAGCAGGTATATGGTCCTCCAGGCAGTCATCAGTCTTTGTGGGGATATCGGCTTTTTGTTAGATTTTATAACCTCAGTGCCATGACGCTGTGCTTTTGAAACGTGCGGCACGCATTTCGTCATACGAAGTTTCTAGAAAAGGACTACGCTCGCTGATAATTTTCATCATTCCAAAGGAATCAGAAGCATATCACAGGCACACGAGGACTCAATCCTTCGTTCGTACAGTACGACGGCCAGTGACAATTCTACTTTATATTTTATTAGTGATTACTTTACATTTATCGATGTGTATCATGGCAAGAGCAATTACATCACACGTTTCTGCTTTTAAGACATTTCATAGGGGCTCCGAGGAAATACCTTATTACCCTCATATTAAGTGTGAACCAAACGCAGGGGTGGAGCTTGCCCAAGTGGCTCTTTGGGCCATGTCAAGGGAAGAGGCTCAGCACGTTAGACCTGACAGCGAGCCCTCTAGCCCCACCGTTTGGCAAGGCGGTTGGCAGGATTTAGAGAGCTCTAATAACAGCCGAAGCTCGCATGATGTGAAGTCTGAAGAATATGATGAAGATGGAGAAGACAGTAAGTCGGAGTCCCTGGAATCTGCGGGGAATTCCGACGAAGAATGGAAGGTGAGTCGACAGAATTTAGACTGTCATCATTGCGTTAGATGTGCCCGCAGTTTTTTAAATTCACCGTCATTAGACACAAGTGCACATAAACAAGTTTGTTAAAGTCAACTTATTTTAAAGGTTATAGATATGGGTGTTTTCGTTCAGTTTGAAAAGAATATATAATGTGCTTGTGCTACCTATGCGGAGCAGATAATTAACTGTAGGCCTACTTTTGCAGGTCTGTGGATGACTAGTTAGGTAGGCCTATGCCTTAAACGAGGCACAAAAAACGCATTCAGCGAGCTCGCAGTCGTATTATAAACCGTGAAATGTACCGTAACATCACAAATGCCGGTTTAATGTTAGTGCATACAATTTATTATTAATGTACATCTGACATGACCCTTACCGTCGTAGAGGTGACTTTGAAGTGACCTTGGAAAGCGTCCCTTTCGACCGGGGCTCGGAAAATTGACTGATGCAATACCGTGTTCAAGTTGCGTATCACTGGGCATGCGCGGAGGGACAGCTAGTATGAAATTTGCCGAAGTATGGATATCCTCGCTTCGCATGTTGAGAAAAGGGGGTGCGTTGTGATTTTAAGGATAGGGCCTAATAAATGTTAGCTATACACACGAATATTGAAAAAAATTAAAGGGAGAGAGGAAATATGAGGCTTAGGCCTACTCCCCCACCCCCCCACACACACAACCTGTTGCATTTCTAAGTTGAAATAATATATAATTTAAGGAATATCATTAAAATTTTATCTTTTCTTCTTCTAGCCTACAACTGAAGATCGTCGTAAGCGACGCCGCGAACAGAACAAAATAGCCGCTAGGAAATGTAGGGAGAAAAAGAGAAAGCAAGCGCTGCAAACTAAAAAGGTAATAGCTACATCATCTCCTTGTCAATTAGCAAGTAAAACACACCCGAATTTTTTTGTTGTTGAGTTACAAATCCTTATATAAAAGTAATCTTGCTTGCCCTGTGAAGTCTAAAATGGAAAATAAACTAGATAAAGCGGTAGTTCTAGTTAAAATAATTATAAGAATATTTAATCATGACGAGTTCCGTTTTTTCATTTTCAAGGAAACTGAACAGCTAGAATCAAGAAACGCTGAATTACGAAGGAAGATCCGTGAACTAGAGAGCAAAAAGAAACTTTTATTGGAATTATGCTCCAGGAAGATGAAAACACAAATGAACTCACCAAAAAAACTGTGGAGGCGACAATCGCAACTCGCAAACAACGATGCCAGTTAAAAACCCGTCCATGGATAGTTTCGTCTGTATGACGAACTTTGTGGAGCCGTTTTAAGTTAGAGGACGAGATCCACCCGAGATCCCGTCCTCTTGAATCGGCAATTAATGTAAAGCTCAGGGCCTTGCTGTTGGACAGTGAGAAAGATATGTACATAAAAATGTAAATATTATATAATATATACTTGAAATGACAATGGGAATGTCAGTAACGTGCAAGAGATGGCGCTGCAGATGTGAGTTGAAAAAAAAAAACAAAACGAAAAAACAAAGGGTGCTTGATATGAGGATCGGGAAAATGTCGGTATACCTGTAAGGCCTGAGAAATCCTAATTATATGAACTACAATACGGTGAATCTCTGGTTGCTGTAACTGTGGCTTTCTTTATCTTACTGTACCACGGCTGGGCTGAAGGAACTTACGGAACAAAACGCTGTTACTGCATATGTAAAACCGGCTCGATAAAAATGATTTGAACATATGCATGGGGAATTACTCGTTTTTACATTATTGTTTATGTCATATCTTAATTATGGTTTATAGCTATATGTCATTCCACTATATAAGTTAAATGAGATTTATTCTTTTGTACTTTGTTAGGGTATTACAGTTCCTCGTAAAAATGTTAGTCATATAACACAGATACTGATAAAATCAACAACTAGCCTCTGCTCAGATCACTCTGAGATTTTGCGATTAACATTTATCAGAAGCATTTCTAAGGATCTCCTGATGGTGGAATTTAAATGTTATCCAATGGAGTGGTTAATGCGCAAAAGGTCACCGTTAAGATTGATATACTCGGTTGTGTAATATGGTAATAACGATGTTTTAATTGCACAACTATAACCTACACAAAACCAGTGAATGAAACGAGTGAAATTCAGTTTCTGTTACCAGGTTGTTTTGTATTTGTTTTGTACTTAATATGTAAGTAAAGAGTTGGTTTATAACTGGACTTTTGTTTTTTATTCAATTTGAAATACTTAAACTAATCTGAATTGAATGGGTCAGAAGCTCTCAGTTTTTTCACTATATATATCTTAATCTCGATAGGTCCAACTTATCAGAGTGAACCATGTATGATGTAATTGAGAATAATAAGGAGAGCACATAATGTGCCCTACATGTTTCATACTAACTCGAATGTTACCTATGTACAGAGACTGGGGGATGATCTTGGATCGCCTACGAGAGCCGCCTGTGCATATTATTATATCCAATATATTATACATAAAATTGGGAAACGGATCGGATACGAATTATTCCTACCCTTATGATTACACCAAGAATGCATTACCATTCTTGATTATATATAGAAGTTTATTTGTATATGCAAGGAATGCCATCTAATTCCTCTTTGGTATATCGGGTATTTGCAAGTCATCTCCACTTTATCGAAAGGTCACTGACCTGCGGCCTAGTTAAGAACTGAATGATTATAATATATCATTTCGTTCTAAGCCTGATAAATGTCAATCTCCAGGAAGAATGGAGACGTACTCCTTCTCTTCTTACTTTTCAATGCGAGACGGTTGTCTACATTGTGAGGAAACGAGTGTCACTGATGTGCACCGCATTTTGCAAGATGACTTCCCGGGTCGCGACAGTCCTTTCTTCGTGTACAGCCAAAATCAGATAGTAGAAAATATCCTTGCTTACAAACAGCCACTACTTAGTCTGAGCAACCAATGCATACTGGGCTATGCTGTGAAAGCCAACTCGAATTTATCAATACTGAAACTCATCCGACAGCACTGCGACACTGCTGTCGTTGTCAGTGGGAATGAACTGAAGTTGGCATTGGCCGCGGGATTTCTCCCGGAAAATATTGTCTACAATGGCTGTGGAAAAACGCTTCGTGAAATCGATCACGCGGTCAGTGTGGGCTGTTTGCTGAATATAGACAGCTTGTTTGACGTTGCCCACATTGGAAAGATTGCGAAGGGTAGAGGTGTCACTGTTCGAGTCCTCATTAGGATTAACCCGGACATCGAAGTGGTAGGTACACGTGCACCATACCCTCAACCAGGCCTGCAGATTATTTTTGTGCCCTTATCTCCAGCGCAAAATAATCATGGCATGAGATATCTGTGAATATCTAGTGAAAACCCAATCTGTGACCCTGGTACAGGGCTATATACCGTCTACAAATTGCATTTGGTTAGGACCCCAATGTTGCATCCTAGCATTTGGAAACCAGATAGATCAAATGTGCTTTTATTTTGATCGTTCCCTAAAAAAAGAGCTTATATAATGTTTCGTTATCATTTGAATGTCTCCAAGATAAGGCTCTGGATCCAAACTTGAAACTTTCATTACAAGTCGTTGACTGGACATTGACTATTGTTTTAAGAAGAGTACCCGTCTCTGAGAATTTATATGCATATCCGATTTTAACAAAAAAAAACTTTTTGATGGAGGTCAGTTATAAATAGAACAAATTATCAAAGAAACATTTGACAACTTGTCCGCGATATCTTTGATTCTTTTTACTTCTGGCATACTTTTTGTACTGATCGTAGACGGCCCATCCATACATTTCTACCGCCTTGGCACAATGTAAATTCGGAATAGGGATAAAAGAGATTGACGAGGTTCTCAGATATTTGCAAGATCAACCAAAATTGCGTCTTGTGGGCTTCCACTGCCACCTCGGCTCAACTATAGAGAGAACAGACGTGTATAGGTAAGATCAAGGGGACTGAACGGAATTACCTTGAGTGGTAGGTGAGTCTTGTAATTTAGTAATTTTTTGGCATGTAAAGACAAGACGTAGGGACTCAAAATAAATATGAACACGGGTGTTACTACATATTCAGCTTTCTCTGTTCCAAATCTGCCATAAACTATGGCACAGGTGAGATATTGAATGTCTCGATTAGTTTAAAGTAAGTATCGGAAGACTCAATAAATGAGTTAATTTTATATAATTATTTTTATGCATTTACTAAACTTACATTGCTGTAGAAGTCAAAATAAAGACGTGACTCACGTAACTGACACTTTTATCACCTAGAAAGACCGTATCTTCAGTGCTACAGGTGGTGGAGACTGTGCGTTCCATGGGATTGACGGATATCCAATACATAAATATAGGCGGAGGGCTTGGGATCGACTACAAAAGACATGTAAGCATTATATATGTATCTAAATATAACTGCACAAAAATCAATTATGATGAAAAAAAATCTGCCATATTCAGAATTACGTTAAATTGTGGAAGTCGTATTTTACAACAGTCACAGGTCATAGACCCAATTTTAATCTGTCTGAATATATTTCACAGGCGAAGAGAACCAGCCCTTTTATCAAACCAGCATTCTTGGACATAGTTTTCCGGTCTTTGCAGGATGGCAAGGCTGAGACAGATATCATAGCAGAAAATATACTTGAGGCATTTGAAAACCAACACAAGTTAGAATATATCTATAGAATATAAGTATCAAGCAATACAACTCGTCTGTCAGCGTAAATTGTTTACATGTTTTATCCTAGTTGTGTAATTTAAAGCAATCGTTTCTTATTTGATAATTGTCTCGTTTCCTTTCTATTCATTATTTATTCTATTTATTATTACAAGCTTTATTTTGCGTTGATTTTCAGATATAAGGTTTTTATCAAATTATCATAGATATTTTAAATAATTTGAAATGTTTCTGCTAGAATGACACCAGAAGAAGTCAGTGAAATTATACGAAGCAACTTACAGCAGTATCCACACCTAATCGAGGAATTTGAAAAACAACTGGAACCAGAAGTAATTTTGCCTGAAAGTTTCAATTTTTTCCTAATTTACTCACGTACATCACTTAAGTAATGGAAGCAGATAATCAAGATGGGACATGAATAAATAGGACCTAAATTGGGTAGTTTTATGATATACAGGTATGAAGACTAGTTTGATATTTGATCTAAAGTGTGTTTCAGCTTTCCCACCAGTGTCCTACTCCCAGCGACCTCGTTGCATCAGTCAAAGATTTAGTTGAAGGGAAAAATATTTCCTTAATTTTGGAGCCAGGGCGTTCAGTAGTAGGAAACGCTGGCGTGCTCGTTATGCATGTAATAGGGTGTAAGAAAAACGGACACAAAAGGTAAACCACGACATCAACAAGAAACATCTCATGAGTTCTTTAAAAATTGCCAAAGTTAAAAAGACAGAACCAGTGATGCCATTTATACAGCATAAAGATATCTACATGTTGAACGACAGAATTGAATCAAACCATGAATGTGCGCGCTAACGAAATTACTTACGCTTCAATTTTTTAATATTCAAATCCTTTTCACCAATTTCTTAACGTTTGTAGATTTTTAATAACAGATGGGTCCATGACCGAGGTTATCCGGCCAAGTCTTTACTCCGCATACCACCACATAGAGCTGGCGGAATCCAGTACTTTGGCTTGCGGGAAGGCTGTATACGACATAGTTGGACCAGTATGTGAGTCGGGAGATTTCCTCGGAAAGGTACAAGTTAATATGTTTAATTACAGTATTTGTGGAGAAACTTTGCTTTGAACGTTTTAAAACTGTGACCTTCCATTATATGCATCACTCGCGGAACCAAGATATGAAGAATGAGGGGGTTTGTGTATTAGTCTCTCTCTCTCTCTCTCTCTCTCTCTCTCTCATAGCAAGAAACCTTATTCCAGCAAAGAATTTTTCAGCTGAAGGTGATTTGTAAAACATTGATATTGAAATATTTTAGAAACAAATCTTTGTCACTCTAAGTTAACTTGTCCTTGGTGTAATAGAATGTTCAGAGTAAAATGTACATGAATTGCTCACTCCCTTACTCATCTGTATCCGTATTTTTATTTATTATTATTATTTTTTTTTCAAATCGAAAGGACCGTCTCCTATCCGTCCCACACGAGGGTTGTTCAGTCACAATGTTTGATGTTGGTGCTTACGGCAGCGTAATGTCATCCAATTATAACTCCAGGGTAAGGAGGAAAATGTGCTAGTTTGTACATGTTACTAGTTAAACATTTTGATTAATTGTTGCACCCGGTGCATACGTAGAGATTGCGTCTGTTGAGAATAACCACTGTCACCAAATGCATTTGATTTACGACTTCCAGTTGCGGCCAGTTGAAATTATCGTCAGTGGTAGAAAGTGGGCCGTGATACGAAAACCAGAAACATTTGGGGAGCTTATTAATCCCCAGTTGCTGACTATAACTTCAGAAGACAAAAAAGAAGAAAAAGTAAAAGAAAAACAATCAATTGAGGGTAAACATGCTAGTTAAGTAATTTTCAATACAGGTCAGTATACAGTATATCACTATTGTACTTTATCATTGTTAGCGCATAGCCTTCTTGTGCTAGAGCCAATAAAATTATTTTAAATAAAAATAAGAAAAAATATCAATATTATAAACTCGACTGATTGAGATTGTGAAAGAAAAGTTATATAATTCTTTATTTTAAATGTATTTATTTTACTTTTTTGTAGCGAGGCTGGTTGCCTTTTGGTGAGACTCACTTGTAGTTGTTGAAATAAGGGATTGAGATTGCTCTATCTTGAAGGCTCATATGGTCTTTGCAGTATCCGACCGAATATCATTACTGTTGACTATCTACATGACTATCTACATGAATAATGAATTGCATGGAACTAGTTTATTCTATTTTAAATGGCTCAAAATATTGAATCCAAATGCAGGGACGCGTCGGACAATGATTCGCGAGCAAGAGAAAATTGCTTTTCTCTTGAGGAAAATTAGATTTGGCGCGAAAACCCCGCATAGAATACATTTAATTGTAGAAGAAGGTAAACTTGAAGCATGGCGTGCATACGTTAAGGGTGTAATCTTGAGAAGGCTTAAAATGTGAATGAATCATTATAGTGTGTGTAAATTCTTATTCTGTGAATTCTCTGCAAATACAAAAAATAACGTTTTTTTAGCCTATCTTCCTCTTTTGAACTTTTTCTCATTGTTTTATTTTCTGATATGGTTCTATTTAAAAACTTGTACGTAAAAGTTAGCTGGTCACGGTGATACTCCGTGAAAACTTTTCTTCGTGACCGAGTAATCACTTAAAAATTCGTAGCTATTTATAGTATTAACGCGTTTTTCTCTGCGCGCACTGATGAATGGGCGCGTGTAAAGCGCACCATACATGATTGGTCGATTCCTTGTGGCCCATCGACCAATCAAATGGGAAATTTATGTCACCTATCGACATATAGTACACTAGTAAGTCTGTTTGTGTTTGACTTCTTTTAAAGCAGGAAAACCTATGATGTGTTTCCAGAGGTATAATGAACTCGGAAAATCATAGCTTTGATCACAGAATTTCCTAAGGGGAAGATATTAGTTTACGTATTTCTTTTAAGCTCAAGAATTGGCCTGCTCCTTTGAACATGTAAAACCTCGAGCTCGGGGGATCAGTAGATTTAAAGTATTTGAAGAAGGCAAGACTACTTAACAAAATCAGAAAAGGGGAGGAGAAGAGTACGTAGCTCTAAAAGAAACGGTTGGTGTGTCGGCAGACTTCAAAAGAGGTTGCAAGTGAAATCCGGAGCATCATCGTTCGACCTCTTCTCTTACCTTCCAGCATCACATACTTGTATTGACGTTGGTCAAAACTGGAATCCGTGATAAAAATTGGCATGCGCCCGAGATGGTAGCTGGCCATCAAGCTTATTTAATGCGGTGCATTGATTTGCCACTCCAAACCCCTATGCTTAGTTCGGCGGTACTTCTTTCTACGGAATAGCCTCACACACTGTATGGCAACTTGGCTCGCGCTCGAGCACGCGGGTTTGCACTTATGCCGGTGCGCTAGTAGGGGCAGCTGCGGCACTCGGTGAAAGATAGGGCGCTGTTTTCTCCGCTCTTTTCCAGTTGGCATTTTTCTAAGTATGCGGTCAGCAAGGATCGGGGCTCTCACAGTGCAAAGTACTTGAACTCTTGGAAAGAGAACTTACTGAGGTTTGAAATTCACCACCAGCTTGGCAATTAAACTTGACGGCGACCGTGTATGAATTTAGTGGTACTCCGGAGAGTTTATAATACAAGAAGGTAAAATACGTCTTGGGTTTTCTCCGGTGCAGAGGGATTACATATAACATTAATATAAACCTATTTGCCATTAAAACTCTCCCTCAGACGGTGTAAGGAGTTCGGAGGCGCCGGACACAGGGGGTAATCCTACTTGCCTAAGTACCTCTCAACTTACTGAGGAATTTCCCAGTGAAATGTGACAGAACACGGTGCATCAAAACGAGCGACCGCCAGCTCGTATTAATCCTGTCTATACCTTATCGACAGAAGCGTGTAGGCCAGTTTTACTTCATTCACATCTCATATTTCGGGGCCAAAACGACTTTTTTGATGAGATGCAAGCACAGGAACGATGTTATCATGGTATTGAGTAAGACCGGGCTCTTGGCGGTTGTGGTGGTGTTTATCATCAAGCTGTCCGGGCACTTGGACGGTTCTCCAGCACCCACACCAATGGACCAGGGGCAGGTAGGGGGACTTGGCACTCAACACACTCTCTCTCTCTCTCTCTCTCTCACTAAAATATCCCTCCTCTCTCCCTCTCTCTAAAGGTCCCTCTTTCTCTCTTTCTCTCTCTCCCTCTCTCTCTCTCTCTCGCTCAGCGATCTCTGGTGTTTGCACCGGTTAGCACAGCGTACCTGGAATTTCGTATCAGTATATCGTATGTCAAGAAGGAACGGTAATGGCATGTTACGTTGAATGAGAAAGGGTGTAACACAGCATTTCATAGCTAATCTTACATGCGAGGCATCATTCACCACCTTTCTTTGATGAAGAGGGCATCTTGAAAGGGCAGAGTCAAGTGATTTCCTCTTTGCGTTCGCACCTTATTTCTGTGTGGTGGAACAGATCATTTTTCTCATAATTGATCTTTTCCTCACTCATCACGGAAGTGGTGGAAGGGGTTAAAAGATTGGCAACACAAACGTTAGTGTGTGTGTTCGCTGAAAAACTGCACGTCCTAATACCCTTTTGAACAAGAGCTCAATGTATGTTGTTTATACCCTAAAACTCCTGGTATCTTAATGTTCTCACGTGCACAGCAGCAGTAATTCTAGGGCATTTGTCGATAAAATGAATCAATTTGATAGGAAATTTCAATTGGTCCTCGAAATTACACTGTTAGCCCAGCTGGTTTAGAGACAGTGAGTGCGATGTAATGAAAAGCTGGCAAACCGCAAAGTTAACGGTTGAGAACGCCGTGTGTAGGGGTCTACGCCACAGGTGTTCACTGCATGTTGACGCTGTAATGCGAGCTCTGTTGTTCGACGGTTGGGACAGAAGGCATCATCTCACCTCTGCTTTCACTGCTTTCTACCGGAGGTGGTAGGGCTGGGTGCTCAGGCTTTGTGGACCGAGCATTCCACAGTCTGTTTTCCGTTGAGTTCACTGTTTTAATTGTCATTGTTATGATGTTATAGAAACAGATAAAGTATGCTAGCTATGTTGCCCCGAACAAAGTGCCTCTCAACAACAGCCGAGTGTCCCGTGTTTGCGTTGCGGTGCCGAGCGATGTGGAGAAAGCATAATGGAGAAGAAAAAGCTATATTATAAGTATGCCATCATGGTCTAATTGACCTTTTCTCGCTAAATTTACTACATATAAGTTATTGAAAATCGGAAGGAAACGTACTGCCGCGAATCCTTTAGTCTTCCTGGGTAAACAAGCAGAGAAAGGGTGCATTATGCTTTAGTTTTTCTACTTTTAAATCTCTCTTATAACACCCAACTTTACGTGTTGTCCGAAATTTATGGGGTGATATAAATATGAGTACAAACAAAGTTGAAGGCGGGCGCATAAAACCGTTATTTTGCGTCCGTTTATGTATCAATTGCATAGCACAATATTGTTTATCAAGCAGTCGAACCGAAAAAGCGAATCATAACAATGGGAAAAATATCCATTTCAAGGACTTGTATCGTGTGAAAGTAAAGGATTGATAAAGCTTAGAAAGTGAATGGTTTGTTTGGTGCAACGTATACTATCATAACGCTTTCACTGGTTTCGTCTAATGAAGCGACTTTGCATTCAAGTCGTGAGAACAAGCTGTGATGTTGTTTCTTTCAACAAAACTTATATTGGTTTGAAGAGAGATGAAAGAGCGCCCGCGTAGATTGGCAATGATCTGAGAGCGCCATTGAAATCCATCCTGCTCTTACCATACGAAGTGTTGTGAGAAAAGGTTGATTCGCTATAATTTGTTCGAAAATCTAATTATCTAGCCAGTGTCAATCAAGCTTGACTTTGACACAGCGACGAACACAGCTTCGACCAATAAGTCAATTACTGTGTTTCTGTTTCTGTTTATTTAAATTAGGGGAAACTACACGATGAAATTAATTTGCGAACACTTGCTGTTTGATTTGTAATTAAGGTTTTCACCGAGGAAACACAGCTACGTATTCCAATGAGGCGCAACTACAATGAAGAGCAGTAAAGCGTGGCTAGAAGTGACAAAGATTATGCCATTATTATTGGTAATACTTGTTCACACTTGTATATATTGGGGAATTAAATTAACTTCTCACCGTGAATCTCGTTGGAAAAGATTGGGGCAGCGCTTTTGCCTGCAGGAATGGGAAAATATTTTTTCTCTTGTGAAACAGTTACCAACGTCCATAATATGTGATTTGGGTTTTATGTGAAAGGTTAAGGGTTATTTTGTTTTTTGATAAAGTAAGTTGTAAAGTACGGAAGTGATGTAAAAAAACCGCAACACACCTTAAACGGTGACGGCTCAACAGGTGTAGACAACAGAAATACCTTGAAAAAATGAGAAAAAGTCAGAAAAGACGAATTTAACTATAAATAAATGGTGTTCAGATAAGCCAAAAGTATATCAGAGATCAGGGGGGCTATTCATTGGAACTAGGGTCCAGTATACCATTATACTGGGTCCTAGGTTGGAAGCACCCTCAAGAGCCAGCAAATGAACCGTAAGAGGCAAAATGGATTTACTGTAAAGCTTTGATTTGGTTTCTCACAACACGCTGCCTGCTGGTCATGCAGCTACTCAAGTCTTTTTCCATTTCTAACAATGGCTTGAACTTGTGACTTATAACGTCTAATTTCCAACTGGAATAGATCAATATTGAATTAAGATTCCACGAGTCGGAAGTAACACAAGTTTTCACCGAGCCCTGGAAAAAGCACTTTTAATACGTTCCAAGTTTTTTATTGTTATTTTTTCTTTCGGTTTCAAAGGCAACTTCTTATATCGTGCTCAGTTAACATGGCACTTTCCCGTTTCTGCTGACTTGGATATCTAAAAATGTCTTTTATCAGATTTAAAAATCGAGTTAGAATCAATTTAAAGTGCACTGACGTCGACTCTGATCTTTGCTAAATTGCAACTGCAAAATAACCCTAAGCCAGAAGAGGTCGTGCGCGTAGTTATTTGGGTACATGCACGCGAGGTCTTTTACAGCACGCGAGTCCCCACTTAGGGTAGGTAAATCAGGGATGTTTTCTTGTTTACATCGAGATTACTTTAGCAAGACAATTCAAACTGGTATGATTATGATTTGTATATGTTCTTGTCTGCAGGAAAATAGATTGGTTTGTGTATATTTGTATATGAAAAGTAAACTACTGCACGACATAAAGTGGGGTTCATTGCCTTTACAAAATTTTATGTCTTATAACAAGTCTTTTGCGGTAGATTTGGGTGAGCCATTGCCAGACAACTGTGATTGCTTAAGGAAAAACGAAGCACCTTTGACGAAACGACTTCATTTTATGCTTCGGTAAAAATTAGGATAAAAATAATAAATAAGACACAGAGGCGGAGAACACCACCTCCGAAATAACTGCCTGTTCGCCACTTTCATGAAACACTGCGGGTTTTTCTGGGTTTCCAAAGCCGTCCTTTGTTATCAATAGTAATTCGCAGTAAACGCGTATTTGTTGATGAAAAGTCGATTGGGGCAGCCCCACTGTTCTGACGAGCAACCAGAAACCCCGAGCTTTGAAGTCCCAGCAAGACCTGCTCTGAAGTTGTAACCCGGCCAATACCCCGGGGCAGTAGACCAACTGTGACCCGAGTTTCAGTTCAGGACAAATGGAAACAAACCTGAAGGAAATGCTGTAAAATGAGCACGTTTGTTGGATAGGTTGCAGTTCACTTGGCATGGCATTGTCGCGTTACTATCGGGGCAAAAACAATGCGTTTCTTATGTTACTAACTCATGTAGCTCACTGGCCGTACCTTTACCATTCCCGCTCATTTCAGGAGTCTTGCTTTGCCACTTTGAAGTTTCAGTGATATATATATATATATAAATATATATATATATATATATATATATATATATATATATATATATATATATATATATTGACAAACAAGAGGTAACTTGCACGGAATGAAGTACAAAAACAGTCGTTAGACCTAATTTAGATAAAAAGTGGTTAAGATAGCAATAAGGAAGAGTTTTTAAAAGGGGGACATAGGCGTTGCCCATGACTTTCACTTAGTATTGTCAAACGCTCTTTCTTCATGTATTGACACGTGATAAGAATTACCAAAATCTGAACGCTATCGTTCCCAAGTTCTCCTTGAAATGTAATGCGAACAGCCACATTCACTTTCAATGGTTTTACCACTTTGAGTTAGATTAATTGAAAATATACGTAACTAGGGATAATTTAAAAGCATATAAACGTATTCATTTCAAGTGGAAGCTTCATATAATGTAGTTACGTTTGAAGATACCATTTCCTGTCGAAGACGTGTACGTGCACGTTGAGATGAATGAAATACAAGACGTACACAAATGTGTAGGGCCTATAAGAAAAAAAAATAAGAACTCACATTTTCGGTTGATATTAACCAGATTTTTGAGGAGAGGATTACTGGTCCGTTGCTACCATATTCCAATATCAATACCAGATTAAGACTAAAATAAATAAATAAATAAATAAAATAAGCTGAATAAAATTTTCTAACCCTGCGAAAGCATTTGACAGCATATTGTCTGTCGTAGTCACAATGGAATCCGAATTATGAAATTACCTGCGAGATTTCTTTTATTTCTGTAAACATTTCCAGTTAAATGCAAATATCGTGAGACTGATGATAAATGCTTGTCAGACCTATTTAGGACATCAGCACACCACTGCCATTACACAACTACTTTAGATAAATCAAGTCCTCGCCAGGTGCCATCCATCTGTCAAACCCATGCGACAGTGACACTGGCGGGTTAAATCCACCCCAATTACTCTGTCACCTGTTGAATATGAATGCCGGTATTCGTCTATCGGTGTTCACGCGCGACTCAGTGCTTCCCCAAGCACCGTGCCGTTTACTCTAAGAAATAACAGTGCCATAATGTAGTTAAGTACAGGTAAGCACTGTCATTATCACAGACGCCAGACTAGCGCCTATTACTCACAGAACGAGTCATTGCACTCACGTCTCAGTTCGAATCGTTGACGAATCCACAGTATCGTGAAATCGGACAACACTGAAACTTTTCTAATATTTTACAATTACATTATTTGCACCTGTTGGTTGTTGTCGTCGTCGCTGCTGATATAACTGTTATCAAAAAGCACCCAAGTACCTGGGTTAAATGCACAGTCCGATTTTGCCGAAATGATAACCCCACACGAACGCTACCCTGGAAGCAGGGAAATTCAACTTGTCGATTTCAAAGCTCACCGCCCCTTAAGTGACATGAGATTATTGTGCTAATTTGCTAGTTTAGTGGAACCTAATCTCAGAAATCCAATAATGTTCCGTCCACTGGGTTTACAATTCAGCTTAAATCAAGTGTCCACTAGGCCTACTGCTTCTTACTAACATGAGCCATGGCTTGAGGACTGACCGGACAGACCATGGGTGTGAAGGCGTTGCAGTAGCAGCTTCGTATCAACCAATGTGGTTACATGGACTTGAGTGATATTGTACGGTGCATTTTTTCTGCGGTTACTGGTTCTTTTCCTCTCTACAACTCCTAGCACTAGTTTCTACTATAACACCTACGACCTGAAGTGACAAGGGTTATAATATGCTACAGTCTCCCCTGCGCTGCTCTCAGGCCGTCCTATGGGGATTGCTTGTAATGGTAAGTGTCGTGTAACGGTCAACCGAGTCAACGACTGTGACAACTAGCTTATGTCTCATTTTCGTTTCTGTCACCTTTGCCTATGTCACTGTCAAGGATTCTGACTATTGGCAACCACCTCGTGTCACAGTTTTGTAACTGTCACCTAAGCATATGTCACTGTCAAATACTATGATTATTGGAAACTAGCTCCTGTCAGTTACAGTCCTGACAGTCACTGCCACACATACAGACAACTGGATACTGTCACTGTCATCTCTGAAATTTTGCTTAGCGACTTAAATTATCGTCACCATACAGAAACATCGCACTCGTTGGGACTTCTATGATTAACTCGATCTGAAAAGTATTAATACAACCCACTGCGATAGAAAAGGGCAACGATCAGTGCGTCAATGGGTAGTGTTAACGGATATAAAATATGACCAAAAGCCTTGTGCATCTTCCATGAGCCCAGTACAATGTTGAAGCCTGCACATTCTCGTTATAACGGGGATGCTTGGCTCACTAGGAAGTGAAGATTTTTAACAATTTTATAAGCACTCCGATAAAAGTCCACTCCTCTAAGCGCATGAGTTTATGAATGACCAAAACAAACAACAAAAAGCATTCACAAGGTCCCAAAGTTTACTCCCTGGCATACAGCATCGCGCTGAAGCGAGAATCGAAATGGGGTGACAAAGTTATGCTGCTAATCTACAATAATCCCGTATCCCAGATTCAATGTTCTGGAGGAGGTTAGTTTTAATTCCAGGACGTTTCAATTTTTTTGTGCAAAAGCTTGCAAGTCGTAGGCGAATTTGCGATCACGTCAATTAGTTTTTACACAATCAAATTTTTATAAAATTAATTTTATATGGGAGGTTAATTAGGTTATAATCGATAAATAAAGAACTAATTGGTTCTAAAATAATACTTAATTTCAAAGTAAACGTGACAAGTTAATGAAATGATTACGTGCCATATTATAAATTTAATGATCATTAACACTCAATAATAAAGAGGGAAACAACACAGTAGGCTTTTATTGGCTTTTGTACGTGATGTCTTGGTTATTGAATTCAGCGGCAATGATTTTCAATTTTAATTACCCCCGAAATTGAAATGTATTGATAGGAATATGTTTTATTGCAATACCCGTCACTTTAATGCCATTAACCTTTGTGACAGCGAAAGTGAAAATCAATGGGCACGATAATATTTGCTGTTTAAGTTAAGGCGTGTGATTCTTGAGCATAAAAAGAGCACACCTTTCATTGGTCAAAGGTCATATCAATTTTACATGCATTACACGAAAACAATCTCGGACTGAATCTTATAGCGTATGACTTAATTAACCGTCTAGTTACGTTCAAATAAACAAGTTAAAAATTCGATCTTCTCACTTTATTTGCGTTCATAGGAGACCTTGCATTTCTTTGTGGGAGTAAATGTATTGGTAAAGTAAGTGAACGGTGATCTGTTGACGGGTTACAGGGCTTAAGAATCGAATAAAGAAATACGTTTATTCGGGAACTAAGATCACGATGAAACGGTCATACAATCAATCAATAACAGACGATAGAACAACTGACTAGCAATAGCAAGAGCACAGTTGACCTAGCAATCAGGGTCTTAAGATTTGTAGAAAACGCTTCTGAGAAAAAAAAAAACTCCGGGACCAACGTGACTACTTTCCAGTGTATTTACATCTCCTTGATTCTATTTAATTAAAAGTTGTTTTTTACATTAATATGTGGTCATTTCTTACAGCGTTGGTAGTCGTTGGGTTGCCGTTTTGCTAACGTCACCCCTCCCCTCAAGTTCTATCGTTTATCGGATGGAGAATGCGACAATTTTCCCTGGTCTATTGACAGATGTTTTCATGTAGTAGTGTGACTGGCATAAAATTAAAACTGTTTCATTTACTATGCGTTCACAAAACATTGATCGTTTATAATGCTTATTTCCTTAGTCCAATTTATTTGGGAGGCTGGTAGCAAGTTTTGGAGCCGTGGCGATTTAGTTTTACAACATTCTGAACGTGGCATTAAAAAAAGGCCTGAGCGTCTGTCTTGCAATTCTACAGGCAAACCCAATTTGTCAAAATCTGAGCCGGTTCAACAGGTTGCAACATTACATTCAAGGGCGAAATGTACATGCTGATAAATGCCTTGTTTTTACACTGAACAAGAGAATGTTTAAAGTCAGATGAACATGGAATAACCGTCTTGATTAATTACAAATTTTCGTAATTAGCCTCAATGTAAGAGGACAATACGCTTTTATCTTAATGCAAATATTACATTCCTACCCGTCTAATAAAGGTTTGATTTTTCTCTGAAAATGGTAACTGGTCGTACTTCCCCTGGATACTACACCTTTAATGTAGTCAAAAAAAGCTTTATGTAACTCTAGAGCGCAGGATTATTCCCAGTGTATCAATCACAAGGTTACGTGTTTAAGTGTATATACACCGCCCTGTGAATCAAGAGTCCGGTAACGATGAAAGTAAAATATCAACCTGGCTGCTTGCTCTTACGATTGAAAAGATTAGGTAACCCGAGCACAACAGCGCACTCTCAGATTAAGAGTTTGGCAAAAATTAATACTGTCACTGACCAGTGGAGGTCTAACTATTGTAAATGAAATTAGACGATATAATAGTGTGAGGTGAGATGTATTGTTTAAGGGTCACTTTCAACCCCTTCACGGCGTCTCACGTATTGATATGGCATTGATTCCCCCTGGGGTTTCATTAACCTAAATTAAGGACGCCTTAGCCTTTGTTTTACGTCTGTCTTTGTGGTTCCTTTTATATACCTTGTCGGCCCTGCTTTGAAGTGGGATTCGATTTGGCCGCACTCTGTTCTAAACGTGCATTTGCTGTCTACTTCTTTGATCAAATCCTTGGATTAGACCCGTGTTACAAATGGGGATTGGGTCATATACAGAAAATATAATAAATTAATTATTACAAACGTAATTTATTTTCTTAATTACTTTGAGATCAAATGTTTTATTATACACGCATATTAGATAGTCTTTTTTTATTTACACGAGACGATAATTTCATGGGGAAACATTTGGGGGAATTCAAAGCGTGTCTGCTGGATGGAGTCCAGACCGAGGAAACTTTGATGTGTGTCGGAGTAGAGCTCCATAACTTTGATCTAGTACAACTTGCCATAAGCCTTCAAAAACAATAGCAATAATGTCAATTAACTCAATCAAATAACTACGTTAAGTAAAATGTGAATTCCTTTAGATGTGCCTTTTTTCACTCAACTTCCGTCTATAAATGAGCTTGTAAATTTTAGCTGCATTAAATTGCTCTTTGAATAAAAACGGATGTATTTTTTGTTGACGTATTTTTGTAACTATGAGCACTTATTGGTTTAGTTTTTAATCATTTGAAACTTAATCATTTCAGGTCCTTTCAGTCGTGACCGTCACAGCTGAACCCCTCCATACAGACTCTCCTACCATGGTAACGAAAAGGCCCGAGTTTGTACCAGCGCTGGGGCATAGCGACCACAGCCATGGCAACAGATACCAAAACAAGAACCATAGCAACACTCATAAGGAATACCCACACAGTGTCACTGACAGTGCTCTTCAGACAGTGGTTAACAGCAAAAAAATCAGTGATAACATCATTATTCGAACTACGAAACAACCTCAATTTGTACATAATAATAATAATAATAATAACAATAATGGTGATAATGGCGATGGTGCTCTCGGTGTTAAAATGGACAAAGTAACACAGGGAAATGAACATAGGCACAGGCATTCTGAACAAAGTAGACATTCCACAAGACGGAGGACAACAATCAAATTGCCACACAGCACCACCACCCATACGCCAGTCAGCAGTTCTTTTATTCCCGATGTATCACCATTTAAGGATGTTAATGATAGAGAGGCTAAAAAGGAAAAAATAAAAGACGTATTTAATAAGTGGCTGGATGGTGATCTATATTTGACAGACGCATCTGTAGATGATAAAACAAAACACGAAAGGACGTCTTTATCTTATGGTGCCAAAGAAAACAATTTATTAAGTTTACAAAAAGGAATCAATCCTAACATAGAGGTCACAATAGAAGTTTTACACGACAAATTAGAGGGAAAAGACGAACTTGACGAAGAAAATGTGGAAGAAACTGAGAGCTATGAGCATACCACGCCAAAGTTAAAAGAGAACACGGAAGGCAAACTGATCTCAAGTTTCCTGCGGGATTCTGATTTGCCTTCGTCGAGAAAAGATGATCACGTGGTTCCGAGTGACGAAATAGATGACGACACAGGTAGCGGTTCTGGGAGTAGTAAGTGCTTCTTAACTTTTTCCAGATTCAATGTCAATGATAGAAAGTAATCAGGTTGTCCCAGTGACCTTCGCCTTATTTAGATATTCTTGATATTTTTTCTTTAAAAAGAGAAGTAAAGAAAAGAGCTCAGCAAAACCAAAGCCGTCAAAAGAATCGGGAGAGGCAGTGTATATTTTTCGTCTTTTCCTATACAATGTTTGGATACATTATATTCCTGTATGAGGGGGTGCATTCATTTTTTTTTTGTGCCTTTATCGGTGGTCGTCCGTAAAATCCGAATACGAACGTCTTCAATACGCTGAATACTGCATTCGTATAAAGCTGGTTAAACACACGAAGCGATCAGAAGAGACAGGCGTGCTATAATGGTTATATTAAGAACTAACAAATGGAGTAAGGAAGATTCAGCAATGATACTGCACATTACTTTCGTCTCGTCTTTCTGTATGACTGTTTTTTCCCAAAACAATTGAACCGTTGCGCGTAAAATGAACCCCTCCCAAAGACGTGCAAATTTCAACAATCAGCTAACAGTTTTAATAGAAAATGTAGTAGACCCCAAAACAGTACCTTCTGCTAACAGCATGCGTATTGCCTTTCTTAACTTATACGTGTACATTAGTTGTAAGAAGGAACATATCAGGCAGAACACATCTGCAGTGGGGTTAGGGGAATGCCCGAACTACTTTATTTCTCGTCGAAAAGTGGATAAGAGTTTGACTTCAGCCCTTTAACGATTCCAGTTTATAACTTTTTCCCTGGATATCGCTTGCTTGGTTTGTCGAGTCTAATTTCAGGGTAATCTGAAAATATCCAAAGCTGGCGTTCAGCTACGTGGTTATAAATGGACTTTCAGCTCGTCGGAAGGTTGAATTCAACATGGTAATTAAAACTGCAAAGAAATAAACGAACTTAAGCAGAAAATGACCCATTGTCGAAAGTGACTGCCACGACCTTTGCGTAGCAAGGCCAACACCAACACGTCTGCCACGGTCACGCTAAAAAGACAGGGACGTAACGCAACTGCGAAACATAAAGAGATTCTGAGCTTCGGTCTCAGTCCGCTCTTTCGAGCAAGTTTCACAGGCCGAGTGTGATATCCGTGTTGTAATTGCACACATATGAAGGGGAACATGTCAGAAATTACCCCAGTGCTCCCGGCCGAGTAACTGACGTTCATTAGGGAAGGGAAAAGCTGTCAAATGTCTGCAGCTCATTTTCTAAAAACAATTTCTTAATATTTTCCTTGCGAATTCTGAATGCATTTATTTTCCACAGGGTTGATTTCTCAACCTTTTGCCAGCAATGTGTTAAGAATTGAAACACTGCTGCTTTTGCGGTTTCCGCCAACAGATTGTAATACGGTCGCTGTTATGACTAATGGTAGAAGGGGCTGCAGGGCTGTTGGCTTCATCGTGAAGTGATTAAGGGTGTGTGAAGAAAGGGAGTGGTCAATCACCCAAACATATTAACGAGCAACAGTTGCAAAGTACAGATTACTGCAATATCTTCTATCATTCTGAGACAATTACCGGTACAAAAACAATGAAACGCAATAATAAGATTGATAATCTAGAGAAAAAAAGTCAAAAACAAATACACGGGATCTGAAGGCTTATATTGGCGAAAATAAATCAGAGCATAAACGAAATCAAATAATTAATAGTTACCAAAGCAGTTAAGTGTGGATGCCTGCATGCCGCACAAGATCAGAAAAATCAGCGGATATCTGAACATCATCGACATGGCTGACACTGCCATCCGCAGCCCATTGTTCCATCTTGTCTTACATCATTCAGATCTATCCCTGAAAACTGCAACAAGGACTGGTTTTACTTGCAAAGAACTAACTTGAATGATCTTTCAAATAAACATGACCCAAAACATGGGTTAGCGAGAGTGTATCACTTGTCGATTTTCTTCTATAGAACAACTTCATCGCCTCCTTAACTGCACAAGAACGCAGAGGGGGCACATCGCAGTTTTGTAATTCACTATTTCCTCCCATTTTTATTATTCAGCTGTTGAGGAGTGGAGTGCTTGGACGCCATGTAGTACAACGTGTGGTAACGGGCAGCAGCAGAGAAAGCGGCGATGTGGGGAGGACTGCACAAACCGGGAGAATAGATACTGTCTTCTGAAGGAGTGTGGGGGTATGGGGAATTTCTATGATGGTCATGCCACAAAATAGTGAACATTTGAATCCCGTCAGTGGCGAACATGTAATTTGCAGTGATTGAATGATTTTTCACTTGCCCAATTATTTTCGCCGTTTTATACTACAGGACCGTCTCTTATGGAAAGAAATTATCAGTGATTAAAAATTGATATAAAAGGGTGTGTCACTGACGTGACTCAAATGTTCACCTTTTTAGTGGAATAACCCTGCTTGATTTTTTTTACTAATCAGTATGTTCAAATCGTGCTCCGAACATTACGCAGGTAAAACTGAACGGTGCATATTTAAGGGACACCCCCTAATTTGCGAATTACAAGTATAATGAAACAAGTGAAATGAAACGCCCTTCAGTTTCTTTGGATGTAAAATGGTGAAAAAAAATCAAACGATAGGTCCATTTTCATATTTAAACGAATCTTACACAAATACAACCCTTTTTTTAATATCAAAATACTTCTACTAGCAAAAGCGATAAAGTCCTTCGTGGCTAGTTTCAATGCAAATTCTTTTTAAAAAATCACTCTCGTGGGAGAGTTGAAAACACGTACAACCTCCTTTACATCCTTAGTAATACTGACATTTCTTGTCTTGCATTTGGCTACCAAACAAAATACCAGCAACTTTTAAATGTCCATAGGCTAAATGTTTGGCCTTGGATTTCAAATAGGTTTAAGTTTGAGCCATTTTAAACATACCTTTCTCAGTGAATCACTGTTGAGAAATGCAGTTTACGCTAATAAATTCGTTGTTTTCACTGTATACCTACTAAGCCTCAAGATATAATTCAACCTTAATTACTGTTTTTTTCTACTCTGCCTCTGGCGTAAATCTGTTACATGCATAAAACAAATTACCCTGGACCAAATAAATCAATGTTACAGCATTTCTGCATGTTATCTCTTTAAACTTTTCACTGAAAATACGTGAGCAATCACCTATCCATTCACTTAACCCGGGATCCTCCCCAGACCTACTAGGAAGGCCACCAAGGTCATCATGCTGTTAGCTTTTCACATTAACTGTCAGGAACCACATATACTGCTATAGACTTGGGCTATTGGAAAGAGCCCCTCCCACCCTCTTGAATCTAATTCATTTAAAGCTATAAATAATTTTTATAGCATTTTCCTGTGCATTAAAGCATAACTACAGACACAGGATATGTAAATATTGTGTCAAATTATACATTATTGAAATTGGCTTTTATTTTTAAAAAATTTAAAGAGTCATTAAAAATAATTTTACATTTCAGCTCAATCAGATTCTGAACATAATAAGCAAAATGATGGTGACTTTTTAGACACAGGTAAGACACTCATTTTCAATAAAAATACTGATAAGTAATTTTTATTCTCTCCACTTTTTCTCTGACATATATTGTGTCTGTACATAAAAAAGGGACATTCTACTCCCTTGTGATTGCTGAATTTGACAACTGACATGCTTGATTGAAACATGTGTCACACAGCGTCTAAACTGTGCAAAATGAAAAAGTTTCACTTCTGTTACAGCAACATTGTCAAACTTGGAAAAATGCATAAAAGAAATGTTCTGCCATAAATCCAATGATGAATTTTGTCTAAATACAAAACAATCATTGTTCATAAAATACATTTATGTAGAAAGACATATCTGCATATATTTTTTAGAGTTTGATAACTGTGACAGTTGGATGAAATGCAAAAACCCATATCTGCTGCAATATCTGGCCAAGCTGAAGGACCTCCCCAGCTGTCCCTGCTACTACCCCATCAACCTGGTCTACAACCAGCGCATATGGGACCACAAGCGTCAACAGTTCTTTCTGTGGCACGATGTCAGTGGGGCCCAGTACAGGCTGGATGTTTACAAGCCAGGAGCTTCGTACTGCATTCTCTCCAGGATAGAGCTAGGTCGACTCAACCTTGCCGCTCAGCAGTGTTGCTATGACAACTATCAGCGCCTGATATCCCGTGGTCCAGGGGCAGGGACGCCATATTTGATCAGTCCAGAAGTTTCGCCAGCTCTACACCACAAAGTGGACATCTTGCCGTGGATCATCTGCAAGGGAGACTGGACAAAGTAAGATGTTTGTAGAGGACAAATGTGAATATGACTTCCTTTAAAAATCATCAATGTTTAACTTGTTGCTTGGCCTAATTTCTTGTGAATGATATCAAGAATTACCACTCCAGAATAAAAAGCTTATTCTCCATTGCCATTTTCAAAAGTTGATAATTACCATACCTTCAATAATGCATGCAATTTTCATTCAGTCAAAAATTGGATTTGGTTCACATTAGTACTAGGTACGTTTATACTCACAGCTGGCTACATGCATTATGTATATTTCAAATTATTGTTATTGTGAAAACTTAATGTTTTTTATTGATGTGCAGGTACAATCAAGTCAGGCCTCCCAACAATGATAGGACATGCACAGTCAACCCTTCTGATGAAACATTTCTGAAGCAAAAGGCAAAGGCAAGGCAGTTCAGATAGGTTTTAGAACATAACACTGGTGAAGAGGGAGAGGGAGATAAAAAAAACACACTTCATGCCAGCAGTCCTTGCTTGACCCAGCAGCCCTTGTTTGATCAAGCCACTGTGGGTCACTTAAAGTATTTGAAATAAATGACCTGCTGGAGAGACCTGAAAAATTGAACTGAAATGGGGTACTGTACACATCCCAGGCAAAAGACAGAGAGGTCCTAAGAGGTGGTGTCCAAAATAAAGGCTAATGACATATATTGTATTAACTTGAGCCCAATAATCAACACAAGTATATGTGTGTCAAAATGTCTGAAAATTCCAAAGCTGCTGCAATGTAATGACCATAATGACTTCTGCTACCACTGCTTAGACATCATAATAACAGAGCTCAGTCATACAGTAATCGGGACAGACAGATCATTTAGAGTGACCACATACAAGACTTAATGTACAGCAACCTTTGTGTCTTCTGGAACTCATTTACAAATCAATATAACTTCTAGTCAAAATGACACTTTACATACCAGGCCACACCTTCTTGTTATGAAAGACCCCAAGTGTAGTATACAGTGTGAGGTTGGCTAGGCTGTCAGTAATGATCAGGGGGTGGGGTAATAAGGTGGAGTAAATTGACTGTTTTTAGGACCCTAGACAATTCAACATGTGCTATTATCTGATCTTTAAACTCAGAAAAGAAAGAAAATATTTGATATTCACTGGAACCATTTCTCTTATATCACAATTTTCTTATACCTTTCTTTCACTAATATAAGACTTATGAATATCAATTATTTGACTGACAATCACTATAAGAAGCCAATTAGTATGTATGATCACATTATGACACTGCAATTCATGTCCTTAAATTAGAATAGCAGAGACAGCAGTTGCTCCTAAACCCAAATTTCAACCCTCATTTAATGAAGGTACAGGGGTATTTTGCACAAACACAGTACAACAGTGTATTTACAGGCCTCCGGGGGCGATCATCCACACAGCTCACCCATTTAGTCAGGGCAGATAATAAGGCCTGGTATTTCATTATTTGCCAGAATATGATCCAACTGAGACTAGCAGATAAAATGTGGAGAGCTGAAGGAATGATGTTACCTGTCTTAAACACTAGGTAATTGTTCCAACTCAGGGCACTATCAGAAGCAATAATCTTCTTAATCTACTTACTATTGACGTGGGACTTGGTTTCATAATAAACAATTTACCCCCAGCTCAGGTGACTTTTGTCTATTGCCATGGACATTTCTGAGACCATAAAATACACAATATTGTTAATAATGTGTAAGAAAGGAATGACAATTTTGAATGAATATAGCTTTGTTACAGCTTAAATTGGTGTGGCCAAGAATAAAAAACAGTATAATAGAAGCAATAATGATATAAAAAAAACATCATCAGTTGACACCTTGGTATGTTACTGAGCTATTCGTCCAGAAAGTTTTTTTAGGGTGAAAGAAAGGGTAGGGACAAAGCTAGAACAAGGTGCCTGAAAAAAGCACCTATAAATGCCAAAGAAATATGTAATCTCTCACATGTAATACTCAGAAAACATCACATTCAGGGAGATGTATATTTACGTATTATAAGTATTAACTGATTATCTTTGCACTTTCTTTTCAGAATTGCATGTCATATGATCATAAAGAGTTGGGTCCCAAAGAGACTTCTATTATTTATTTGTTGTATTTTTCTTTTCAATTTGAATAATATATAGAATTGCAATAAATTGATTATTTACAAAAATATGTACAGCAAAGAAAACAGATATTAAGAGTGGATACATAATAAAAAAAATTACAAAAACAATAGGTGTCTGTTCCACTGAGTTTCTGTGTTCTAACCACATATGGATCTACTCAGTAATTTTAAAGTAGAGATGATGTTTAGATAAAAATACAAGGCAATTAATAAATACAATGCAAATAATGGCAAAAAAGCCTGGAATGAAAATGCCTTTCTGATTATGGTAAATGCCCATTACTTGTATTAACAAGAATAAAAACATAAATGCAAGGTGTCTAATTTGGATTTGAAATAAAGCTTTAGAATATTTATATTGTCCCATTGTGACAAAGCTCGATCCTTGTATTTGGCAAAGGTTTTTGGTTGATTCTCATCATCGCAAGGTTAAAACATTGAGTCAACACCTATTTTTCTCAATAAAATTGTTACTACCAAGTGAGTCAATGACACCATCTTAAAAGAATCATTTGACCTGACCTGACATTAGCTGAAACTCTATCCCCAATGTTCCCATCTTACACCAAGCACACAATGTCATCAAATATCTCCAAGGAGGTAGCACTAAGATGCATTTGTTGAGATCCATAATTTACATTATCAACAAAATGAGAGGTATTTAAATACGTCTTAGGATACAAGAGTGCCATTGCATTTTCAAATATGAAACTGCATGCTAGGTATACATGTGTGGCTGTTTTAATTTGCCTGCAGATAAATAACTCCTTCAGGAGAGCACTAGTGAGTGCACTTTCCATTAACAACAAACCAGTTGCCAAGTTATTTCTTTAAAATGGTCTCAATATCTAGAGCTGTGAGATAAAATCCCTTGGATGTGGCTGTACAATAGCTATTCTGAACCACCCCAATGAAAGAAGATCAAGGGTGTAACCATCTATGCCCAAATTTTTTCCACCTCTTATTAAAATATCTGATTGAATGATTTCCAAAATCAACCTTGCACCCATCAATAAAAATAAAGTGCCTATCTGTAGAGATGGAACATGTCAGTGTTAAAAGGCTGGATCCATCCCAGCTGAGCTACGGGGTGGTCTTGACTGATGAACACAACAGCTCTCGACAGGAGACTTTGGCAGCCTCCACTGAATTCCACTGAATGCTACGATAGCACACATACACAAACAATTGTTTTTCAACATGATGAACTAAATGTGAGGGGCCTAATTATCAAAAACTCGAACTCCTTAAAGGGCATCAGGTTTATATGCCCTTCCTTTTTAAATGCAGAATCAACCGTTTACCATAAAGTTATACTGACATTAATGAAGAAGAACAGATTTAATTTCAAGGTGTCATAAAATACTAGTATGCCATTTTAGATATCAATTGCAAGTAAAAATTACTTTAGATAATACATCATATATTCAAACAAAACTAATACTACAGTTCTTCATGCTCTAAGAAAAAGTTCCACATACAAAACGTATTATAGATGGTGGTGTCTCAAGTAAAATAGTACACAAATGACCAATATGACCAATATCAGATAAAATCCTTTTTGATACATCTAACTTTGTTTAACGTTCTTAACAAAAACTTCAAAATATCTTATGAATGAATGAAAGAAAAAAAGTAAAATAAAATTTTAACTGCAGAAATCTTGATAAAAGATGTTTCTCAAAGATGAAGTTCTTTCCCAAATCTGAAAGTAACACCTTAAGAAAGACTTTTTGAAAACTATTACTCAGTCCTTAGTTGAAAAAAAAATACAACTTGAATTCTTGTTCACTTTTCAATGGGAATGAATGAAAAAAAAAGGACTGACCGTACCAAGGCTGAAAACCTCCATCTGTTCTGCTACATGTGCTTTTCATTGAAATCTCAACGGGCTAGAAACAATTGTCAATTTCCCACCACTTTTTCCCTCTTCTCACATCTGGTGTGAGTATAAAACTGTAAAACACCTGACCTTTTTTTTACAAATGAAAATAAACAATTACCATAACGAGGAAATGATTGTGCTGGTCCTCCTAAAACTGCCTACAATGAAATTGACTCATTTGTTTCAGGGATGGAGAGATTTTTTCCTTGGTATCTTTTCAGTCTAATATCTATTTTGGGGACAGCTCAACCAAGACCAGATCACCTAGCACAGTCACGCATGCTTTTTTTACAAAAACACCAAAATGTACAAAACATGCCAAATGCACCTCAAATAACACCATTCTATTAAGAACACATCTATTTTTTCAACTTTCATCATTAAATGATTACAAAAACGAGTTTCAAATGCAACATTTCGATTGCCATCTCAATCCAAACTTAGGAAAACCTGTGGTGCAGGCCAAATACTGGTCAGATTGTTTGCTCAAGAATTAGTTATATGCTTGCCTATTGTACACGCACATTTTTTTAATCATTTGATTGACTGATCCTCCATGTGCAGGTTGCCAACATAACAGTATTCTAACTGTGTGGATCTATTATTTGCTATGACATTAATGACAGCATAACACCTGAAACAAATGGGGATGAAGATATTTGATGCACATGTGAATGTATTTTAACATAATGAATGTGTTTTAACATTAAAATTTATAGAAGTGGCAGCAAATACTGTCATCAGCTGTGTCAAGTACTCAAAACTACAATATACATTCTTTCATCAAGAGCTAAAAATAAAAGTTACATGATATATTTTTCCAACAACTTCAAAAAATAAGAGTTATTATCGGTCCAATATTACAAAGTCTAACAAGACATCTTCATCAGGGAATGAGGATATATTTGTTTAAGTAGTTTCTACCTAGGAATGCAGTTAGTACACACCCTTTCTATGGAACCACCACAAAAATGGCGCACAGAGGTAAGGGAAAGGGGCTTCTATTAGCTGTTGTTGGGAGATCTATTATTGTACAACTGACAACCCTTATCGAGGTATTTCAAATATACCCCATTTTTTTTTATTAACATACCAAAGCTTTTTCAAAATGAAACAGAATTAATTTAGACTTGTGATATATATATATATATATATATATATATATATATATATATATATATATATATATATATATATATGGTCTTTCAAAAAGACATGAAGAGTAATAATGCTGTGCTAAAGAAATCTTAAGGCTAGGTAGCCATACCTTGATGAAAACTTGCCTGTGTCACCAACCATCAAATGTCATTTCAACTGGTCTCTAAAAATGTTTAAAAAGATCAGTGTTTGTTAATGAAATAAGAATGAGTAATACTTGAAACTTCTTTTAATGAATGAGTAATACTTAAAACTTCTTTTAATAATATATAAGAGCTCAATTTTAGAAGTAATTTTTATGAAATTTGGCTAATTGCTTGCAGCTTATCCTCCATATTAAATCTATAAAGCGACTGACAACATATTTTGAACCTTTGAGTCTGATACCAAATATTAGTATAAATTACAGCCTTTATGCCTTATAGTAATGTCAAACTGAGCCAATTTATTTATCTCTTGAAAATGGGAATCATCCCAGATAACTCCAAATCCTGTGGATTAGCATAAAATCAAGTGAAGTTTGGCATTATTTGTAGAAGAGTGGGGTCAATAATAATGATAAGACTAGTGAGTGCAGTGCAGTAACAAAAGGTGACACAATTTATCCATGTCAAATAACACTTCTTTCACTTCTGTATTGCTTTTTAAGAACACTTCCTGGCGCATAGGATTTCACCCTTATCACTAAAAAGTTAACCCACCTCACATTCTTCATCTTTCTTGCGTTTTTCTCTAGCCTCAGATGACATCAAATAGTGTACCAAAAGCCTCATATCAGGCTATCTCAGATTATTCGGGACCATTAATACCTACCATGTGAGTTAAGGTCCAAACCACTTGGAGCCAAGAGTTTCACAGTGCCAGTGAGAATTATCTGAAAGATGTGAAAGATAACACCAATATGTGACGAACTTTGCTGCAGTAAAATTCTTGTAAAATATACAAAATATATCACAACAACATCTGCCTTTATTTACTGCCAGTTACTTGGACATAATATAAATAATATCTATATATTGCCAACCATGGATGCCAGGATGAGAGATCTGCCTATTCCTAGTACTATATCACAAACCAGAGCCAGCAAGTAACATTTTTTACAAGTCTCTATTCTTCAACTAAAAAGTATAAGCAAGTTTTAGATATATTATCATTTAATCTTTTAACATTCAGCAATAAAGAAATACAGATTTTGTTGAAGTTTTTTTTTTTGAAATTTGAGAACTTCTTGCTAGGATTTTTTCTCCCTGCCATAGGTAAAAAACCCTACGCTTCCAGCACACACGATCTTTTTTCCTCTAATTCAATGTACATTGAGCTTAACAAAATATCAGCCCGACTTGTCACCTCAAGGCTGGAGGGAGTCAAAAAGCCAAGTTCTTAACCTGGGAATCATTCTCTGCTTCTTGCTATGATGAGAAGTAAAATGAGAACCAGTGTAGTATCAACACAGAACCACATGGTAACGTATGCCTTGTTTCAACCTCACTGAATAGGAGTAGATGCAGTCGACCTTCCCCTCCAGGTAGCAAACGGCCCTTAAACAACAGATCACCTCGTTAAATAAAACACAGGTATTCAGAGGAATTCTTATGTTAAAAGGTGAAACAAATAAAAGTGAGCTTTGCGTAAAACTTTCTCTGTAAAGGTCATAAACATGTGAACAGACCAAGTTTCGTTTTGTATTTTCCCAGTCAACGCCAAATTTATTATTCCCTTAAGGGATATCTGTTGGATATTATGTATATGTTGTTAAGGCAGACAGATGCTGGTACATGTAAGTTGTGGCTGAAAATGTCAATCTCTTTACACTAATGAAAACCAAAATCATTCACCATGCTTCTGCCTAACATTATATACCTTCTGAATATTTAAGTTCTTACCAATTATTAATCTACAGTTTTCTTACACAGAAGGAAAAGGTAAATATACATATTTCTGAAAACACGATTCTTATCTTTAAAGTGGTTGATGAATTGATTACCATTTTCACTATTTTCAACTGTTAGGTAATTAGATATATGGGCTTAAGCCTAAGAAAAGTTAATTATTGCTAATCTATCAAAATCTGTATAATTTCAGCAATCTGCAAAATTGCTACAAATTGAGTCCCACCTTATTTCTATATTTATTCTTGTCAAATAAAAAGGATAACAACTCTTCATTTTAACTGGGAAAGTGCCCCAAAATGGATTTTCCTGAGGTAAATGATGATGTTCCCATACTTTCTATTGTTAACAAATCCTTTCCAACATTCAATGTTTGTAAATTGTTTTTTTCAGTGTGTTTTTTGTTATGATCTCTTAAGAGATTATTACGGAGGGTACCCAACCACAGAGCTCCACGTGGTCTGATGGTAAGCACAGATTTCAGGATAACTGCGATAACTGCCGTTTTGGTGTTTAAATGGAATTTATTATATTTTTACAAGTTATTTACAATGCAATTATTGTGTATTTTGAATCTCAAATTTTAAATATATTGTTATTATTGACAACTTAAGAAAAACTTGTAAAATTTATCTCAATATGGGGACAGTCTTCAAACAGTTAAGCTTTTTCTGTTACACAGAGTAATTAAAATATATAAAAAGTTTTAAATGAACAAAGAGCTCATTTTTTGGATCAAAACCTAATAACAGCAGAGATATTGTCTTCAAAGGCTAAAAACTTTTTTCAAAACATATAAAGATTGAATCTTTTACCTAATATGACCTTTTGTAAAAAAAAGTTGATGTTACCAAAAAAGTTCCACTTCCATATGCAAAAAGTGTAACCTTTACTAAATGTAGCAAATGCAACAGAAATCCTGGCTAAGCGCGTTTGTTTCAGCTATCAAAGGCTTTTTTCCAATACCTCAGCAAGATTACACAAAATGAGGGAAAAGGTCAATTTTGTAAACACATGTTAGCTCTGTTAGTTAGTTGTCTGGCAGGGTACAAAAAGAGGGGCTGTGTTCCATTACCTCCACCATTCAGTAACTATTTTGAGAGGTAAACTGATGTTAAACAAATCCTGTACCATGCTGTACATGTTTCTACTCCTTTTTTATGTCATTAGCCCTTAGCCTTAGTCCTTAAACCTGAAATGTGGTTTGAAATTCTAAGTACCTGATCCCAAATGTTATAACAGTAAAAGGAAATGTATAATTCACACACCATTTCTTTACTTATCAAAATCATGAAAAAAGATCTCTGTATTACCTTCAAACACGCGCGCGCGCGCGTGTGTGTGTGTGTGTGTGTGTGTGTGTGTGTGTGTGAGAGAGAGAGAGAGACAGAGAGAGAGAGAAGATTAATTGGGTACAAAAGAAAAGGAACACACACACACGAGACCTGGTAGAGTCTGCTTGTAGCAATACCAGTTGGAACCTATACTAGTAGTAGAGCTACACAAGTTCTTGCAGAAGAGACCCCAAAAAGTGATTCTAACAGTTAAAACATTATTTTACCAATACATGCTGATTCTGGATCTTTAGTAATTCAAACTCAGATTGCAAAAGCTAAATGGTCTTTTTTAGATCCCAGAATTTTTTGTCACTAGTGATCATATTTATAGATTCTGTACATTTTCTTTCAGTGAAAAGAAAGAAAAAGTTCTGACTAGTTTCTCTAAAGACTATTTTGTTTTTGAGTTGTTATTGTAATTTTAGCACCAGAGTTATAGAACATATCATGAGGTCACATTTGTTGTAAAATGTACTTGTACCCAATAAATAAACAAATAATAAAATAAATATTTTTATAACTTGACTTGCATTGACAAGTCTTTAGAAAAGAGTAAGATTTCAATCCAGTCAAATGGGATGTACTGCAACTTTCCACCTGCACTTATTTCCCATCCTGCTGAGAAACATGGTACTTCATGTCCGCCACAATTACTGGCGAATTTCTGACCTTTCAAAAGACGAAACTGTAACTTCAAATTTGTTGTCTTTGCATTAAACAACAACTATTGCTTGAGGGAGACCCACACTCACAAACATAAGTCAGCTTGGGTTGATTTCACGTTGTATTGTTTTACCAATCACGGTTATGGTGCAGTAATCTATATAAGTGGTTTCAGCTCAACGGAGACCAAGCTCTCTTCTCACAGCTTACTGTATTTCATTTGGCAAAGAATTTATTTGATTAACCTCTAGCCCTTATTTTTCTAAGGTCAAAATAATGTCCAAGCAATTTTCACTGACAGCCCCAAATGGATTTTAAAGTTTACCCATAAGGATAAAGTAATCCCATTATCTCAGATAAAAACATGGGTGTGGAAGTTGGTTTTGGGTAAAGCTAATCTTCATAATTCAAGCTTTTTGCTAAACACTATGTCAGCTACCAGAAATGACCTAATGCTTTAGTTAGATTTAAAAGGAATTGTATTATTTTTCTACAAATGATTATTAGTATAACTGGAACCAATGTTTTTTTGTTGTTTTTTTTAATCTCATAATTTTCAGTAAATTCTGCGTATGACATGTTTATCTTTAATTTTCTTGCTAAAATATTCAAATTAGAGTGTTATATATTAATCAATGAAATCAACTCAAAACAGAAAGCAACTTCTTAAGCCTTTTCATGCAATAACATTTCAGGATTGTTGACATCAAAACAAAAATTCTTGAAGATATACTCATGGTACACAACCAAAGGTAAAAACCTCAATAACAGGAAAAATGCACTGAATTTTCATTTAAGGAACTATATAAAATTGTTTTTCACTATGATCAGAAAACTTCCTGTTGGTCCTAGACTTCATTCTGCACTTATTGTCTCTTAGAAGAAAAATACTGAAAAATGTAAAGGTCACGGTACCTAAAGATGCTGAAATTGAAAACAATCTCCCTTGCTTTGTAGAATGAATAATAACTTCATAGACACATATTAACCTCTAAATCAGCTACACCTGTAAAACACTCACATTGTAAAACATTCAGATAATAAAGGACAAGAAACTGTTGTGATCAAACAGCATATGGATCCATCTGCTGTTGCTATTTCAATTCAGCTGTGTTTTTTCATGAAAGGCATACTTGTTATTGTGTTTTCTAAACATGCTGTACAAATTACAAGACTGCCTTTTTAAAACCTAGAACTAATATCTGTTCTTATTCCACTCCTCCTTCAGTAGTTACACTTATTTCTTAAAATACCATAACACAAGTTTATATATGCAGAAAATTAATAATTTCAAGTAAGGCTCAAACTCATTGAAACGGCTTCAAACTTAATTATTTATCAAATATACATTTTTTGTGAAAGTGTGTGTGTGTGTGGGGGGGTGGGTAACTTTGAATATTGTTTGGATAATATGAATGCAAATATATAAACAAGGCAGCAAAGCTGTCAAATGTACAGACAAAAAGCAGGAAATAACTATGCACAAAATAGGCTACTGTCAATTCTGATGCAAAAGTACATTATGTTAAACTGCAAATTCAACATCAAATTTTCATTATGCTCAACAGGTAATACCAATGTAAGTAAAATGTGTAACAAGCATAAGGCTTCAGGCCCATGGCAGTTCAAGTTCACACTTTGAAAATGTATAACTTCCAGAAAAAGAAGCCAATTAGACTGCTTTTCCAACTCAGGCTGCATTTTAGTCCTGTATTTCTTTTTTGAACGTTTGGCAATCATCAGTAACATGGTTTTCCCATAATGGTCATCATGGCAGCAGCACCCAAAATTGTGTTTTCTTCTATTCTGATGCAATATTACATAATGGTTAACAGCATAATGACCGTCAATTTTTAATAATAAAATATACGTATCATGGATTTTCAGAAAATGTGACTAGCATGGGTCTTCAAGCCCATGGAACTTCAAAGTCACACCTTGAAAATGCCAATATGTGAAAAATTAAATTTTCACAAAAAAAANGTCTGTACATAATAAATGGGTGAAATTGTAAAAACTGAAAATCCTAAAAACGTAGCTTGCAATGTCTCACCGCATTTAGACCATATGAAAAAAAATGATAAAAATGTAAAAATGAAGACTGAAAATTTTGAAATCAGGCATAATACTGAAAACGTTCACCCATGTACCCATATTTACATCATTAAATCATTTCATCAATTAAATAAAAACAGCACATTGTCTTACCTTATCCCTAGCAGGTACGAAACAAATTGCCTGACACTGTACCAAACGGCGATTCATCTTAGAGATTTCTATCCTAGCTGTGACAGGCTCCCCAATGTATACTGTAAAAACAAATAAATCCAATTACCTGTAAAATATCAGACTATCATTCCCAGAGCATGCCTCTGTAATAACTATTGTTACAGCACATTCATCTGTGGATGTTTACTTCTTTGAGTGTAGTGACTCTGTCAGTAAAAACAAAAGAAACCAATAAGACTGCAATGCCATTCAAAGTGCTTTCTGTATCTAACAAAATAGTAACATTTGAAAAATATATTAAGACAAATTATTGTAGAGTATGTTCACTAAAAGATGTTCGTCAACCAGTTTGGCATAATTAGAGAAAACAGAATGCAAGATATGATAATAAAGCTATACAAATATATATAAATTAAGATAGCTTTGCATAACTAAAGCTACAGTTGTCAGGGATAAATGAAAGCTTAATAAGTAAAAATAGTTAATATTATTGTATAAACTTACAAGGGGATAGAAACTTCAATTCTTGTGATAAAACTGCTGTGCCTGGACCAGGGAGTTTGGTGCCAAGAACAGCAGATATCAAACTGAAACAAATATTCAAATACATTTGACAGTGTAATGTGCCACATTTTTCCTTTACCTAATCATCCCAGATATACAGGTATATAGAAAAGACAATAGCTAGGATGACCCATAAAGTTTCTCGTAAACTTAATTTGTAATATAAAAATTGATGGAGTCTGTGGATGGAGAAAACTGTTACATACAACAAATGCAGAAATTAACATTTGCTTGCAGTCTAAAGTCTTTGTCAGAATGGTCATAAAAATGGTGGTGTTATAACCTAAATTTGAATATGGTTGAAAAAAGGACAAATGCGCACAAAAGAAGTGGGATAGACCAGCTTCTGGGGGAAAAGAGATGCAAGAAAAACAAGTAATCATTGTTCATTAAGCTTAACCATAAGTCAAATTGTTTTTATTGTTCAGAACATTATTAGTGTATACACACATTTTCCTTGGTTAAAACATTGTTGATTCTACGGTGTAGTTAGTAACTATTGTAATTTGAGGAGGAGTGACACCGAATGAAACATTAAAGTACCGGGGAGTAACATTGACCCTTTTATCTACGTTTATAAAACATGTTACAACTGACATTGTAGCTTTGTTCGAAGATCTATCAATGCATAATAATGGTTCTGTCTATAATGTACCCATTAACCAATACCCCATGCACTATGGGTCGTCCAAATAAACTCGACTTCGCGAAATCTTCATCTTGGTGAATTGGGTTCGAGTCTCCAGTTATTTGAGCAAAAACCGACACGTCCTCTTTGGTGAATGTCTTTGTCAGCTCTGCAGTGTCCCCAATTTTATAAGAAATTATCCTGTTCGAACACTTTCTGAAATTCTTAGCTAAAGCCAAAATACTACTCTTGAAGACATTCATCTTCACCGCTTGGTGAGAGTGAGTCACAATGCCGTCTATCGACAGAAATTAGATTCATTTAAATCAAGAATGACTGATAGTGTTATTCATCATTCAGCAGAAGTAATGGGAGTAACTTATCAAACAGTTTTTGTGATTCTCAAAATTTGACATCTCTAAACTACAAGAGGATAAAGATTAAAAATATAAAGAAAATCTTGGCTTGTCTTGTAATGTTCCACCTATATTTTATCCTCTTATAAACATGACCAATGTTATAGCCTATTAGCCACATCAACCCGCACGACCGTGCAGTGTGATCGTAAATGACCTGTTCCTAGCTTTCCAGAAGTCTCCTTAAAATCAAAGCAAAGGGGACAAGGAAATAAGTCATGGAGGGTCAAACCCTAGGACCGGGCGATGTTGCTGCAATAGTTATATATTTTGTAGCGGTCATGGTCGTGGGTTGTTTTGTAAGTACTGCAGTATGGCTTTTAAATTAAAGTTTGAAATTGTCCACACCAGTCCCACACTGCACGTACTGCCACTGTCTTTACCAGCAGAATGCATATGTCATCTGTAAATATCTGTGTAATTTCAGGCGTCTTTTAAGACACTGAATAGATTATTGCCTAATGATAGGTTATATTATTGGCAAGATTGATATATGTGATTGATGTTTATTTTTTCATGGTTGGGTTGAGATGTTTACGTTTATTATTTCACACAAGTAGCATAAAGCACCATGCGTTATCGGTGCTATCTACTTATCTTCAATTTCTGATATGCACTTTTTGTGTTAACACAGGAATGATAGAGGTGCCTTAATATGTAACATTAAAACCAGCTATCTCGTCCTCTGCCATGTGTGTTTATGTGTAGATGTGTGTTGGGGGGGGGGGGGGGGGGGTCAAATCTCTTACTAATAATTTCCATGTATCTCCTTAAAACACCCATTCCTAAAAAAGCCAGACTGCATGTGAATAAGATTTATCATTTGGTCTACCAGGTATATTGCTGTGAAATTAATTGTACCACCAGCGTNCCTTTGAATACTGCCAATTTTACAGACTTCTGAATGTGTAAAGTAGTTCAGATAAAGAGGCAATATCTTGAACCCACGAGGAAAGATACTATTGCAGTGGCGGATTTAGGGGGGGGTCAGGGGGGTCTCTGAAAAAATCACACCAATGGTCTCCTCTTAAATTACGGATTTTGACTAACTGAATCATAGTTCTAAACCGGGGAGGGGGGGTCACATTTCTCCCCCCCCCCCAGAATAATCATGGATCTGCCCCTGCTTAGCAATTGTAAAGAATCAGAGGGGGGGTAATTCTTGACATAATACAAAAAATTTCTCTGACCTTTTAATTTTGTGAAAATCCTAGATCAAAAAGAACAATTTGTTTTCAGTGCATTTTCAAATATGTGGTATGTTTTTATTGTAGGCATTGTGCCATAAGAACAGGGGAACTATAAGTGGCTACTTTCTGGCTGGGAGGTTCATGACATGGCTTCCTGTAAGTTTATTTATTATTATTATTTATTAAAGGAATGATCTTGTTGATTGTGCCCTGTGAATCTTCTGTTTAAAGAGAATCAATAAAGAAATTGTTTGGAAGAGCTTTTGGAATCTCATATTTTATGCAGAATAAAAATTTAAAAGTAAAGGGATGCTGTTGTGCTGATTTACAGGTTGGTGCTTCTTTATTTGCCAGTAACATTGGCAGTGACCACTTCATAGGTTTGGCTGGCTCTGGGGCCGCTACTGGTCTGGCCATGGGAGCTTTTGAACTGAATGTAAGTAGAGCACTATGTGCTTTATATAAAATTGTCTTTTTTTTCATTATAACTGGCAATTAGTTCACATTTGAAGGGTGAAATCAAATGACAGATATGTATTATTCAGAACTATGCACTTTTTTCTCAGTCTGAATATTATTAGATGACTTTGTTTTTATGTTATGCATTCCAGGCCTTGATCATCCTTCAGCTACTTGGGTGGGTATACTTACCTGTGTTTATTGCATGTGGGGTAAGTATGAAATAATTGCTATTCAAATCCAAAGAAATATGTGGTTCATGTATGAAGCGTTGATAATTGACCTCCTTATTTGTAATTGCTTGATTATTTCTTTGTATGAGTTGGGTCATAGGTCTATGACATTTGAATCAAAATTAATTGTACTGATGGATGATTTTTCAAAACTATATTTCTGTTTTTACTCATTTTTACTAATACTTTAATGAAATGCATTAGGGACTAGTTATCTTCAAAATTTATCTTATCTCCTTACTTATTAGGTTTCTACACTACCTGAGTATATGACCAAAAGATTTGGTGGGAAGAGGATTAGAATATATCTTGCCATTTTATCTCTGCTTCTTTATATTTTTACAAAGATATCAGTAAGTGAGAAATGGTAATTGTATAATGACAATGTTATAAACAATTTGCTACTACAATGAAAGTTTATTTGGCAGGTGTGTCATATAGTCATACTATGATGTAAAATGGTAATTAAGAAACGCTGTTCAAATATGATGATACATAAAGGTGATTAAAATACAAATAGACTACCTTTAATAGGTGAAAAATCAAGCAAAGGTGATTTTAGTATATTATGGTGTTGAATGTACAGTCTCCTGTTTCAGAAAGATATTCACAGAAACTTAGCTAGAGCTACAATAAATGGTTTCTGAGAGGTTTCCATGATGAAAAGATTTTTCATCATCTATTGAAAAATTTTTGAAAAATTGAAATCTACAAATAAGTGTTTTAATATGATATACATGTATGTTTTTGTTTTGTGAAAACCTTTAAATATAGCATGTCAGTTTATAGAAATGATGCATCTGCATAGTTTTTGATGAATGACTTTTTTGTTTTGTATCCTAGGTGGATCTTTTTGCAGGTGCTATATTTATAAGAACTGCTCTTGGGTGGAATCTCTACCTTTCTATATTCTTATTGTTAGTTTTGACTGTGGTATGTGTAATGACAGGTAAGAGCTGGCTGGGTTTAAATATTTAAATTACTGAATTTAGAGATCATGTAGTTTCATTTGTGAAATATTAAGAAAAAAAGAGTAGCAAAACATTTACTACTTTGTATTGAGAAAAGATTGCATACTGTTTGGTATATTATGAATAGTTATGTACTTTCTTAATCTACGTATGTCTGATAAGTGAAATTTCAAAAGGAAAATAATACATCTCGGTTTTCATTCTGAAAATTCCCTAAAAGCCAGTCCTTGATTTTTATGTTGCCTTTTTAGGTGGATTAACAGCAGTCATCTACACAGAAGTGATTCAGTGTTTCATTATGGTGATAGGGTCTGCCATTCTCATGGTCATGAGTGAGTATATAACAGGTGTACCCTCTCCCAGGGTGGCAGATATTATAGGCTAAATTTCCAAAAGCCACCCTGTAACTTTTGGCCAGATGGAAACAATTTTTAAAATCTGCACGTGCGCAGGTGGCATTGTACCAGCACTGTAGGGAGCTACTACAGGAGATTCCTTAGATAGCTTCAATCTGAAGTAACAAGCTATTCAGAAGGGGCTAATTTTATCTGTCACAAAAGAGCAAGTAATTAAAATCAGAGCAATTAAATGTATTGATTGCTGCCAAGAGAACTTGGCCTGGTCCTGGCAAGTGGCAGTGCCTGAGCAGTTATGCAAACTATCACCAGTCATGTAATCAACCTAGAGATTTTAGCATAGGGTCAGAGATAGCAAAATGACAGTCTATTTATCTAAAGACATATCTGTGAATATCTTGTGAAAAATCAATCTGTGGCCCTGGTAGAGGGTACAACAGGTGTTAGAGTCTGCCATACTGATGACCATAAGTGAGTATACATATACAACAGGTGTTAGTCTGCCATACTGATGGTCATGAGTGAGTATACAGCACGGTGTTGGGTGTGCCATACTGATGGTCATGAGTGAGTATACAGCAGGTGGTAGAGTCTGCCATACTGAGGGTCATGAGTGAGTATACAGCAGGTGGTAGGGTGTGCCATACTGAGGGTCATGGGTTAGTATACAGCAGGTGGTAGAGTCTGCCATACTGAGGGTCATGAGTGAGTATACAGCAGGTGGTAGGGTGTGCCATACTGAGGGTCATGGGTTAGTATAAAGCAGGTGGTAGAGTCTACTATTTTGATGGTCATGAGTGGTTATACATATACAGCAGGTGGTAGGGTCTGCCATTTTGAGTATGAAACAGGTAGACAGGGACATACTCGTATTAGTTGTAAAATATAATTACTTGATATTGTCTTGTTAATATATCTTATTTAAGCTCTTTTCATTTTTTTTCAGGTTTGGTAAAAATAGGAGGGTTTTCCAGTTTATATTCCAAATATATGAGAGCAATGCCAAACACCACTTATTTTCCAAGCAGCAACTCTTCTGCTGTTTGTGGCAAGCCTCTTCCAGATGCCTGGATCATGCTGAGGGGTGCTGATGATCCTGTGATGCCATGGCCAGCCTTTCTGTTGGGTCAAGTACCTGCTGCCATGTGGTATTGGTGTGCTGACCAGGTTAGAGATGGTTTGTTTATATTTCCTTGACAACACAGTGATGATATGTTTCAGGCTGTGTGAGCTATCTTTCTCAGGCAGGTGGTAGTTTTGGTGTTGGGAAGGGGAGGAGGTTGAGCAGTTGGAAAATGTCCTCTATGGATCAAAATTTGATCTAGGTTCTGTTCCATTTCTCAACTGAGGGGGGTAAAAAGGGTCCACTTTTTTTCAGAAAGTACTCCCCTTTTGAAATTTCTCCTTTTTCTTAAACAATGGTTATTCAGTCACAAAATACGAGCATCTGTTGTAGTACCACTGTGGTTTGTGAAAACAGTTGCAAAATGATAATTTTTTTTCTTTGCTGTCCAGAACAGCTTTTCTTAATTTTTTTAATCTGCCCAACACTAGTTGTTTTCAGATCCTGTATATTCCAGTAAACTGATCATTTTATATGGTTGTGGATGTTTTGTTGTTAGATGATTGTTCAACGCGCCCTGTCAGCTCGCAGTCTGTCCCATGCCCAGGGTGGAACTACCCTTGCAGGCTATATCAAGATACTTCCAGTGTTTTTGTTAGTTATACCAGGAATGATCAGCAGAGTGCTGTTTCCAGGTAAGAGTCTCATCTGACTTGAAAAATTAATCTTACATGAAAAATTACTTGAATTAGTAAGTTTGACACTGTAATGAATATTGCCCCAGGTCATGTCTTTGCAAAATATGTCATGAACAGTGTTAATATTTAGAGTTAAAAACAAAAACTTTCTCATTCTATTGGTAAAACTAAGTTCATTGTTTTCAATCCATTCTGTTGTTTTTAAATCTAATTTTGTCATACATTGGGCAGTCTTATGAGGTACGGCTGAGCTTGAAAAAGCAGCAATGAAAAAACACTTTGCTCTGTAATGTTGTGTTAGGAAGCAGTACAAAGGTAAAATGCAAAACAGGGTGAATTTGTACTGTTGTGCAAAAAGACTATAATTTAACAAAACGTAAGAGTAAACTGTCAGTAAAATATAAGTGGATAAATTCTGTCAGCATTTATTTTTTGCTGCACTGCTTTAGCCAGCCTGCCATTAATTATGACCCCACTCTTCTCAAAATTCAGCAAACATTTCTATGATTATTTGCCTAATAGCAAGACTCTTGACTATATTGGTAGAACCCCATATTAATCAAATGATGCAATGATATTGTATTTTATTCCTCATGCTTTTGGATGTAGGATAATGAATTGTTGGTTAACCATTATCTCAATCATTACTTCAGATGAAGTGGGTTGTGCAGACCCAGATATATGTGCTGCTGTGTGTGACAACAGGGCCGGGTGCTCTAATATTGCATATCCGAAGTTAGTCATGGCCATCATGCCTGAAGGTAAATCTTTTTTCATTCACATGCAAGATGAGTACATTAGCTTAATTACATCCATTGTCAAATTCAATCCCTCACTATGTTCAGAATCTTAACATGGACCAAATTGGACATTTTTTCCTTCTTGTTGTCTGTACATTTGACAGTTCTGCTGACTTGTTCTCATTTTAAAAAAGTGACTGTTCATCTCCAAGGGAGATTTTTGTGATATTGAATTCTCCATCCAGTTTTTAATACTTGAACTCTTGTGGCAGATAGTTGAATTCCAGAAAATGATGCATGCATACCCTTAGGCCAGCATAATTTGATCTGTAATTTTTTTTTTACTCAGGATTGAGGGGAATCATGATGGCTGTAATGATGGCAGCCCTGATGAGTGACATGGCTTCTATATTTAACAGTGCCAGTACTCTTTTTACTATGGATATATATCCTTATATTCGAAAAAAGTATACAGTCAAGGAGCTTTTAATAACAGGAAGGTAGGCACTGTACAACCTTTAAAAAAACTAGGAGAGATTGCTTCTGCTGTCTTTTGTCTACCTCTCAACAGTTTTGAATGACTATAGATAATTATCACAAAGGATAGGTTATTATTATAAAATATATTTTGTAACAAAATAAAAGGTTTAGTTTTTCATAAAGTGAAATGACTCTCAACTGGGGATGTCAGCTTCATGGATTTAAGCTAAAACGGATATTTGCCAGAGGCCCACACTAGTATACCATAAAATGTATTTCTCTCTTGAATGCTGTAAAACCGGCAATTTAACGTCCGTGTTGCCATGCAAAAACATGAAAAATAACAGGCATGTATATCTTCCAAATCTAAAACACTAACATTTTCTCGTCTACCTTAAGATGAATAAGGCATATACCAGTATGTTGTTTGTTCTTAGTACATTGTCATTAGTCCTTTGCAGCACAACAGTGATGTCAAGAGTACACAGGTGCAACAGTTTTGAAAATAGGTTTAAAACTAGTGTATTCAGTATGAAAGAAAAATATCACACAACACCTTCAAAAGTTATTCTTAAAAGTGAAAGATGGTTTGTCTTCAAAAATACAAATGGTACCTTTGCTTATAGGTGCTTTGTACTGATAATGTTTATCATTGGCATTCTGTGGATCCCTGTTGTACAGAATGTACAGGGTGGGCAGCTGTTTGTGTACATCCAAGCTGTGAGTGCCTATCTGGCACCCCCTGTAGCTGCTGTCTACTGTGTAGCCATTTTGTGGAAGAGAGGGAATGAAAAGGTTGGTGGTTAGAAATTATTGCTTCTGTTCTTCTTAATTCAAATATTAGATTGTATCTTGATCGACACTCATGAAAGAACCTGTGATAATCTGTTGATTACATAGCTTAAGACCTATTTGACAAATTTCTCAGATCACATTGCTTTATTAAATGAAGTGCTCTCAAAATGTGGTCATCTTTTGATTATTGAAAATGCTTTCTTTCTGTAGGGTGCATTCACTGGTCTTATCTTTGGTTTGGTGATTGGTGTGATACGTATGGCCACAGATTTCTTCAATCCAGAGCCCCCTTGTGGAGAGCCAGATTTACGCCCAGGAATAGTGAAGAATTTCCAATACATGTATTTTGCCACTTTGTCTTTCTGGACAACCATGTTAGTAATGGTGGTGGTTAGCTTGCTAACACTGCCACCTAGTGATGAGATGGTAAGTTCATTAAAAAACTTGAGTGTGTTTGCTTTACCGTGGGCATCTCATTACATTTCAAATAAATGCTTGTTAATAGCTAGCAACCAAATAATCCACATGGCCTTAAAATGACATTTGGCTCAAAATGAATGACAAAGCAATGTAGCCCATCTCAGGGAGAATAGCATCCTAACCCATATTAGAATAGAAAAAAGACTGGCCCACAAAAATTGATTTGTTTGCCACTTTTCTCTTTTTTAATTTCTTTTTTTTTTATTTTTAGGAACTTCCCTGTTCCACCATTGTGTGTAAAATATAATATTTGATCAACTGATATGAATTTTAAGTATTTTCAGATTTTGTATGAGTCTGTACTTGCTTTCAGTTAAACAGAACAACATACTGGACACGGTTTGATAAAAAGATTACAGCAGGCGAAAGTATAGAATGTACAGCAGATGGGGTAATTGGAAACCAAGAATATATTAATTTGGATGAAAGGAAGAGTGATGGAAGTTCTGCAATAGATAACAGTGTGAAACAGCAAGGTATGTACGAGGAAGAGGAGAAAATTTTGTTTCATTAGTCATTTTAATGTGTTCATATAGTGTATTAAGCATATTTTATGGGGTTTTTTTTTCAATAGTATTTGTCTTATAAAGATTGTATGGTTTAACTTAAAAAGATATTTCTTTTATATTATAACAGAGACAGAGAATGTATCCATAGTGCCAAAGCCAGTCTCAAAGAAATCCTTTTTCCACAAATTGCTGATTTGGTACTGTGGCTTTAGTGAATCAGAGCAAGAAGAAATAAAGATAAATGAACACAGACACCATTTGGAAATGATTTCTAGTTTGGAGCAAGATCCCTGTGCTAAGGCATTTTTGAAGGCCAACTTAGTGATTGTATTATTGGCAGCTGTCTTTTTGTACACATTTTTTTCGTGGAATTTCTGATGAGATTTATCACAATGGTATTACATAATACGAAATATTTCATAACATTCCTTGAATCTCTATACATAACAACTGTACATGTTTTACAGTTGTTTCTTTTTATTTTCTATTTTGAATATTCTATATTTAACTATCTAATATGTGATACATACCTAGAAGTGTTATGTGACTTTGGCAATATTATATTTGCTTTGTTCAGTTTTAGGGGTGTTTTTTCAGTGAAATGTCAGTACTTTCTCTCGGCATGCCTCCTGGAACACCTCTCACTGATACTTGAGGTGATCTGACATATATTGCTAGGATGACAGTGTATTATCTCACACATGATATGATATATGGTGTGATATGATACACTATGATATGATATGATATAATAAGAAACAAGTGAAATTAATTTAAACACGTGCCTGTCTGGTGGAAAGTATACTCAGTTACACTTTATTAAGGTGTGCCTCTTTAAGCCTAAAGAGTGATGTTTTGTCTATTTATATTAACCAGAGGATTGGAATCCCACACATGTATCATTAAGAGTTCAGTGAATAATAATAATGATAATAATAATAATAATTATTATTATTATTGTATGGATTTTTATATTTTTAAAGTAGAACATAGCATATCCCTTTGATTTTTGTCAAATTAATTCTGGAAAGTGAAACAAAAACTAGCTATCTAATTTACACATTAAAAAATATTCATTGGAATGGGTACTTTATAAGCAGTTTTAAGAGAAGTTTAAAACTTTTTAAAGTGGTTTATGCCTACATAGCAGGTATATTGTGTTGAAATTTTTTAAAAGTGGATTTGTAAAACATTTTATTATTCTTGAGAATACTATGATGTGAGCATTTCATTGGATCAGATCTCACAGTTAATATGAAAAGTGTTTTACACTTAAAAGATTTTGATCTCATCACTACATAAACATGAGATCTGATGCAGTATAGTTAGAAGTATACTGTTATATTTTGTAAAAGAGTTGTTCAATCTTGTTGAAGTACAAGCTTAGCAATAAAAATTCTTTTAAAAAAATCAGATTTTGATAAATATAAAGTCGACATATCTTTGTTTTGAATGACAAGGGAAAATAAATTGTGCAACAACAGAAATTTAAAAAACATCAGTATTGTTCCATTTTCCAGTTATTTTCATAGCTTGTTTGCTTCAGTTGAGGTATACTTGTTTGTATAGGTTTGTTGATTCTATACTTGTCTGTCATTATACTGCTGCAGTATTTTCAAAAATAATAACCAAAAGAACATTATTTTTAAATGTAGAAACATTTATTGTAATCATTTCACATGGAAATGACCTCTAAAATATGTGATGTATAATATTTTACAAAAAAGTAGAAAAAACATTCTTACTACATATTTGTACAATTCTTCTGATATAAAAAATTAAAGCTCATTTAATTCTCAAAAAACACTTTAAAAATACACTTCATATTGACAGTACAGTTCCCAAACATTATGTTGGGTATGTCAATAAAGAATTTATTACAAATCTGGATTATAAATAAAAATTGCACAATTCCTTTAACAACATGAAATGCACTTTACCCAAGAACACCTTAAAAAGAAGGCATTTCCTGTCTCACTTATTTAATTTTTCCCATTTGTGAAATATTATATATATTATTAATTTAAAATGCTCCAGCTCTAAACTAATTCAAAGTCTCTACAAGAAACTGATAAAGGAAATACTAATCAGTCAGTGTAGTTAGCAATCACCAGGTTCTGTATGATCTCCCTGAGCACCACTGATTTTCTAGGAAGCCAATACTTGATCTAGATAACATACTGTGTAATATCAATAGGATCGTGGGTCCCTTCGCACTGGAGACATTGAGCGAGCACGTGTTTTTGCACGTGTTGGGGATCGTGACCTCCTTGGAGTTGCTGCAAGTACCACACGAGCATCCTGATACCCACGGATAAATCCATCTTCCATGTCTTCTAGAGCACTCTCCAACCCAGCAGCAGTGATGGTATGTGCATGATGAGTTTGAATCAGTTTTTCTAGACGAGAAATGATTTCATAGTCTGGGATAGCCAAGGTATTTACATCCAGGCCCAACATTCTAGAAATCACCTGGCGAAGGTCCACCAACTGGAAAAAGAGAATATGTTTTGGTTAACTGACTGAAAAATCCCAGGGTTTTTGTGGACTGTACAATTTGTTTAACAGAGAGCATTGTTCTCGCACAACTGATAATTAGAATTTAGCTTGCAAGGATGGTTTCTTTTGTACATTTAATATTATCAAATGTGTTCTAGTACATAGTATATTTCTTATATTGATAAGCACCACGTTCTATTTTGACCCTTACCTGTCTTTCACGTTTAGATGTATCTTCCAAAAGCTGTTTAGTTGTGCGTAGTTCACTGGACAAAGCTTGTACAGTGTTTAATGAAGATGATTTCTTCTCTGCAAACTCGTTTTCAGTAGCTTCAAAATCATTTTTGAGGCCTGCAATTTTCTTTGCCTGCTTGTGTCGAATCTTTTCCAGTTCAGAAACAGTCTTTTCCAGGCCAGCTAGTTCCTTTTCTTGCTCCATGGTTTTAATCTAAGATAAAAAGTATACATATATACATACATATATTTGTACATATTTATCTAACTTTATTATACCTAACTTATTTCTTCAGATTAATGGGATTTTTTTAAAGTTAGTTTGAAATTTAAAACATAATAATGTAAAACATGAAAATACAATTTTTTGTTTTTATTTATTATTATATATATATATATATATATCATATACATTTATTATTCTCAGTGTTTACCTTGAGGTTAGTGCTGTCCATGAGTTGAGCTTTGAGGTCTGTGATCTCCACTCTAGCCTCCTGCAGCAGCACCTGGTACTTCTCATTTTGTTTCTGAAGTTTCCTCACACGGATGGTTTCACCGTCTCTTTCTTTCTCAAGTTCAGACCTCCCCACCAATTTTTCCTCCAAAGCAACTATCTTTTTGCGAAGCAGATCCATGTGTAGGTCTTTGCTCTCCAGCTGTTCTTTCATGGTTTTGATTTTGCGTTGTAGGTTGTAGATATGGGTGCTACGGTCAGCAAGAGCATCGGCTTCCAACTTCACTAACTGCTCTGCTCGTGTTAGGAGAGTCTCGCCATTCATGTCAAAACCAATTTCAGATGATATTCTGTCCATTTTCATCACTTCAGCCATCTTTTCCATAAATTTCAAATACTAAAATAAAACAATTCAAAAATTAATATCAATATATATATATACATATATCAGCAGCAGCTGAAAGGGCATTTGATTTGTTTTTGTTCTATCACCTCTTTAAAAATGACTTAAGAGATATATATCTGATTTGAATTTTTTCTGGGTTTTAAACTTACATTTTCTTTGTCAGTTCTCAGTCCATCTCTGAAGACTTCTCCTGCAGCCAAGTCTGCCTCATACTTGTGCAGTCTCTCAGCAATGTCTCTTCTCTCAACTTCTAATCTGTGAGCCCTATGTTCAGACTCCTTCTGCAAATCATACTGGTTCTGGAACTGCTCTTGTAGATTTTTTACTTTGCTTTCAAGGAGTTCAATGTGCTGAAAGAGGTAAATTAAAATATAATCATATTATACTATTAAAGTGACTCTATTTCCTCTCAAAAAGATAAAGACAAACATTGACATATATCAAATAAAAGAATCATGTGGTTTATTTCCATTCAAAATTCAATGACAACAAAATGTGTAATATTAAACTGTGTAATCTTACTGTATTAATCACTTTAGTTTCCAGCACAATTACTTACAGATTCTTTGTCCTTGTTAGCTGCTAGCAGTTGACCAATTTTGTCCTTAATGCTGTCCTCGCTTGGAGGCACAGTTCTGAAGGCATCACTGAGGATGGAAGCCAAGGTTTCTCTAAATGCATTGTACTGGGTCTGGTAGTTACGAACACTGAAGCTAGATTCCCTTGCCTCTCTATCCAAGTGGGAGAGACGTTTTTCTCTTTCATCCAGCTCATGACGCGTGGCATTCCATGCTCTCTGACTTGCATCCAAGCGTTCTTTTAGGAGTTTGATTTCTTGTTCAAGTTCTCTTTTGGACATAATAGCATTATCCCTCTCCTGAAACAGATGCATATAAAATTTATCTTTTAATTATATTTTTCATTTTCTCATGAATATAAAATGTACAAAAATAGTGCTTTCAAGTTAAGATAATTACACAAATGGCTCAGTACATCAGGATGGCACTGAAACCACGAGTTCTAAACATGTTTGTGCCATATACTGTTCACAATGTATAGAAAGATTCTAAATGGAAATCCTGCATTAACTCACCATTCTCAAGTTGTCCATCTCTACAGTGTATTTTGAGGAAGCATTTTGCTCTCTATTTACTTCAGAAACCAATCTCATGATTGTCTCTCTGCTGGCCTTGGTTTCCAATTCTGTGTTCTCGAGAGCTTCATGCAAGCTGGTAAGCTTGCCTTTCATGATGGCATTCTCTGCTATAATGTCTTTAGCCTATGAAAGAACAGGAAGGGTTTGAGCTATTTGTCTCTGAAACATACATCTACAGAAATTGCATTTCTGAAACCATCCGTGTGAGGAAACTTCTTGTAATGTATTACAAATATTTAATATTATGACTGAAATAAAATATTGATGCTTGACTATCAATGAAACACCAGAGAGAAACTTACCTTCCTGACCAAGATATCCACAGAACTTGAAGAAGCAGGAGAGATGCCATCCTCTCCGAGGGCGGACCCAATATGTGTCCATATTTCCTGGTATTTTTTCTCTGCTGCAGCTGCTTTCTGCTCTGCTTCCTCTCTCTCACTTAAATGACTCCTATGATTTAAATAAAAGGTATTTTATAAAATAAAAATAAAAAAGCACACAAGGGTCCTTATTTTTTTTACTTAAAACAATATAAACGGTGCCATCAAAAATACCATTATAATTAAAGCTATATATACCTCAATCTTGATTCCAGCTCAACTATCCTGTCCTGTGCTTCTCTATTCTCTTTCTGCAGAGAAGAAATTGTCACTTCACAACGCCCTGCTGCAGCCTCCAGAGACCCACTTTGACTCTCTGCTTCATGGAGACGATCACGCAGAGACTGAACAAGAGACGAAAGCCTGGCATCATTCTCTTTATATTTCTCCACTTCCTTCCTGATTTCTTTTATTTTGTCATCTTTGGATTCAACTTGTATTTGCAGGTCTTTGTTCTGAAAAAAAAAATAAAATAAAAAATAAGTAAGATTCAGAGTATATGCATAATTACATCATACCCAATTACATAAAGTAAAAAATGATAATGGTAAAGATTTAAGAGTTCATGCTAAAAAAACATTTCAGGGGGGATTTATTAAACAATGACAAGAAAATTTCAAGCTTTTTTGTGAAGAGAAACTTAATGAGAAAAAGCTTTTAAATATTAACCTGTGCTTGCAGATGTTCCACTTTGACATGCAAGGCTGCTGCCTCCCCTCTTGCAGTTTCTGCAGACATCCTTTCAGCACCAAACACAGTCTCCAGCTAAAATTGATTAAAATTATGTATCTGACAAGTGGTTCAATTCCTCAAGGCTATATCAGTACATGGTGGAAATTATACTTCAGTACAGAATATCTTCAAATATAATACATTTTTGATTTTTTTTTTTTACTAAAACACATTCTGAAAATTAATCAAACATGTTACATAAGGACATAAATCAAATGATTTTAACAGTGAGTTGCTGGGGTGCTATTTGTCTAACACTGCTTAAGTCACTACTCAAACAAGCTGTTGACATAAGATCCATTCAGAGCCAATCAATATCTTTAACTGAACAAAAGCTACTGAATATTCATGATAACCTCGTTTTCAAATATGACCCTTAGAAGCCAACAGTGTTATGATCAATGTTCCACAACTATGGGAAATCAACCAAATACCATATCATTGACATGAATCCATATCTTAAAAAATTGAAAATAAAATGAATAGACTAAGTGTTAATTTCTTTTGCTAGAAAATGAATAACCAAAAACAATGTTTCAAAGTTAAATTTAAGATGGATAATGAAAAAGCATTATCTGGAATTCTGTTTTCAGTACTCAGTCACTAACATTATGACAAACCTTTGCAATTTCAATGCTACGCTGTGATAGTCCTCTGCTAGAATTGGTAGCATCAACACTGAAAATAAAAAAATCAAATGTGAATAACACAAAAAGATTGACAATGGGACACACGTTGTAATTAATATAAATCCCCACAGATTTTAAAGTCAAATTATAATCTGTTCTGAACTGAATTCAGGGGTGTAACCAGGCATACGCACAGATGCACTGTGCGTACAATTTTTGAGCCAATCATGATATTATTCTCCATAAATTCAGTGTATTTTTCACGGAATATAATCCTGGGAATTTTCAAAATCTGTGCGTACAATTTTAAAAGGTCTAGTTATGCCCCTGGAATTTACTAATATTGCATTAATGATCCCATTCTGTGCACTTCCAATAAAATTGGAGTATTGTAACCTACAGTGTAACAGCCAATGCCGGTAAAACAGCAATTCACTTATTGATTTTTAAATCTCCAGGCACATACTGTACAAAATGTACTGTACATGTTATCCGTATGTTTTTCAAAACGACCAAAATTATTTCTAAATTATATTGTTCCAATATGTACATATACATATATGAAAAAAATAAAAGTTTCTCGAAGTCCTTACGTTGAAAGCTGAGAGATTAACTGATCCTTTTTAAGAAGCTCCTCCTTATACGACTTCACTTGATCTTGTAATTCCATAAGCATTTTCCTGTTCTGCGTCTGTGTGGTGGACGGAGAAGACGGCCTCCCGAAAGGAGAAGAAGGTCTGCCAAACAAAACAGGGCTTTCAACTCTTTCTCTGTATAAGCCTGATGGCGCGGTACCGCTGAACCTAACATGTGGGCGCTCATTGCTGAGTATCTCGTCTCCGAGTGATGAGATATGTCTCTGAGGGCTGCTTCCTCGACGTCTGATAGAGGGAAGGCCCTCGCTTACTATTTCCGAATCTCGGAGGTAACTAGCCATGGCTTGTTTGTTCTGGAAATAAATCTATATGTATATGTCCATTTGCTAAAAGTGCAATACGTTCTGTCTTTTCTGTCGCGTGTTAAAATGAGTGCCTCTAGTATTGGGACTCAAACAAAATAGCGCTCTCTTAGCAACAAGCAAACATGTAAATAGCCTTGCTTTCGTCACTACCGTCAGCAAAACTTGGTAACTCCATCGAACACCACCAGGGAAACGGAATGACAAGACAATGCTATTGATCGTTTTGTACAATTTAGTTTGGTCCATTGATATGTTTGATTGTGCCTGATACCAGGTAAAGTAAATATAGAGCAAAAAAAGTTATCATATATAGAAAGAAGATGTCTTCCATATATGCAATATTATGCTTTTCTTTATTTAATTAAAATCCAGCGCCCTCTATCGCCAGAAAATTTGCGAGAGGGAGTCGTCGGCCATTACAGGTAAGAAGATCTGAACGTGAGCCCACATTTTTGTAAGTATTTGACCGTATATGACATAAAACCGTACACATTTGGTATCAAGTGAACTGCCAACACTTTTTTCACATAACTATATAGTCTGCGGATATGTTTGTTTTGTCATTCTCAGTGGCACATTAGCGGTTATTGCACGCTCAGCTATCACCTTGATCGGGTCAAACTAATCTTGTCTCCAAAGTACTTATATAAAACTTGATTTAATGCTTTCGCCTTTAAGACCAAAGTCTTATCTTTTAAATGACTTAAATCAAAAACATGTATCAGGTGGAAGACATGAAGAAAAATTAGATTAGAGTCATAATAACTCTTCGTTTTGGACAAAAATTGGATTTTCCTGGAGTAAACGGCAATTTTCCCGTACTTACCAATGGTCAACGACCCCATTCCTGCATTCAAAGTTAGTCCAGTGTTTTTTTTCCTAAACGTTTTTTTTTTTTTTTTTTTTTTGTTAAAATCTCTTAAGATCTCTTTTGTTAAAATCTCTGCTGTGCAGAATTAAGAGATTTTAACTGGCAGAGCCCTCTCTGACATTGCATTGTCACGCGATATCGAGCAATATTTTCTGGAGATTTACTTAAAACCGCGGGAAAAGCAGACAACAACAACACTATATAACAATAATGTAAGATTCATAAGATATATTTGTCTGATTGCTCAAAATGCTTTTTTATTAATACTATTTTTATATTGCCATCACCTGCGTCTGTCGTCGCCGTCGCCGATGCTGTCGCCGATGCCGGCGCCGTGCACTTTCAGCGTTAACACNTATGGTATCAAGTGAACTGCCAACACTTTTTTCACATAACTATATAGTCTGCGGATATGTTTGTTTTGTCATTCTCAGTGGCACATTAGCGGTTATTGCACGCTCAGCTATCACCTTGATCGGGTCAAACTAATCTTGTCTCCAAAGTACTTATATAAAACTTGATTTAATGCTTTCGCCTTTAAGACCAAAGTGTTATCTTTTAAATGACTTAAATCAAAAACATGTATCAGGTGGAAGACATGAAGAAAAATTAGATTAGAGTCATAATAACTCTTCGTTTTGGACAAAAATTGGATTTTCCTGGAGTAAACGGCAATTTTCCCGTACTTACCAATGGTCAACGACCCCATTCCTGCATTCAAAGTTAGTCCAGTGTTTTTTTTCCTAAACGTTTGTTGTTTTTTTTTTTTTTTTTGTTAAAATCTCTTAAGATCTCTTTTGTTAAAATCTCTGCTGTGCAGAATTAAGAGATTTTAACTGGCGGAGCCCTCTCTGACATTGCATTGTCACGCGATATCGAGCAATATTTTCTGGAGATTTACTTAAAACCACGGGAAAAGCAGACAACAACAACACTATATAACAATAATGTAAGATTCATAAGATATATTTGTCTGATTGCTCAAAATGCTTTTTTATCTACAATGTGTGCAGTTCTGGGCTTTTCATTTTCCGACTCACTGTACAAAAACTAGCAACTTATGTCTGAGGATTGCATCATTTTCATATGGCGATAATGGCACCATATGTTTTTTTTTTGGTCTTGAATCAACGCGAGAATCCGCGTGACACCCCAACGTCATTGGCAACAGATGCCTTGACGCCCCGGAAGAAAGGTATCGAAAGCCCTATTGACAAGCACAGATTTAAGTTCTACTACAACAACAGCTGTTTTAGTGGTAAAATACAATATGATATATTTTCATGCGTTGTTTACAATGTATTTCTTGCAGAATTTTGAATCTGAAATTCATGCTTTATGGCCTTGTTGATGATTTTTATATCTACGTCGTGTTAACGCATGAAAGCAAAGGCCTCAAAAAGTGTGTTATGAAAGCCAGTTGCCAACCGCGGTGTGGGAGCTGTCAAATTTTTAATCCTACCAACTAGTTTACCTATCAGCAGAGCTGACAGTTTGGTAATATCTGTCTGCTTGTCTACTAGTTTGGGCACTGTGAAATTAAACACGCGGAAAAATAGGTCAGAACGGGCTGCTGAACATGCATAATAGGTCGAAATAATGATGCAATATTTTTTTAAATTTTCCCTCCAGAAAGCAACTTGCTGTGCAGAATTGAGTGCAATATAAGGTCCATGAGCAATGTGATTATGGACCATTCTGTGGTATTTGGTCCACAGACCTTAAAATTTAAATAAAGACACCTACTTACAAAACCAGACACCACTAGACACCTGATTCCAAAAGAACTTTTAGATTTTGATGATTAATTATGATTTTATTGACTCTTTTATCTGGAAAACTTATAAAATAGTGTTTGGGAAGGATAATTGCATTTTTGAAATAGTTTTCATAATAGTGATTATTTTTAATAATGAAGGCTAAATACTTTAAATATAAACTGAATACATTTAGTCAAGTGCACTAAGATATATTTGATTATAAAAAATGGATGAATTAGGTATCTGAACCATAATTATAACTGTTTAATTTACAAAATTTTAAATTCATTTGAAAGCTCTTGTAAAAACAAATTCAATGAAGCATTGCACTTTAAGACATCATAAATAGTTCAAAAGTTATAGACAATTAACATTTTAAGAAATGACGCATTTTAGACCAATATCAGGGGAAATATGGCAGAACAGCCAAAATGCCATTTTTGAAGTTCTTTCATTTAAAAAATAATGACACAATAATCATGAAATTCAGAAAAAAGTAAATTTTTATATAGTACATGAAGTGTTTTTTTCCAAAGATTTATACTGAATATACTTCATAAAATTTAAATTGAAAAATTGAAATTTATTTAAATTTTGGCTTGTGTTTTGCTACTTACATATATCTTTAGTTACATATTTGCTTGTATCTCAAACAATTTTCCTGATATCTATTTCATGTTAGCTTTAAAATTATCAGAAGGGCACAGGCTTCCACAAACATGTGACATTAATCTAAATTTGTATTGCAAGAAAGTAAGTCAGTTAAAAAGAAACATCCATGAATAAATTGATTAAATTCACTGTAAGCTTCACATATTTCATTCAGTTCCTTTGTGAACCATGTTCGTCCATAGTTGTTGCTTTCTAAGTGAACATCTTGGCTAATCACAAACTTTGAATTGATATCATCAATGGCCCCAGAATAGGGGACTAACTACTCTAAGACCACATGCTCAACGAATTGGGCCAGGCTTTACAAATCCTGAGAACTAAAAATGGCGGACGTACATGAAACAAAAACCGCCTAATCTTTTAATAGTCTCTCCGCNCCAGCCCACACAACTTTTGCCGGCATATGGCTGTGGTCCGACGGCTTTCGCAATCACTGTTTAAGGACAAGTACTTAAAGGGATAATAACTCTTTGTTTTGGCCAAAAAATGAATTTTCCTGGAGTAAACAACCATTTTCCCATACTTACCAATAGTTAATGAATTCATTTTTACATTCAAAGTTAGTCCCTGTTTTTTTTCTAAAAAGTTTGGTTTTTTGTTATAATCTCTTAAGACATAAATTTCATGACGTCTGTGTACAATGTATCAACAAACAATGGGACAGTGTAGCCTGAGTGGTTAAAAGGTAAACATCCTTTTTTTTTCCAAACCTGACTCTCTGCAGCAGACTCTCTGAAACAAATGACCATTTTGACATCAATAACAACTTGCATTTCATTTGCAGATTTTATAGGATGATATTAAAGCACAGTATGCAGGTGTGATTATTTTGACAAGTATAAAAAATATTGTGATTTGTTGATCTTTTTCAAAATTTATTTGCAGACCCTTTGACTAGTTGGCACCACTCACAATGTCTTCAAATGTTCCAAAGAAGGAAGATCTTTCCCCAGTATCCCATGGCATAAAGGATGATTATATTGAATACTTGGAGAGATATAATGCCAGTTTGCCACCACCCACTGCCCCTCCAACTCACCATTCACATCCACTTATCAGAAGCCTGCCACAAGGTGTATGGTGGGGATACATACCAGAAGGGGACATCCCAGATAACAAATACTGGAGAAAACGGGTCCAATACCAAAAGGATTTTGGAGTAAGTATTGAAGGGATGGTCATCCCATCTTTTCACACTGTCTTCAAAAAATTGTGTTTTCTTTGATTTCAAAGTAATAAATAAGGAGTAGTTTTAGTGCGATAATGACCTTTGTGTTCATATTTATTTATGAATTTAAATTTTTAATTATTATGTACAGACACAGATGTGTCTGTACATATTGCCATCACCTGCGTCAGTCGTCGCTGTCGCCGTCCCCGTACACATTTATCATTAACACGATTAGTGGAAGACAGTTTTACTTTTTGGCTTTATATTTACAGAGCTGATGAATATTCATAAAACGCAGGTCAAGTTCAAAAATCGTCATGATCGGACCACTATTTTAGTAGTTATACTGTTTTTTTCGCTTTTCAGCATATATGCAACACTTAACACAATATAAGAAAAACAGATAGGCCAATTGTCATGAAACTCACAGGAGGGTTAATCTTACTAAAACGCAGGTTGAGTTTGAAAATTACATTAATTGGGCCATTATTTTAGAAGTTATGCTGTTTTTTCACATTTCCTCAGATTCAGTTCCTAGGCATGTTAACAGTCTCATCATNGTGTAATAGGTGTGACATTGTGTTAGATATGACAGTGTGTTAGGTGTGACAGTGAATTAGCAACAGCAATGTGTTGATTGCAACACAACACTTTGGCTATGTGAAATCAATGAAATGCCTGCAAATTGCAATCTAATTAAACTGACTGTCTGATCACCAAATTACCAAATCAGACACAGTAAGGATATTATAAGAAAATGCTGACTGAATAAGATAAAGAAAGCCAAGACCAATGCAGATACTGCTTCTTGGCTTACTTTTTCAAATATAATAAACTTCCTCTCCAATCTCACAACCTTTGAAAGAAAAAAGTTTCCCTTTCCTGTTTGTCTTATTGCGATGTATGACACCTTTTTGCATTTAAAAGGTCAATATTTACAACTGTTACAATAAGGAGATAATCACTGGTGTACCTCTTTGTACAGCGTGGTCATGGATCCCTTAAGTTCTTCTCGGAGTTCTATCAGCTGGCGTTTCTCCTGGTCCTGGCGCTGTTTGATGGCGCCAAGTGTCGTCACCAGCTCCAGGATATAACTGTTGAAGTGTTCTATCGTCTTTAGACCATCGTGGTAAAAACTGCAGGAAAAAATGTTTCACATCAGAGGAGTTAAAATATTGCAATTTTTATCTTGTGTGGAGCAAATGAGCATTTTGTCTCAAATGTAAAGGTCAACCAGTCATGCCATTTAGGTAAAAACAGTTAACAGTTTTTGTCAAAAATTTAAATTTCTTTTGTAGTAATCTTTAACTCATTGTCGTCTGTGCAAGATACCACTTCTTTACAGAATTCAAGTCAAAAATCTGTGACATTTTACTGATACAAAAGCAACCTCGGTGTTAACATGTGCCAAGCATGAAAATGTGACCACTATTCTAGATCTTCTTTTTAGAGTTTTCTCCATTACTTTGTTTGAGCGTGATAGAATTCCACCATGTGTTGCAGGAGATCCACTCCCTTCTTAGTTTTGATTTCATTCACTCTGACCAGATACTGAAAGAAACAGGATATATCTAGAATCTGGAAAGTTGAAAATTATCCACATCTATAAAATCATTAAATCGTGAAAATGACAAAAATATTATACACTAGTCCTTTCTTTATTTTTTTTGACTTATCAGCTTTGATAAGAAATGGTATGGGGAAACAGTCAAAACTTACATCACACATCTGTAATTGAAACATCCTTCTTTCTTTCTCCATTTCCTCCGCAATCTGAAAAATTATACCTTATTAATAAACAAAAAAGATAAAATAATTTTTTCTGTTCCTGCATGTCATGTCCCCATAATTTTTTTGCTTTTAATCTATTATGTGTTCCATTAAATGTTTTTTCTACTGACCTTCTTTACACATAAGTGAAAAATAAACTTCATTCATTTTCTTAAAATTTTCTTTGTGTGATGATACAATATCAAAACAAAATTGACCTTGACATTGGTTGTATCTGACCTTGACCTTACCTCAGTGACCTTGACCTTACCTCTGGTCCTGAGATTTCTGCCTTATGGAAGCCTGCTTCCTTGGCAATTTTCTTTCTTTCTTGTTCGATTTTTGTACTGAAATTGAGGAATGCAATACCTATCAGTGCAAATCTTCAAGTATATGCTTTTGTAAAAAAAAATATCTAAAAATTTTTGTTAGAAGTAATAGTCTTTGATAGACACGAACATTTTATTCGAGGAAATGAAATTAAAAATCACATATTCAAGATATCTCCTGTTTTAGATGAGATTCTAATTACAACTTTGTGAACTGTATTTTCAGCAATCTCCTTTTGGTGACATTTCTCAAGCCACCAGCCTCTTACACTGTCACTATTCACTTAGAAATCACCTCCGTTTCCTCAGCACAAGTTTAAACTGCCCCCAAGTTTAAGTCTACAGGAAAACCCGTTAGCCTCGGAATTTGAAATCAAACCCAAATTGTGGTGACAGTTTTTTAGACTGGGTTCCCATACCTAGATCAATCTAACAGGATCAATCAATCTCAGAGGGGTTTCTTGCTAAATTGCTTTCAGCTTAAGCGACTAAGATGTCTGTCACGCCTACTGAAGCTGCTAAACGATAATTAACTACCCCCTAGCAGCTTCAGTAGGCTTGACATCTAAGCTATTTAAGTTGATTGCAATTTAGCAAAAATCCCCTTGGGGATAGATCAATCCACAGATAGTACGATAGGGTCTGGGAATGGTCCCTTAGAAATCACCTCCATTTTTTCAGTACAGGTTGAAACTGTACTCAAGTCAGGGGCGGATTTAGGCCGTCTTCTGGGTCTTCCAGAAAACTGTCAGATTTTCAAGTTTACAATGTCGGGCATCTAATATCTTCTGTCGGAAGACAGTCAAAAATGGAGGATGGATCAACAGAGATAATTTGGAAGACTGTCAGAAAATATCTCTGGATCCACCCCTGCAAGTTTAACAGTCTAGCAGACAATTTTTAGCCTAGGAATTTGAAAAAAAAACCAGTGAGTGGTGACAGTTTCTTGTATAGAACCCTCAAAAGATGGCAGAGAAAACAGGAACAGGAGAACCCTGGTTCTGAGCACCTCATCTCTTCCTGAAACGTTCTTTAAAAACACTTTCCAAACAGACCAAGCCAAGATCTGAGCAAAGCTACCCAAGCAAGGCATACATCAAGAAGGCTTACTAGAAGCATCCCTTCTCTAGAAGCTAAGCTGGCTCTAAGCTAGCGACATTGAAATGTTGTGAACTGTTGAAGTTATACCACTGTAGCAGTAACGGCAGCCGACCTGAGCTAACGCTGTTACTAGGACGCATTGTTACGAAAATAAATATATATCAGACAAGTTGACATGGTGATTTCTTTTTTTTTACTTTTTTTAACATGCATACATTTCAAAGGATGATACGGGATGTGCTATAAAGCTTCTATGTTAAAAGCATTAATATTTTTCAAAAAGCATTGAGTAAAGATTACTGAAAAATATTTGATCAATTAAACAAGTAATAATGCACTACCTATGCTATATACTTCATGTAGTGTGGTATAAAAATTATCAAATAATAATGATTATATCTGAGCAGAAATAATACGAATGGTTTGTTCAAATACCAGTACTAACAAACGAAAGGAATAACAAATGAACACGGCACCAAATGAAGTTACTGACTCTTTTTGTCTGTTTCCTGCAGTACAATTAAAAATAAATAAATAAGACACACATCAGCACCTCATATGAGGGTCAACTTAAAATAAGCTATCACAAATACTCACAATTTGGACTCGTACTCCTTCCAGGCTTTGTCAAAGGGCTTTTTGAGATCACCTTTCCCTCCCTTCAACTCGCTCTTCACAAAGGAATCAAGTGGAAACATCACAATATTGTTCAGGTTCTGCATCTGAAATAGTCACAGACTGGTTCAACTTCAACTCTGAATTTTTTTTGTTCTTCTGAAATATCTTTTTTTATAATTTTTTTTTCAAGAAGATTCTTAAATTTTTTCTATTTATAAAAGCAAACTGACTTTATAAAAGTAACTAATATAGTGCAATAAGCTTAATATCTGCCATTGCATTTACCTATTTATTTTCTTGAAGAAACCAGACTTAAATCTTATTTCATATAACTTGCACTTAAATCTAAAGCAACAGGGCTTAAAGGCATAATAACTCTTTGTATGAGACCTATATTTCACAATAAAAACCTTGTGAATAACTAATAGAAATATAATATATTCTGTTTTACCACAAAAACAGAAGTTATAGCTTTTATTCTGATATTTGAACTTGTCTTTAGACCACGCGACCTCCATTGATGTCTATACGTTGTTAAAATCTCTTAAGAGATTTTAACAAAAAACCAAACTTTTTAGAAAAAAACCAGGGACTAACTTTGAATGTAAAAATGGATTCATTAACCATTGGTAAGTATGGGAAAATTGTTGTTTACTCCAGGAAAATTCATTTTTTGGCCGAAACGAAGAGTTATTATTGCTTTAAATCTCTTTTTCTTTTCACTTTACAAAGTGGAACCTGCAGTTTACAAAATAAACCAACTTCAAACTGTTCTTGACAGTGTTAAACACATATCAAATTACCAAGTTTTTCATGAGTGCTGACAACTCCTTTGTGACGACTGCAAACTTGAGAAAGGCGGCCCCTGGAGGACAGAAAAATAAGACATACAGCACCCGTATGGTTATTATCAGTAACAGAGACTAGTTCCTATGTTTATATTAATAATTTAAAGTACGGCTTTAAACTAAGGCCACATTCAGAACAGTGGACTAACTAGTCCGCAGGTCAAATATGGCCGACCCACTTGAATACTTCCCCACAGGATATCTATTCGGTGTCTATTAGCTGATTAGACAACAAGCTTTTGTAGTGGGTCACCATATCTGACCTATGCACTAGTTAGTCCACTGTTCTGAATGTAGCCTAACTTTATGTTTATTTGGTCAGATCTGTTCCGTTGTGGTGAAATTTAAGTTTGATCATTTTCAAGAACTATCAGCATGAAAATCAGCTTTTTTCCCCTAAATGAATATATAACGACAACAGAGTTACAGTGAGCAAAAGGTTGGAATACTGGAAACAATAAACTTCTGTATTTTTTAAATATTTTATACGCATTTCAAAAACATGTCCCTTGAATACTGGGAAAAAATCTATAACTGTGTCGTACCGATTTCTTGTTCCTGTTCTTTATTCAAGGCATTCCATCCCAGCTTCTCCAGGTTTTCTGCCATATACAGTTCATTGGCTACGTGTACTGAAATATAGAAATCCAGGTATCTCTCATATACATATATATTTTTCTTTTTTTTGTAATTATGTTATTTTGTTTTTGTAATTGTAAACAGTTCTATCCTGTGCAAAGTTTATACACAGAGAAAACATCCAAATGCAATTAAATATTATTTAAAAAGAAAATTATTCTCACTTTTGTTTTTTTCTCTTATTTTTAATATTATTTCAACGACTATACAACTAATTATTTGGTAGAAGCAATGTGATGCCAGTCTGTGAAATAAGCTTTTTAGAGTGGTTGTCCCATTGGACAACCATTTTAAATTTTTTGGTTGCCCCCATCCACTTTTGGTTGCCCAAATGAATCGAAGAAAACGAACACAAAACTTCCTAGATCCCTTTTTATTTCAGCGGGGTGAAGGCTAACATGCGCTGTGTAGCTTTAAACATTAATTTATGCAAATAAACAGATGATGAGCAGTTTAATGTTAAAGAACCTCAACAGCAACAATGCAGCATTTGGTTACGTCTTCCTTCCCACAAACAAGTATTTTAAGAACAACTATGCATCATCATACATATTGTACAAATACTAGAATATTTTCTAGTAAAAGAAGGCATTCCAGGTCAAGATTTGAAGACAAGCCAAAATCATAAATGAAGAATATTTTTCAATATATTTACTGCTAGCAAAGTGTAATAGCATTCTCCATTTCTCTGCCTCTTAGTCTATTAACTTAGTTTGAAATGTGGACACATTAATTTATTATATATACAATTATCATAATTAACAATGAAAATGCTGCATTTTCTGCCATCTCCATCTCATTTACTTCATCACATTCATCTTCACCATTGTAATAATGATATTGGAAGTACAAGACATGTTGGACAGCATGGACAGACAGGGTGATCAGAATATAGAGTGTCTGTATAAAAAAAGTAATGTCACTTTATTAAACATAATAAAATGTCTGGTTCAGACTAGTCTCTGAAGGACAAAAAAATAAAAACACTGTGTTTTCTTCCATCTTCATAGATCTCATCTACTTCATCAAATTCATCTTCATCATTCCCCATTGAAGTAACCAAAGAATCTGTAACTACCTCCTGCTAAAAAAGACAAGTAAATAATTCAATACAAAATATCATACAGTACCATAAAAATGAAAGACTAATTCTTCTCTTTCCAGAAAAAGTGCTTGTCTAAAAGCAAATCAATCGTCATCAGAATTTCACTTTTATCTTTTATTAAAAAGAAGTTAAAATACTTAAAAGTAGAAAACAAGAACAAGTACAAATTAAGAAAAATTAAAAAATTGAAACTTACATGTTCTCATTAAAACTCCTAGACGTTCAGATTCTGCCTTCTGCAGCCGATGCAAGCAGTCCGCTGCGACATTTTGATTAGCAGGAACCGCCAGCACTCGCGCCGTCGCTTTGACGTGCGGCTCTGAGGACTTGTGCTTCTTAATGTCATCTTACTGTAGTGAGCTTTTGCCTTGAACGAAAGGTGAAGAATCTCCTTGACAGCATGCTTTGCACGCTGAGCTATGCTGTTAAAAACAAGCCAAGTGTGCCCGGATTGCCGTGACGGTAGAAATCCTCTTCGGCGTGTATCTTTTTAATTTCGTATAACTTCTTTTTCTTTGACATTTCTGGCTCAGCTGTTTGTTAGGGTAACCTTTATCCGGGGTTTGCACCGTCAAATTATTTCAGAAACTTCTCCGTGACGAAAGTTGGACAGAGAAACACGCGGTAGATAGAAGCGCAATAATTTTGAAGTAATGTCCGCCATTGTTTCATTTCGACCAATGAAAAAGCGGCAAACATGACACCCCCCCCTCCCCACTCCCCAGGCATTACATCATCTTCCTGTCTAAACGACCAGCTACTGGCAGAGCTATAAATAACTGTAGATCTAATAATAGTAACGGAGATTCTGCACAAACAAGGCGAAGTCGGCAGGTCGGTTACTGCGACAGTGAATCTTGTGGAAAACATAACGATTTAGGTTAACCTAAAATTTTGTTTTCTGTATAGATTTTGGCAAAGATTTACTCTTTATGTCCATAAATTATTCAGTTGCCCGACCGGACAACAACTTCGTAATTTTAAGTTGCCCGACATATTTTTTAGTTGTCCCGGGCAATCGGACAACCGCTTATTTCGCAGACTGTGATGCATGCTGGACATAGCTGTAGTATTTTAAAATAAACATTTGTTTACACCACGGCCTGCAGACCACTGTGTAGGAAGTAACTGATAATATGATAACCCAACCCAGTCATCAATGCCCCTATGATCTTTTTCAATAGACGAGATTGGCATTTGGATAAAATATCAGAAGGGTCATTCCACAAAATTATTTCAGCCCCATCATGATGTTTTTGCATTGCTTCTACTGTAAATTTATGTCCATTAGAGGGTATTGTATTGAATAAAGAAGAGAAAATAATTTGACCAGTCAAAATTACTAGTATGCAAATGTTACACAATGTAGTGTGTGTGTGTGTGTGTGTGTGTGTGTGTGGAATAACCATGGGAAAAATGGAACTTCAAATTAGGCAGCTTCACAAAACTGATCCATTAAAAGAAAATAAAGAATGGATTCTACAAAATATTTATATATTTATTGTTACATGAATGGAATGATGCTGACAAGTTTAGGTTACTTACGGTTTCCAGAATTATAAATGGCTTTAATTGACTTCTTCATCTTAATAAGTCCACTCCGGTCAAAATCCAAAGTCTGAAAATAAAAAATGTCTACCTTATTACCCTGACTGACTTGTATAATTCTTCCACTTTTTAAAATGCATATCTGGGCAACAACAGATGATGAAAAAAAATTGATACAAGTACATTTTTCTGATTAAAAGAAAAAAGTTGAGTTGTATCAAATGTCAATGCAGCTTGTAAAAATCTTCATGAAAGTGTGACAAGGGCCTGGAATGTTGTGCTTAACATTTATTTTTCTTTCTATCTTATGATCATTCTTACTTACTTGTATGTATCGCCCATTTATCTTCTACACCAGACACACAAAAAAATTCTTTCCAATCATTTTAGTATTCCACCATGTATTTTTGAACAGAGAACAGTGTTATGATTCTCTAGCACAAAAATACTTCACCATTTTTTATTACTCATCCACTATACCAGTCTCAACTATAACACCCTAGTGCCCTTGCTCAGGATAACAATGATGAGGATATTTTCCAATCAATTCTAACATCTATCCTCATTCCGGGGCCATGAAGTTTGAACCACAGATCTGCCACGTCTTAATAACTCCTGAATTACGATTTCTTATCACCCTGTAAAAAGTCTTCCTTAAAGATATGAACTGAGGCAAAAGTCATACCAGAGTAAGTCAAGTATTTGCCAAGACAAATTCTGAATTTGTAATCAAATCAATTAATGATTTAAGAAAATGTCCGCACATCAAAATAGGTCCTCAGTGAAAATGGATTTCAAAATTTGGCAATATAAAACTTGACTGTAAGCACTGGTTGGGTTAGACAGCCCTGCCTGTGGATGATAAGTGTAAAGATGGCCCTGGTTATGGATGATGCTGATGATAAAATAAAGATGGCTAGTCTTATCAGTAAAGTGCACTGGGAGCAGATAAACCATATAATTTAATAGTGAACACACACCAGCTTTCTCCATGGTCAATATATGTAGACAGATTATACAGCAAATGACGAAATTTTTATGGTAACCTACAAACCTCAAAAAATCTCAATTTCTTTGTAAGTTATTTATAGCAGTTTACACATTGGATCGGGATCTGTAGGAAATTTATTACAGTTTACACTTTGGATCTGGATCTGTAGGAAATTAATTACAGTTTACACTTTGGATCTGGATCTGTAGGAAATTTATTACAGTTTACACTTTGGATCTTGAATTGCAAACAAAAAGAGACACTTTATGGCATTTTTGTGGTCTTCTCTTGTTTATCTCAGACAGCATATTACTGGTACTCAGATTTCCTCTATAAACAATGACTATTAATACTTCTTCAAAANTAAGTAACTGGCTCGTGCTGCCAGTAATTACGCGGCGGGATATTTAGGGCACAGACCGTGATCATAAGATAGCGCAAATAGAAAATAGAAATTAGAAAATAGACATTGCATGTGAACGAAGCCTTAAATTAAGCTTCAGAGGGCAATGCAGTCTATTTGGTAAATTTTTCTGGCAGTTAAACAGTTTTTTGTGAAAATTTAATTTTTCACATATTGGCATTTTCAAGGTGTGACTTAGAACCTCCAGGGGCTTGAAGACCCATGCACATTTTCTGAAAATCCATGATACGTATATTTTATTATTAAAAACTGATGGTCTTTATGCTGTTAAGCATTATGTAATATTGCATCAAATTAGAAGAAAACACAATTTTCGGTGCTGCTGCTATGATGACCATCATGGGAAAACCATGTTACTTATGATTGTCAAACTTTCAAAATAGAAACACAGGACTAAAATGCAGCTCGTGTTAGAAAAGCAGTCTAATTGGCTTCTTTTTCTGGAAGTTATACATTTTAGTGAAATATTCATTTTTATCATGTTGGCATATTCATTGTGGGACTCAGAGCTCCCATGGACATGAAGCCAAATGGTAATCAAATTTTCTACATGTCCATGCTATTTAAAGTCAATAATCAAAAATTATTCTGTAATTTATTATGTTATGTTACAATTGACAAAAATCTTTTTGCACTGCTACTACAAACATTTTGAAAAGAAAACTGTGTTACTTATTATTATTTTCAACTTACAAGTATGATTTTTAGGATTGGCATGCAGTTCAAAATTAGAAAGCCGGCTCAATTAGGTTATCATTTATTATTGAATTTATGCAGTTTTGTGTAAAATTTTCATTTTTCTCATTCTGGCATTTTCAAAGTGTGAACTTGAACTCCCATGGGCCTGAAGCCTTATGCTTGTTACACATTTTACCCACATTGGTATTACCTGTTGAGCATAATTAAAATTTGATGTTGAATTTTCAGTTAAGCATAATGTACTTTTGCATCGGAATTGACAGTAGCCTCTTTTGTGCATTGTTATTTTCTGCTTTTTGTCTGTACATTTGACAGCTTTGCTGCCTTGTTTTGTATTTATAAGTGTTTTTTCCTCAGATTTAATCCTTAGGCATGTTAACAGTCTCATTTTTGAACTCATTAGAAATGTAAAGGTGTTCTTTTGACATTTTCTGTATCTTAACAATATTGTTAGTTGATTATATACAAATGATGGTAAAACTGTTATTGTGTAATAAAGTGTCAAAAATGGAAATATCTTTACAATTTGTCAGATTCAATCATTCACTATGTTCAGAATCTCAGAATGGAGCAAATTGGACATTTTAAATTATATAAATTTCTATTGATATTTTTCCTATGTCAACAATTTTCTTAGTTGATCATTTAAAAATGACGGTAAATTGATTATTTTGTTTTATGAAAAAAGGTGTTGAAAATGGAAAGAAAATCATTTCACTACAGTTACCTCTTGTTTACATTTTGGCATTTTGAAGGTGTGACTTTGAACTTCCATGGCCTTGAAGACCTTTCCATGTCACTTTTTCTGAATATTCATGATACTTTTATTTTATTATTAAAAATTGATGGTTATTATGCTGTTAAGCATTATGTAATATTGCATCAAAATTGAAGACAACCCTATTTTGGGCACTGGGCACTGCCTCCATTGTGACTATTAAGGGAAAACTATGTCACTTATCTTCTCAAACTTACAGAAAAGTACCATAGGACCAAAATATAGCTTCAACCTGTCTCATCGGTTAACTTTTCTTGAAATTATATAGTTTTTTGTTAGAATTAAAATTTTCACATATCCACAATTTAAAGGTGTGACTTTGAACTTCCATTGGCTTGAAGACCTTTGCTAGTCACATTTTCTGAATATCCATGATACTTTTACTTTATTACTAAACATTGATGGTCATTATGTTGTTAAGCATTATGTTATATTGCATAAAAGTTGAAGAAAACCCTATTGTGGACACTGCTGCCATGATGACCATTAAGAGAAAACCATGTTACTTAAGATGCGTAATGAAAAGTTTATTCATAGGACTGAAGTGCAGCTTGAGTTTGAAAATCAGTGTGATTGTTTTCTGTTTTGGAAGCAATACATTTCTATAGAGTGCTGTATGGTGGTACTGTATATGGATGGTAGTCAGTATGTAAGTGTCCCTTGGGTAATCACTAGCTAAATTCAGGGCTATTAAGTCACTTGCCTCATTAACTTTCAAGTGGTCATTAAATGAGATTGCATAAAACACACGTTGAGATTTCCCTGTAAAGTCCCATAGGTTTAGCTTTCTTAACTATGTCACAAAACTAGGAATCAGTGATAATTATGCAGGTAAATGTTGTTTAATATTGCAAATAAGTTTACAGATGAAAAAAATGCCAACATTAATGCTATAGATGAATAACACTGCCTTATTATTCTCAAACTCAATGGGGTTATTCATATCATGTCAATACAGTAAAGGCCCAGTCACAATGTCGGCGATCTGTCGGGGATTAGTTTTGGCCGGGGGTCGTCGTAGAAAATAAAGAATCCTTGAACAATCCTAGCAATAATCCTAATAAAAGTGGAGCAGTCACATTGTCTGAGTTTTTTTCAAGGATTTTGACCCGGTTTTGTCGAAAAATCGTGGGCTCCGATGCAACGATATCTGCGAGCGTCTTTTCTCGTAATTTTTTTCCCCCTGGGTATATGTGGTTATATATGGGTATATATTCGGAGGACGCCTCCGATTAATCGTAGGTCATCGTAGGTCATCGGAGATTGTGTCTGGGATGCCCAAAATGTGTGAAAAATCTTGCGAGCAATCTTAAAATTTTAAGTTCAAAGTTGGGGACCGCGACGGGTGTGGCGATGTCTAAAAAATCTGCAACAACCCGCAGGCGTCCGGAGAGCGCCTCCGATGGGTGCAAAATCGAGAGAGCTGTCTCAAGATTTTGTTAAAATTTCCCGGGTTTTACCCATCCCCGACGCATTGCAACTGATTTGTGACTGGGCCTTAAGATTAAACGTTTGAATAGCAGCTTTATTGGAATTTTTCATGTTTTATTTTTAATTTTTTAAAATTATTTTTCAAACAGTAGCATCTTCAAGATGCGACTTTTAACTCCCATCTACCAGAAGCTCTGTGCATTTTTTGTATTTCCACTTGAGCAGTTGCATTGGTTTGTCTTTAAACATTATGTAATATTATTTTATGCACTGTCATAATTTTTCACATATTGAGATTTTCATTATGTGAATTTGAACTCTCACATATGGTCCTGAAACTGTAATCTTATTGACCATGTTACCTGTTGTGCATGATTAAATTTCAGTGTTGATTGACTGTGCTGTTATAAGCATTATTTATTATTGTATCAAAATTGACAACTATGATATTACTATTTTTTGTCTAATTTCAGTGGTCTTTAAACCCAGGAGAGCTTAAACAGACATGGAAGCCCCGCATCTATATTCCATATGTAATTGGATTTGCCTTATTTGCGGCCTACAGATTCTATATGGTTTTGAGTCCTGAGAGGCAGAAGGTTTTAGTTAACAGGTAAATATCTGTGATCTCCACAACTAAAACAAATACGTCCAAGGCTACCGTTTTACTTGAATGAGCTTAATCTTCATGATGGTTAACTCTTGGCAGTAACGCTGCTTCATTCTTGTATTTAGAAAAAATA